TTTTAATAGATAAAAATATGTTTTTACATAGAATCTTTATTGTTATTTCTATATAATTTATAAGATCCTATTATTATATTCAGTTATAGAAGAGATTTTTTCTAATATGTGTTCTTATATAAAGTTGAGGGGATAAAATTCTCTGTTTTAGAAATAAAATTGATATCAATACAAAGCAACAAAATCTCGTGATCAGCTATAAGATGTGATTTTATAATTTCCCCCGAATCGAGGAATCTCTCCTTCATTTTTCTAAACAAAAAGTGACGTTGAAATTTCGTTACTAACCATAGTTATTCCAGGCAGCTTTACGGTATTTTATATAAATACCGCGTTACGGTATTTTATATAAATAGGTCGAATAATTCCATTCTTCAAAAATTCTTTTACATAAATCCTTATTTTGACAGCAGAAAATGTTTTCGTATCTATTTTTTTGATCAATTTCTCATTTATATAAAGTATACATTATTTATATAATTTTGCATTTTATAATACTCATAAATAGTATAATTTTAATAGATAAAAATATGTTTTTACATAGAATCTTTATTGTTACTTCTATATAATTCATACATTCATAAGATCCTATTATTATATACAGTTATTGAAGAGATATTTTCTAATATGTGTTCTTATATGAAATTAAGGGAATAAAATTCTCTGTTTTAGAAATAAAATTGATATCAATACAAAGCAACAAAATCTCGTGATCAGCTATAAGATGTGATTTTATAATTTCCCCCGAATCGAGGAATCTCTCCTTCATTTTTCTAAACAAAAAGTGACGTTGAAATTTCGTTACTACCCATAGTTATTCCAAGCAGCTTGCTAAATCGGGACAACCCGTTCCCATAAGACCTACGATAATTGCGCACGGCAAGTAGCATCAGCGACACGATATACCAGCAACAACCGCGGTGGCGGCAGTGCAGTAGTAGTACTCGTCGGGTGACCGACCTTTACGTAACGCGCGACTGTTTGTGCCGCGCCAGCATGGGTGACGTCTACTTCGTTGCAACGACGATACGTCGACCGTTGCAGCTGCACCGGCGCGGCTCGGCGCGGCTCTCTGTGCATTGCAGCCGCTTATGATGTATTCTTTCCCTTCTTCCCGCCTTTCCCTTCGCGGTTGGCCGGCGGCCGGCCGGATGCAGTTGCATCGCTCGCCGCATGCAACTCAGGAAGACCGTCGCAACATTTCCACACCCGTAAATTAAACGCCTGCCGAACCACCGGAGAGCGAGATTGGCTCACAGATTAATTTTTTTTTAATAATACTTTTATTAATAATTAAAAATGATTGATGTATCTTGGCAAAAACTTATCTTGCATCTCAGATTTTTCGTCAAATTTTATTTGATTTCGTATATTATTGTGAAAGGTGATAAATAAAGATTTCTCACGTCATTTATAATCTACGCGGTGAAAACCGAACACTCGTATATTTTGAATCTTTTCATGTCGAGAATGCCGAGAATGCACAAGCTCGGCAACATGTGCACAGCAACAGTTCTTGCTCCGATTCTCACGTGAACGCTTACAAGAATATACCGCTTTACGACGCTCCGTTAACTCGGTTCTCGAACTCGGCACAGGCAGTCCCTCCTTATTCCTCTCTTTTTCTTTGCTTTCATACCGCTCATCTTCTTTCCAACGAAGGTCAGCAGCAGTCTGTCGCGCCTGGTTGCACTTGCGGCATCGAATCTCTCGATGTGCATTAATGTATTTTCGTGCGATTCAGGGATCTCGTTAATACGATGAAATTGTGTTTAATTTTGGAAAGCAATTCTAAAAACAGAGATTGATTTGCGCCTTTTTATAGAAATTATATAATATAAATTTTTAAATGAAAAAATAATTTAACTATTTTTCTAGAAAAAAATTTTTTTAAGAATAACATTTCCTTGTGTAAAAAAAGTCTCACGAATTATTGCGATTGAAGAGATGTATAGAGAGACTACTACTTTATCTGATAAATAAGGAATTACTGTACTCTTAAGATAAAGACAATTATGTAATCATTACTGCCAACGCTGATTAATTTACTAACGTGATTCATATTTTTATACATAAGATGCAATATGGGAAGATATAATATTTTTTAGATAAAATTTTTTCGAGAAATAATATAACAAGAAAATTTCAAATGCGAATCAAATTTATTCAACACATTTATAAACTAGAAACCGGTTTGCTTTAACTTTGTGTTATATCGACCGCATTCGCACTCTATAAGAACTCTATAACAGAATTCTATTCATAGAACATTTAAATTGTTAATCTTTTGGTAAACAAAAATTGTATTCAATAAAATTGATATTAAAGTGCACCTTTATATTGTATATCTAAACTTCTTAATCTCGGTGCAAGAAATTAAAAAGCAATTACTATTTTTTAAATCCTTTAATCTTGAAGATTTAAAGATCTCAATAAAAATTACAAGAGATTTTGTCGTCGAATATACTTTAAATATGACAAGTTTATAACACTCTTTATCTTCTATTCTTTTTTCGAAGAATATAAAAGTTTTTTTCTGATTATACCTTTGAAAGAAACAACTCAATTTAATTAATAAGCACTTGTCACACAATTGAACAGAATTAAAATTGATTTAGATTTAGTTATCTCTAAAAGGAAGCTCTTTAGGAAGCAGGCTTTAACGGACACACGCGGTAAGCAAGCGATCGATCATCCGAGGCAGACCTTGGCATTTGATTAAACAGACAGGAAGAGTAAGATTTTTTACGGCATACTCGGAAGAATGATCGTGCTAATGAATGAACTTGTTCATCGATATCCCGTTGTACGTATTTCTTACAACCTGGCAATCCACGTGGAAAATTGCGTTTCTTAGCACGCACTTAATCGCGTTTACGTAATCGTTTATGATCGGATTTAATTTCTCGATGAATAATCTATGAATTGTATGTATTATGATAAAAATAATAATCGTGCCAGAGGTTCAAGCTGAAGTACTTTTGTATAAATCTCGAGTCTAGCATTTATTCTTTAATTATATAAGTAAGACCGTGAAATTAATTCTGCTAATTATGGATTGTGAAATAAAGATTATTAAGTAAATTTGGTATTAAAATTGAAATTGATTTAACTGGAAAAGGATATTCTGAAGTAACTTATCTTTTTTCTAAAGCTAAAACTCGCATTAAATATGAAAATAGTATGTGATAATTTAATCGTACACATTACACATGAAAATGACAAATGATAATTTAACAATTAAACTAAAGTAGCGAATGTATACATGCTAACAATGAAATTAAGTAAACTACGCATACATTCTAACAGTAATTTCACGGGATTCTTAAGATTCTTCGATTTTAGATTCTTTGACAAATAAGCGGCTTTTGCGAATAACGTCTGCGTAGTAAGTAGGTTTTTCCACGTCGCATTTCTAAATTAAAGCGAATCGTCATAATCTTTAGAAACAGGTTACATAAGTCACCTTATAGGAATTGTCCTCGATATATATCTAGTATATCAGCTTCGAGATTTCTTGCAATATTGTAGAACCACGAGAAAGAATGTGACTAATATACTGTTAATAGATGTTTAATGATTATACGTTTCCGGCTTTTTATTTATTCCAGAGACGTATAAATGCATTAAGACAATTATGCTAATCGTTGTCGCACAGATTAAACAGTAATTATTCTCAGGATTAGCACTCATTGAACTGAAACTCAATAAAATATGCGAATTATCAGTTTTTTGTCCACAGCATATTTACATATTTTAAGACGGTTATTTAAAAAAAATATTGTGCGGAAAAAGGAAATATTAGTTAGATATTTCTGGGCCATCTTCTCTCATATAGTCTAGTTCTGTACGGAATCTTCTTAGCAAACGTTCCGCAAAAAATTGTATAATACAAATTCTTTCCAGCATTCTCTTTTAATAGTCTTTGTATTATCTAAAAAGTTATAGATAAATATATATGGAAAGAGAATTCTAAAATTTAGATTTTTTTAATCATATTAATAATAATGAAAAATGTTGAAATCTAAAAAGCAGACAGCTATTTTTCGACTTGTAAGTGGATTTTTTTTTCTGCAATTTATTTGAACGAGAGTAGAGATTTATTTGATCAAATAAATTCCTCGATATGGAACGTCGCTTTTGGTATTCGCGACATTGGCGTGCAAGCCGGAAATTCGTCTCCGACCAAGTAAGGGACTCTAGCTGCGGAGGCAATGACATTGCTCACAATGCCAGGATGCGCCGCCGCCTGCATCGGTCGATGGCATCGTCCGTGGTCGCTTCCATGAAATCTGCCTCATCGCCGTTTATAAATGAACGGCCTTTTTTGTGAGAGACAAGTTTTCGCAGAATTAAACGAGCAAACTGTTAATCGTAAAAGAACCACAGACTGCTCATAATTGATATGCGATTAGCGCATTCTTAGGAAGATATGCATCGACGTATGCGTCAATGGTGCATATTGATGCATTCTTCTGTGAATGATATAATTCATCTAAATATCGATAATATTAGTTATATTATTATATGCGTTTTGTATATGTATATCATATTATTAATGTTCATAAATTTACAAGAAAGAATTGTCAAAATGCAATTATCAAATACGTCATTAATTATTTACAACTGCATCTGCTTTGCGTTTTTATTGTTGCATAAAATATACGAAATTATAACATTGAAGTATAATACTCGTTGCCAAAGAGACATGTGACAGCTACTCACAGCTGTCAAAACAAATGTACACTGTAAAAAATATGTAAAATTTGAATAATAAGTGTAAAATGTATATACATTTTTATTTTATATATCGTGTAATTTTACACTTATTATTTATGTAATTTTACATATTTTTATGTAATATATTAAATATTGTTTTACAGTGTAAAATGAAGCAAAATTATTTCGATTATCCTACGGGATAAATTTTAAAATATTCCGAAATATAAAATTTGTTTACTATAATAATCTGTAATAAATTTTATTTTCTTGTGTTTCAGCACCAAATAGCCCGCTCCATCGTAGCAACAGAGCTCACGTCTTGCTCCTGTTGAATAGGCCTTTAGCCGCTCTCACGGACGCTGATCATGCAGTTAGATTGCGGCCAGACTGGGGCAAGGTGAGGAAACACAGAACTTACACCTACATATAATCAGTGCATGTGCCAAATAACAGAAGAATTTTCTCGTGTGTATTTTAAATCCAATTGCATATATTTCAATTTATGATTTTTAAATTATAAATTTGACTAAATATATTTTTCTAATTAAAATAAAAAATTTTAATAATTCAATTAAAATAAAATTTTTCACATCAACATCTGTTTATTATTTCATCAATTTGTAACGTAGAATATATACAAATATTACTTTTTCGATTTTATATTAAAAGTGTACAATTATTATTATATAATTTTATTATTATTCAAAAAATAATTACTATATTAATATTTATAGGATAAAAATTATATATTCTTTATAACATTTTTAGGGACACTATAGAAGAGGGATCGCTTTGTCGGCGCTTGGAAGACACGAAGAAGCACTTTATGCTCTCTGCATTAGCGTGGCCATTGACAAAAATCCTCAAGCTGTACGCCATGAATTGACCAAGGTATTCATCGTTCATTATGAAAATTAACGAATTCAATGGTGTAACAATTACAGAAGTATTAATCAAATATACTAACTCGTAAAACGCGAATTGCATAGTCCGACAATAAATTTAGACAAACTACTATTCCGAAATAAAATACTCCGAATAAAATACTCTAAAACTTCTGATTTGAAATTAACTTTCTGTCGCATAGTTGAAGTTCTTCCGGCAATTATAAATGATCAATTTGATTCACACACAAATTTATCGAGAGTCCGCGTATCTCCTGTAACTCGTAGAAGTGCGGGAACACGATGAGAGAATCGGCCACAGAGATCGCAGGTAGAAAGAAAACCGTATTTTCCCGGTATCGCGCGATTACTGACGGAATGCGCCTGAGATCGCTCCTCTCGGAGAGCATCAACGACACAAAAGAAACGCGCGCAGCGGCGTTTCCGGCACGACTGGCGGCCGCGTGCCGGCTTAATGACTCGGTACGATATAGTCGTCAGGTGAGTGACCCACACGCCAGGGGCAACGATAACCACATTCGCACACGAACGCGAACCTCCGATGTTATTCTCGCCGGAGCGAGTGCGCCGTTTCCTCCTGTTGTTCTTCGCAGTAGCTGCACGGCGTCGATATATCGATCTCTTCTACTGTGTGACGCACGACTCCGTGCCACTGCGTTTTCCACCCTCTTATACATAATGCAAAACTCCTTCTACGTCGAATATTTTTTTTTTTTTATTAACTGTCATACGTTTCTCTCATTTATCTTAGTAAGCTTGAAAAAAATCCCTTTCTCCGAAATTGATCTGTCATTCTCTCGTCCTGCGATGTGCATGACCCGCTGCATCTTCAATTTTGCTGCATGAATTTTCTTACATAACACGAGTTTGGATTTTTTTGTTTCTTCCATTCACTGGTTTTCTTTCATTTGAAACGAGATTTTTTAATTCGCGTTAAATTTATGTTTTATCTGACAGCAAACAGATAAAAACAATATATTAAACACAACATTGCGATATGAAAATTTAAGTTACTTAAATTTATTACAAAAGTATTAGAGCTATATATAAGCGTGAAATATTAAATTCTGATGGATATTTGACATTGAAATAACTTGATTCGACGTTGAATTTCGCAACATTGCGAAATTTACGTGGACATCTGCAAACCATGCGATTGCGATATGGTAACGATCGATGAACATTAAATAATTTAACGGCGACGAATTGCCTCAAATTTTGATGCTAAATGATTCGAAAAACGGAGCGCATTGAATTCTTTTCTTTTCTTTCTCGAACGTACGACGATTACATAAGCGAACGCCCGATGGCGGAATCATTGATGCAAGCTGCATTGCCACTTATATAAGATCGGGGAATCATTCTTTCCCGTTGAATCCGTCGGTCGGATCTACATTACGGAAGGCATACTTTTACTTTCATCATCCAAAAACATCTCGCGGATTGCCTAACCGCGATATTTCATGCGTTAATTATGCTGATTTAACGGCTGAGTTCTCATTAATCGTAAAATCTGCAAATTTTCGCATATGGGACACGTCAAGAAAGTTATGCGCGGCTACCGAGGGAACAATGGATTTATGTCATCGCAAAAATTTCAACCAAAATCCTGGTTTACCATAGTCTATTAATTTGCAATGTTAATCTTCTGTCGAAAGAAATCTTGTCTTATAATAGCGATAATATTTCGTAAACCTAATTTTAATATGTATTGTGACATATGTACAGTTTAATCTCTAAATATTACTGGAATATCGGCAGATTCATTTATATATATTTATTTTATTTTACATTCTGTTAAAAGTCTAAGGAGGAGAATTAAATAATAAAAACTTAAATAATAAAAATATTATAATTTAATTAGAGAATCAAATAATGATCATTGACATTTATATTCTTTATGTTAGATTTTTACTCTTTTTTCTTACATTTTCTTTCTCTCCTTTTTTTCTAGAAAATAATTAAATTTAATTAATTAAATAAACACACACAGATATTATCGATGCTTTGAAATTTACTTTGAGGAACAAATAATCTGCATTACTTGTCATCTATTTCATTAGATTTCCAATTTCTTTTTTTTTCTTTCTCTTTTTTTTCTTTTTGAAAAATAATTAAATTAAATTAATTAATTAAATAAACACACACAGAGATGTTAGTTATATTTTAAAGACTCAATGATATTATCAATGCTGTGAAATTTACTTTGAGTTTAATGAATAATCCGCATTGCTTGTCATCTACTTCATCACATTCTACGAATGATTTGATTAGCGCACATATGTTATCAAATTTGTGAACATGTCACAGGTTCTGCATAGAGCGCTGTCGCCTGGAATACGTCGACAGAATGTTCTGTCGTCACGCACGCCATATAATCTTACGAAGAATGCGTCACGCACGAGAAACCGTCATCAGTTAATGAATCCCAAACGTAGGCAACGTGCTACCCTGAACAGATCTGATTGCGAGGACAATAGCAGCGGCGAGGAGGAATTCACTCAGGTGCGTTTCCCGAAAATTATATCATTCTACTTGTCCACTAAATTTCGCTTCATGAGGACTTACGTCAAATCTTGCGCAATTTGATATAAATAATGAAAAAGCTCTAAGTATATTTATATTAGAACGCAAATTTTATATTTTCTGCGTTATTCGATTTTTATTCTTTGTTTAACGATATACCTATATATTATTTTTTTTTTGTCTTATTTCTTCTTTCTTTTCTTTATAGACGATAAATAGAAGATTTCGTTCATCCATCACGCCACAAGTCAATACAAAATTGCAAGCAAGTCTGAACCGTGTATATCAAGATGTAGAAAAACTGAAACGTAAGTGTATCCTATCATCTTGTTTATTTTTTCTACATTCCTAAAAATATTCTAAACGATGTTTTATTTGCAGGATTCGAACCGAGACCCGCCGAAATCCTTTTGCCGCCTCTTTCAGGCGGCACCGCCGGAGAATTGGATTGTATTTTATGTTGCCGCCTGCTTTGGAAACCTGTCACAACACCATGTGGCCACACTTATTGCTGGATGTGTCTGGATCGTTGTCTGGATTACTCTTCAGCCTGTCCTTTATGCGTCACATCTTTGGCCGATGTAAGAAATAATTTTTATAAAAATAAATCTTAATTAATATTTTATCGCTTCAAATAAATTATTATTATTCGTAATAATTTATATTGGAGCTACAGTTGTTATAATGATTCTAAAATATATTCTTGCGAAAGTACAAATTTCGAGGAGATAAAGAGATATATATAAAAAAATTTTAAATTCTCTTTCTCGCAAAATATCAAATATCTCTAGAAAAATGACAGCTTCGGAATGAACAAACCGTGTATAAAACGAGAAGCCTGTACGAATCTTATTACATAATTCAATGTTTATAGAAGAAATGTATATATTCTCAAATATTTTTCACAGATTGTCTAGAATCTTAGATTATTTGGAGTCAAAGATTACAAAATAATTGCCTTGATTACAAATTATTGTGCAATGTTAGCTTACTAATTCTCTGTTATTATACGATCGTAATTTTATACAATTGAGTTCCATACATTTCACATTTTTTTCTCTCAAATATTTTCTGATATTTTAAAATTTGCTCGTTAGTCACACGAGTCGTTGATCCCGAAGAGCTTGGCAGGGAAATATTGTACGTCGACGCGAGATGCTGCAACAACACCTATCCGCAAATGAGACATAATGCTTTCTAGCGGTTAACGACGACGCCGCAGATCAAAATGATTATTGTTTGCGGTCGCCGAGGCGATTGTCGTGAGCTTCCGCATTCGTAACGTCATTTACCGATCGCTTGTACGAGTATTATATTTAATGACGATGGGGACAACGTGATGCGCGGATCAACGGTGATCTTGTGGTTCTGTTGATCTGCTTGTTTCCTCGTGCTGTATCTCCGCAATATCGATAAATTATACTTGTCTAGAAAGAGTCTTCCTGCGACGCTCCCTTTACAATTGGGGGTGCGACTGACATTATATAAACCGCATTACTGTTTTATTAATTTTCAACACGTCAAAAAAAAAATTCCCATGTATTCGAACCAAAAGTAAAGACATCTTGAAATGTACACGTATATAAAATTAGTATAAATCTAAATTATAGTATACAGGGTAATTAAGTTTTTTATTTCCACTTCTCATCTTAAATATTTTTAACTTACATATATCAGATACTTAAACTCGCAAATTAAGAATAATTGATTTGTTCCACTTGTTCTGAAAATGATATAATCAACACGAGATATTCGTAAACAAGGTCATTGACCAATTATCTTCTTCCGCTTTCAGTATCTAGCCAGTAGCCAGAAAACCGTAACGGATTTTGTGGAGAAAGCGCTTAAAACAGTGGCGCCCGCGGAATACACCTCCAGAGCAGTGAATCATCGGCTCGAACTGGTCCAGGGACTGGGTCTTTTGGGTAACGAACAGATCGCCATCTTCATCTGCACAACCGCCTTTCCCTGCGTCGCCTGTCCTCTCTTCGTCTACGAGCCTAGGTACAGGCTGATGGTCAGAAGATGCGTTGAGAGCGGAGTGCGCCAGTTCGGAATCGCCGCGTGTCTTAATAAGGACGCAACGGGCACGAAAAGGTGCGTCGTTTTTCTCTTTTGCGATAAATTTGAATTCAATTTAATTTCTAAATATTTTAATTTTTTATTTTATTTACATTTCTTTTAATCAATATTTATTACATTAATTATACAATAATTATAAATGAGGAAATTTGTTATTTGAATATGCAATGAAAGAATTTTCGAAATATTTCCCTTTTTTTTATTACGCATATTTTGCTACATAATGTGTGATAACAAAAATGGCTATATAATAACAATTAATAATGGAACAATAATATTGCTTTATTTTAGATACGCGGAATATGGTACTATGCTGGATATTCGAGATCGAGTATTGCTCAAAGACGGCTGCAGTATTCTCAGCACGATCGGTGGTAGAAGATTTAGAGTACTTTCCGGTGGAGAAAAGGATGGTTACGATACGGCACAAGTGGAATTTCTCAGGGATACCATCGTACAGCAGGATCAATTATTAAATCTCCTGGAACTTCACGACAAGGTAAGAGAGAATCTGTTCAAATATGTATATAATATAATAAATTTTTTATTTTACCGACGTCACAATTCCGTATTCAGCAATTCAGGAATTTGTATTAATTTTTTTCATTTAAAAATTTTAAAATCTTAACTAATGATCCTGTTATCTTAAATTTTTAATAACCTAAATTTATTATTAGCGTATTTCGCCTTTTAATTTTGACATAATTATTTAATTTATTTTGACATTGTATTGCGACTTTTTATTAGAATTTTTATTTATATTTATTTATTTATTATAATGTTTATTGCGCACTGAAGAAGACTGATTACAGTTCGAAACGTTTCTAAAGGGTTTTATTAAATTAAAGTTTTTCCAAGATTTATAATAATTTTTTATTTTGCTCGTTACACATGACCTGGTAATAGTTAATAAGTTATCATTGTGTTTGTTTATAAAAATACGAGCTTAAACATTGTTTACAGATTAGGTGATTTTGTATTATATTTTTATTGTGAAGAAATTAGATTCTTTCATTTCTTTCAACGCACACAAATATTTGTATTTGTACAGAGAAACATTTTTTCGTCACAATGACAAGAAAAGACAGCTGATCATTATTATTTCTCACTATTATCTTATCATCGCATAGGTACGAGCGAAAGGCCGAAGATGGTGGGACACAGTACCTACCTCGCAGAAATCCGAGATTCAACGAGTGTTCGGGCGCATGCCGGACACAGAGGAGGATTGGTCGCGTCTACCGGACGGTCCATCGTGGACATGGTGGTTGCTAGCAATCCTGCCGCTGGGACCGCAGTTGCAAGTAGGCATTCTGGGCACTACTAGTCTGGAAAAGCGGCTGCGAGCCATCGAGAAGACCCTCGATCACATGGAGCAGAGGCAACCAACTGTCGCGGCTGCTCAATCAGAGCAGACAACGACGTCGTCGAGCATTTGTAGGGATGGAAGAACAATCACGGAGACAGCGATATCGGTTGTTCAGCAATCGTAGAGAGCGGAGCAACGAAGCGTCTCGATACCTTGGAAGCAACCAATGTCATTCTGTGGCCTGGAGATAGAACGGCGAAGCTTGTATCTCGCCTTCTGCGAAGAAACTTCCAGTAGCGAAAGAATCTTTAGAAAAAAAAAAAGTAGCAATCTTTTTAACCGAACAAAAATTATTTGACAAAAATATTCTCTAACGTTCCATTAAATAATTCTTGAATTATTTGTCGAATGAGTTTCGATATCACTCGGTAGAAATGTTGATTAAGATGATGCGATATCTCCAACTTTTCCACAGACTGCAAATCTTGAAAATTGCATTTACTAAGCTCATATTTTTGATCTTATTGCGCATTCTTGCGCAAGACACGATAGTTCTCTAAGTCCATGTCACAGGAAGACATTTCTGTCTCATTTACGCTCTAAACTATTAATTTAGTCGGTTAAATCTTTTCTACATCGATCTCTCATCCGCTGTCGTCCCCGCGACGCGAGTCTTCGATTGACCCTTCGATACCATTCGACGTACAAAATATCCGTAGAACGCGTAAACACTTGGAATGCCCTGTTAGAAAATTGGGTCAATCGATCAGCAAATGCACCTGTCCCTCGATTCCGTTTGGCGGGGAGTTTCGGGCGGCTCCTTGTCTCTCTTCTTAGGTTTAACGAGGAAATGTTTGGAAGTGAATATATACTTATACTTCTTCACACTTTTGCTTAAAACATGATTTAATATATCTTATACTTTCTACGATATTCGTTCAAGAGCAGATCAATTTGCCATAATTTCAGAGAAATTGTTTCAACTCTTAAAGCTACGAGAAACGCAGAAAATATAAATTTCTTTATTTTCAAACTCTTTTAAACATGCTTAAAGATTATCAAAATCGATAGAGAACTCTCCAAATATTTCCATATAAAATAAGTTTCAATTTGAACTGCACTTTGTGCTCGTTAAATCTTCTACAGGACGCCTTATCGACGAGACGACGAAGAAAAAATACGTTCACTTACAAATATTAAGTAGAAGTATAATAATAATTATTATTATTATTATTATCTGGAACGCGCTAACTCGGGTATGAACAACATTTATTTTTATGCGGTATATTATTTTTTGGTAATTTTTTTATGCAATAAATTATTTTACGTAATAATTTAATCCTACTGACGTTCCAGAATTAATTGTGATGTGAAATAACTACTTAATAATAATCTGATAAAAATTTTAGTCACAATGGTGGAAACATATCTGTAAGAACGAGACGTCGCGTTTCCTCAGTAAGGCGTACCGATCCTCTTGCTAACGCAAATCTGTTCTTCCAGATAATATTATATAACTACATATTATATACTTACATATATATATATGTATACACACATATTTATGTATACACATATTATGTATACACATTCGAATGCATATACGTGATAAAATCGGAAGTAAGCTATCCCACTTTAAATACTTTAATGCGTTATAACGCATAAGTAATAATGTTATAACGTTTGAGTGTGTAATATAACACATAAAACAAATCGAATATTATATTTTAATATAATAGTTTACAAGGCTTTAATATAATGTACATGATTCAATGATCCAATGATTTTTATACTATTAATCATCTAATGGTAATCAATTGTTTTAATCCAAATTTAAATTATAAAATCAGTGTTGTTTAGAATAATTTGATCGAAATTAATTTAATATAATTTAATATTAATTTTATATAATTAGAATATATTATTCTATATATTTATTATGTACATATATAATGTATAACATGTGTTAATATTACTGCGCTATAATTCTCGTTAAATTAATTTCCATGGATATATATTTTTTGTTTTAATAATATTCGATACACACGTTAAGAGGCTCACTTCCATTTCACGTAGATGCATCGAAATCTCGTGCACGAAAATTCGTTGATGAGCGAATGCACTAGAAGGAAAATAATGCTATCGGCAGTAATTGTTTGCATATAGAAAATGTACATTTTTACTTTATTTATATAATTGGAATTAAAACTTTTCCCATTTTCTAATGTTAATATAATTTGTCATGTTTGATGCATGTAACTTTATCTCATAATTAAAATTATGAGAGCATTCATTATTTCTCATTTTATTAGAATAATATTTAACTTTATTCAGTTTTTTTAATGTGACAGATTAAAAAGAAAGGAAACTCTATATGCAAATACCTATAATAATTTGTGCATTATTAAAAAAAAAAAATAAAATATCTCTAAAATATCAGGATATGCAGATAATCGCAGGTGTCAAGCGATTTTTCGCGACATATAATGCACATGCCAAAGTTGCATTCGTTGGTGCAATCGCTCTGCGAACGTTCCACGAGTCTGCCGGTACAATCACGCGCGAAAGCGCGATTGTAGAGAGTGGATATGATATCCAAAGTTTAAAAAGTTTATTTGGAAAAACGCAAATATATTCTCAGACGAGAAAAATGCGTGAGATCCTTTTCGGCTCTCTGATGTTAATTGCACGAATCGCGAATCACGAAAATTTTTTTTCGGGTCGCGCCGACGATCGCGCCGTGCAGATTTTACACAACGACGGATGGTTCGCGTGTTCCGCGGGACCCAAAATCCCGAAATCTTTTTATACCGTATAGATTTATTCTGTCGCTCGTAAGATTTTTTCATTATGCTAGCACATAATAATTTATTTTCACGCGGCTTTTCGTATACCGTCGAGACACAGCGATCGCCTGAGGAGCTAGAAACGTCATATCAATCGCGCAATCATTTCGTACGAAACATAAACACGTATAGCACGATTGTCATTACTATTGTCGCAATTAATAATTTATATTTTTTTAAAGGCTAATTAGAAGAAAAAATATTTCAAGGCAAATTGTCTTTCAGATCTTTGACAGTTACTTGCTTGTTCTTCCACACGTAATAAATTTCAAGGTAATTTTTTAGAATGTTATTAGTAATTTATTTAGAATGTTTTGTGATGCTTTAAAATATTTTCAAATTATTGAGCACACATATTTTATATCAAATTTACGTAATATTAATTTTTTTTCACAAATAGTCTACTTTATCGTATTCTTTTTAAATAGATAAACATTAATCTATATATTATCTCTTCATTTGTTTAATATTTTTAAATCTTTTCTAAACACTTAACTCTTGAATTTTAAAAAGAAGATAAATATTGAAAATTTTATAATTCTTTTTAAATAATATGCAATAAATAATGCAATATATTCTTAAATCTTTCTACTATTCACCAATTTAACTATAACGATATTTTATCAATTTTTATAATTAATATTTTACAGATCTCGATGTATATTTGTGCAGCACAGATTTAACATTAAATGTGACTATCTACTTTTGGAAATTGTACGATATTTAAACTATATAAATCTCAAAAAGTTACATTTAATATTAAACACAGACTATGATTAAAAGTTCTTCCATTAATATTGAACAAGCATTGTTGACGATAATCAAATATAAATTTCTTTGCACGATAATAATGGCGACAATCGTTACGAATCGGTGTATCTCGAGTAGATACACCTACGAAAGTATAAAAAAGTACTATAGAAAGAGTTTTTTAATTGATTAATATAATAACGCGTAATATGTACACTCCGTTCGTCTCTGCGGCAATCGAGAGAAGCACATCCTCTATATTTAGATTTGTATTCTATTCTCTAGACTTTTACGAAATTGTGAATCATGCATTGTGATATTACTATATAGCCTATCTTGTATATTGTTATTATTGCTACGTTACAACTATTATACGTAATGCCACACGACTTTCCATTTTTACTTCGACATTTCTATATATTTATCTTCATCTCTTCATATGGAAAATATTGTAATAAAATATACGAAGCCAAAAATCTAACCGAGTTGTTTTTTCGAAAAGAAAGACACCTTGACTATCGTGCTTTTACCTTATCTATCTATTATTCTAAATTTTTTATATTAATAAAAAAATTCTTATATATTTTCCATGCATTATAATTTTAAACTTTGATGATTTAAATAAAATTTTCTTCAATGAGATTAATTTCTAGTAATTTTTTATATATTTATTAAATGCAGAAATTGACGCGTCATCTTGTATATTTCGATTCGATATGCATGTCAGTTCTACGTCAAACGTCAAAGAATCAATCAACCGCGATATTCAGATCAAACTATTTCAACGTGGCTACGTCGAGCATGAGCAACAAGATCGAATACTTGGTGAAGTATTCAGTTGCACCTCCGCCCAGCAGAGACTATTACGGTCTAAAAGTTCTTCAAGACGAGGTACTGATGAAATTAACGCCATGCATTGTCTTTCTGTACCTATAGACTCTCATGATAATAACTTCTAGGTAATTTTATACCTGTGGAGAATCTCTCACGGACCTCACAAAGCACCGATCGTATATCGTGCCAAACTCATCGAATTTGATCAAGACAAATCCTTACAGAACGAAATACAGTACGCATTTGGTGAGATATATCTGACTTTTCGAAATTTTTTTTAACATTTTTACAATTTTTATAAAAACTATGAAATTGTAATCTTGTATAAATAAGTGATTTTTTTCGTTTCGACGATTTTACTAAGCTGCCGCTTCTAACACTGCAGGTACGCATTTATTAAAATACGTGAAAAATATTGCTGAAGGGAATATAAATACTCTTTTGACTTTACCCAAAAATTTAATTGGAAGAATTTCAAGATATTTAAAATTCACAGATATTATAAAATTGTCATCGTTATCGCACGTCGCCTGCGAGGTAAAAGAAAAATAACGAAATAAGAGTAATATTTTTTAATTTAAGTTCTGATTCTATTTTTTTTTAATAGCAGAAGTTTCTTGCCATTTTAACAAACATAAAAATTTAGTACCGTTAAAACTGAATCATGCATTATTATAATTGCAATGAGTGCACTATAATTAATTATTATATTGGTTTTATGCAATATGCATTTATCTAATAGATTGTATTTTTTAGGTATTTAATACCGATTCAATCTGGGAAATACTCTACAAGAGAGACAAAAAAGCCAACGTTAACATAGAGGAAAGAGAAAAGGCTAGGATTTATAGTTGGAAACAATTGTACAAGGATAGGCAAATGGAGACGTCAATGAAAGATCGAAAGGTATGAAATGATGATAAATAAAAATTCAATTTGTGTTTGATTAAAAACATACATTAAATGATATTTTTTCAGAACCTTGGAATTCCGTTTAAATGTACAAACGATATAAAAACTAATATATTATCATTGAGACCTACTCATACACACACAAACGCCAATAATGTGTCTAAATCTATTTCAAAAACAACTTCAACTACAAATGTCATGACGAAGAAACGCTTAGAATCTTCCAGCACGAATCTCACAACAACCCCACTTTCTAAAACGATGTCTGATACTCGATTTCGCAGTTATACAAAGAACGAGACATTAAATCCACAAAAAAGGAATGTGGGAAATGCAAGTTTTGCATTTGACGTAAATGTGAAAAATATTAAGAAGGAAAATCTAATTGCATCGAAAACAACAAAACAAGAACCTAAAAATGTTTTGAAGTATGACAAAATATCTGACAAACAACAGAATAAATTGGAAAAGAATTTTAATAAGATCGATATCACCAGCAATACAAAATCGAGCGCATCAATACAACAGAATAAATTAAAATCCACTACTTCTAAAACATTATTTCCTAAGAACACTGTGGAAAATGTCAAATCTTCTTCAGATTTAACGCAGAATTCTCATAACAAAACTCGATCAAAGACGAAGATCAAGTCTAAGAAAAAGATAGCCGCGACTAAGTCTGAAATATTTAACACTGATATCACGTTGCCAGAAGAACCTTTTCTAGTCGGAGATGGCAATTTCGATCTGGCTGATCTGATCGAAGCGAGCTTAAAGAACATCCGAAGCCCACGGAGTGTATTTGATTATGATTTTAGTTGCGTACAACAATCGGATGCAACAAAAAAGGATGCTTTAAAAATTAGAAATGAAATTCATAATATGGATAAGTTGAAACAATTAAAACCTTCTCGAAACAGCATCACTACGAATAACTTTAACAAAATGATTCGAGGTGAAATTCTCGAGAAGCTTTCGGAAAAATCTGAATCCTTTAGTGAAACATCTAACGAGTCTCTTGTAAGTGATAAAAAATCTGTACCAGATGGAAACAATAAACTCTCATTATTATCTGAAAAATACATGCAAGCTCGAGCAGAACTCGAACAATCCTTAGATTGGACACGAAATGCTTTAGTATCTTCTGAAGATCTATGGGATCCATATTCTGCCATAAATTCCCAGAATAAATCTCTTAATTCCAAAAAAGTTAAAAATAGTGATAAAAAGTCTTTTATTTCTCGAGGATCATCAAAAACTTATCTTTTAAAAGCAAACGCTTCGAATGACTCGAAGAATAAAAAAAATATTTCTGCGCATAGTTCTAAAATTATGAAATAAAATTTACAAAAATCTGAGAAAACATTGAAAGAGAAATCAATCTAAAAAATAATTGGCAAAAATCTATTTTATATAATTTTCAGATTTTAGAAAATTTTTACATATTATAATTTATACACCTATATTATAATCTCTATATTTATAACGCTTATAAATATTTTAGAATTATTAAAAATAAACACTATTTACAAAAAAATGCATAGAATAATATTTTCAAATTATCATAAAAGATGACAAATAAATTGATTAATTCTAAAACTCCTTTTTGCAGAGTTTAACTAAACTAAATTTATCTAACTTATGTATAAAAATTATTTTATATAAAATTAATCTTTCTATTATTTTCTGTTTTCTTTAAACTTCATATATATTTACTTTTATAGATAATAGAGGGGATTATTAATATATATTATTTAAAAAGCTATTGTGATGATGAAATTTATTTAGCTTTAGTGTTTGTTGATTTTATATTTTCAAATATCGCAGGTAGAGATATATGTAAAATAAAATAGAGCATTGATTTGCATTTGATGATATGTGTGATAAATACAAGCTTTCCTTTTCAAATTATTTACAATGCGTGATGTGTGATAACAAGGCGTCGGAATGCGCAAACTGTTAATTACAATTAGCTGGCACTCGTTATTGGAGGAACAAGTATTGATATTTCTGTTTAATAATGCGAAAGAAGCACTTGATTTTTATATTTTTATAAATTTCATTTAAAACGCGCAATTTTCGATCATATATTGATAACTTAGTGCGAAGCTACGCATAATGTGACGCATCAAATTTGTGTTTGCTATTATTAAGGAAAGAAGCAATGAGAAGATATACGAAGTATCTGGACCTGTCTATAATTGGTATTTTCGTAATGAACTATATATTCCGTAGTCACTAATTTCACAGGATGTAAAAACAGCAAATTTAACTGCAAGAATACTGCAGATTTCAATTTTACATTACAGCTATAATTTTCGATATATCAAAACTGCTTTATTAAATGTTGATTGTATAGAATATAGTAAAAGTAATTACATAAATAAATAATTGCATATACGAGTTATAAAATCAAAATTACCTTAAGGAAATGTGTGTGTAGATTTTTGTTTAGGATTTGCGTGAATAAGTTTTGATATATATATACATATATCGAAAATTATCTATATTATCGAATTATGAATTACATTCTCTAAGTTTCTCTAAAGAGAACATTTTCTCTTTAATTTATTTTGCCTATCATAATAATAAATTGCACTCAATAAACCACATTTTGCGATTAAACTGCCAATAAAGCAGTTCCATTTTCAAATCTTATTGTCATTTCTGTCCTTAAATTTATTTCATCGCTCTGTGTAAATTTTAACGTTTTATTTGAAAATTTATAAATGTTTTAAAACAAAATTTTTGCTGTCAAATTGTAACTTCTCTTACTTTCTGTTATAGAATTAATTTCTTAATGCGCGAATTTATAGAAATGTATATTCGATACGTAAAAGCTGTTGTTTTAGTATATAAGATTTAATGTACACTCTTCATAATAATTTAAGGCGCGTGAATCTGTGCAGGGCTTGATCTCAAAAATTGACGTGTCCAGCGTCAAATACGGCATAAGATTCAACAAATGTTGTTTCTTATCAACAATATTAATTAACAAGATTTCGTTCGTAATTGACTTCGCCGCTGTTTCAATCTTACGAAGACAATTCGATTTTTTTGAAAATATTTTCAAGAAGAAATATTGAATCGCTTCTTAAAACTATTTTCAAAATCGATTTTATTTGCATTCAAATTAAACTACCGCCATGGCTCGGTCTCGTCAAACATTCGATCTATGTTATCTCGCAGCATTTTCTCTTGTTCTGCAAAATTGAAATTTGAATAATATTAGCTACGTTAATTTTAAATTTGCAATTCAAAAAAGCATCATGAATAATTACCTTTGGTTAAATTCGCAATAATGCATTGTTTCCGAAGAAATTCCATGCATAAAGCTCGTGACAGGCCGAAAGCGTGCATGTTGCAAGTGAAAGTCCTGTTTGATGAAAAAAACGAATAAAATCATTCGATATCATAAAACATAAATAAAATATTAATAAAGTTACCCTAACTGTCCGAAGACAATGTTTGCTTGAAACTTTCGATCTTCGGCAGCGATGCTTTCTTGATCTAAGGATTTCGGTCGAGGTGGTACCGGTCTGGACGCTCGTTCACATTGAACTGCATCGAAAAATGCAGCTGTCCAAAATCTCATAGACGTCCATATCGGCTGAACACGTAAATGCGTATACAAATATTCACGATATGGCTCTAATCCAGGAACTTCGACTAAACAACATAAAGGTACATTGTTCAGAGATAAATGCACAGGTTTTAGTATAAAAGTATGCATATAGTAAATTGTAATCAATCATATTAGAGCAAGTAAGATTCATAAATTAAAAAATGTATATAGTAATAATTTTGATAATTTAATAATAATCACAATTATTATAATTTAGTATAAGAAATTTCACGATTTACATTTTATACATTTTTAATTATTTAATTAATATAACAAGGATATGTAAAGTGTAGAGTAAAAAAGAGAAAAAATCATTAAAATGTTATATCAATTATTAATTTGTTGATCAATAAATAATTCTTTTGTCTATATATAAAAAACTATGAATTATATATCATCTCTTTCTTATATGTATATTCTAAAAAATTATTTTAAATTTTAATATTTATAATTTATTGTGAAAAGCTTCTTCTTACCTTCGTGATAAAAAGTGAAACACATGTTCATGAGACTTTTAGCGGGCGCAAAATCGTCTGCCTCGTGACATTCAAACAACGCGACCGCGAAATGCTGCGCCAAGGAGTAAAATGAAGCTTCCGTAACACACGCACGTGTTCTTCTCGCATTCACCACTCTAGAGAACCATATTCTTCCCGATTCGGTCTACAAATTTATCATTACGTTTAAACAAATATTTTCAAATGGATATGTATTATCTTAATTTAATTAAAATATTTCTTCACGCTTTAAGACCTTATATCAATCGTTACCAAAATGTATGTTGTATAAAATATTTTATAAAATTTATTTCACACATACCAAGACCATTTGTCCAAAATTAGCCTTTTGTTCTTGATCGATACTATTAGGCGCATCGAATAACAAAGGTACGAAAGCTTTCATAAAATCCGCGGCTGCTTCCTCCGATTGACTATCAGCTGATAAGCTCGAGGCCCAAGATTGAACAGAACCTGATGATCCTGAGCAGAGATAATTAAATATTAATAGCGTTGCAAATACTCTGATTTATAATACTACTGTTAATAATTTATAATTTATTTCAAAATATTTAGATCAATTAAAATTATATTTTCAGCTCAAATATTTTAATATTAAAATTGCACTAAAATGAAAATAAAAAATTACCTGATCTCTGCCACATTCTGCGACCGTCCATGTTGGAATCTAAACTAGTACTTGGTCCATATCCGTCTTGATCGCTCGTAGAATCACTGCTACAAGGTACGTCTAAAATAAAAAGAAATGTCTTCTGTCAAATATTCTACGTAATTTTTAAGACAACTATAACGCAACATGTCAAGCAATGGTGCGTCACGCTTAAAAGAGCGACACAAACTTGCAACCCAATCTTATCTAATGTCTCACCGAACAGAGAAACATACGACAAATATAAGTTTGCTAGACTACGCAACAAAGTGTTGGTCACTCTTGCGTACGGACGAATTCGTCTAATTCTAAGTTATTGTTGAGCCACAAATGAAAATTATATATAAACCCGAAATAAAATAAACAAACATATATATATATATATATATATATATGCAATAAATTATCTGTCTATTTCAACATATTATATTTTTGCATTTGTTAAAATTATTAACAGATAAAACGTAATCATTTGTATCGATTTAACTTGTATGAGTGCATTGTAATATTATACAAATAAGATACTTTATGCTATAATTATATTTAATATTACTTGTTTAGAGTTACAATTTATGCATCATAATATCTTAAAATTTTGATAATTATTGTAGAATTAATTTTGCAAAAGTTTGCAGAATAAAATTATATAGCAAAATTAAATGCGGTCCAAATTAGATATGGCAAAGCGCACTTGCGAATGCCTATCGTTATTACATACATAAATTACATGTATGTCCACGCGATATTACTTAACTATTATTTTCCACGCGTACGTTCTTGTCGATAATTTTGCGATAAATTGCGCAACATTACGGAAATAATAGAGGTTCAACTGACGATAAATATGTATATGTTAAGTATCGCGGGAAACTACTCTATCACGCAGTACTTGTTTTTCATCCATGTAGAATAAATCCCTCATCGCGAGGAAATGCACATGGATGCAATCGGGGTGCATAGGTGGGTCGCGTGTAAATATGCACACATATACACAGGTAACAACATCTTTACCAACAGGATACAACGTCTGGCAAGAAACTACGAGTGTTCTGGCATGTTCGAATATACAAATGTCGAGCTATGTTTTATATATGTGCGTAATCCCAGAAAATGTGGTTGCTAGCCACCTTCATTTTTTTTAAATTTGAAAAGATGAAATTCAATTTATTCACATAAATCTTCTTTAAAGGATCTTACTCTCGATTCAATTCAATATAATGTGTCATAAATGCAAATTAATTTCTCTTTCTCATTCAATTTTCTAGCATTCTTCTCATGATTAAAATATCTATATTTTAAAAGCATGTTTCTGACGTTAATTAAAACAAATATCAATGTTAGAAAAATGATTAATCGTTGTAAATTTCTAGTCTGTAAATTTTATTTATACTTTTTTTAATTTAGATACTAAGAGAGAGAAACAAATTAAATTCTATTTTACAAGATCATAATATATTAAAATACGAAAATCAATATTTTCTGGTCAAATATTGTCCGAGGTCTCATCAGAATCGACCCATGAATATTCGAACACTGGATTACGCGGATATATTGATTGCACTAGTATTCACTAATCACATTTAGCGGAATGGGTCTGGAAACTTGGGCATGTGAGAAGGAATGTTTACAATAGTATTAAAGTATCGAGACTTTGTTTGATTTATATATATTTGGATGTTAATAAAAAAAATAATTACACATTTTTTAAAAATTACAATATATCACTTGAAAAAAATATTGAGAAACGTCATGGATATTTTGCCATTAGAAACTAATAATTTATTGTGGAATAGATTTTTTAATTTATAATATTATAAGAATTTTATAATATTATAAGAATTTTGTAATATTATAATATTATAAGAATTTTATAATATTATAAGAAAAAAAATACTATATAAATTTTCATAGAACACTTTAATTTTTTTCACAAATATCATTCCAGATATTATAGATCAGTAATTAAGATAGTTTTCAAGAGAATATCGATAAGTAATCTTAAAAAATATACTTGATGGCTCGAATATATATATCTAAGTATCGATACTTTAGACTGAACATCCCTACAGTGTAGTACATTGAGGAGACTCGCGGATGAGATCATAGGGGCAGTCCACATTGACTGACTGTTACATTTACCTAAACGGAAAACAACCGTCTGATAGCGGGTCGGCGCCCTCGCTTCGTGAAAAGAAAGAAGAACACAGCATATTAATTCCATTCCGAGTCTCGATAACTGCATGTTCGCGAGCGAGAGAGAAAGAGAGAGATAGCGAGCGTCGTCGAAGACGATGAGAGTCATCGACTCCGACTCGCGGATAATTAGAGGCGAGGGCTAATCACCTGCTCTGTAATTCAACTTCTCGTAAGGATCGGGCCCGGTCGCTTTGATGTCCTGCTCTTGAAGAGGCTCTATACTTTCCTGGCTGTCCCGGTCGGGACTGACGTCCTCTTGCTCCGTTCGATTCTCTTGCTTTTTACTCGAGACCGATCTCGAGGATGCTATCTCCTCGTACGTCATCCCAGGCGGATACTTTCGCGTCCTAGAAAGATTGGCGCTTACTTGTCGCTCCAATTTGTGTCGCGCCATCGCCTCATAATCCTCGTACGATAATCCCGCGCCGAATCTATAAAGGAGATGTCAGAACGTGAATTATTCATGAGAAACAAATATTGCAATATTATCCTCGCCGGCAAGTCTAAATCTTTATTATAATAACATATAATCGCTTGCTAATATATAACTGCACTGTAAAAAAATATGTAATATATTACACAAAAATATGTAAAATTACATAAAAATAATAAGTGTAAAATTACACAATAAATAATAGAAATCTTTACCTTTTCATTATTTATCATGTAATTTTACATTTATTATTTATGTAATTTTACATATTTTTGTGTAATATATTACATATTTTTTTACAGTGTGCATGTACAATTATTTACACACGTGTCGGCGAGGATAATATTGTAATATACGAGATATATTTATTTCTTATTCAATAATATATATAATATTCATTAGCATATACGGGACTAATTTTATTAGAAAATTAACTTAAATTATAAATAGAATTTATTAGAAAATTATAACTTAAATTATAAATAGAAATTCATAATAGAAATTTTATAGTAAATTAAAATAAAAAAATGGAAAATAAACAGCGTAATATAAATCTAATAATAATATGTAATCATAGAAAAATTAGAAATCGAATACAACGAGAAATATATGCTTCTGGCAATAATAAATGAAAAAAATAGGTAAAAGAAATATTTACGCATATTTTATTAATTCAAAAAAAATATAATAAAAATTTTATCAACTTCTACCATATGGAATAATCAAGTTTACAGTTTCAGTATCTATTATGCTTAACGTATACATTAGGGTGGTCGTTATATAGGTTTTTTCAAAATTTTAATGTTGGATGGTAGTAAATCAGCTCTAAATGTAGAAAAAAAAATCTCTAAATTTTTCAGATTTTTATTTTGAGACTTGAGTCTCCCTGTTGGCATGTAATATTATTAATAATTTTATTAATACCACAGTTCTGCAGCTGCTTCTGTCATCAATTTTTGTTGTAAATAGTTTGAAATTTTAGTGAAAAAAAGTTGAAACTGTTTGAAAATACCGAAAATATAAAATAGTTAAATAATATAAATAGCGGAATAGCCCATATAATATTTATGACTATCTTTTATAAAAAATTAAATAATTTTGTTCACTACTTTTCCAGCTGACTCCATCTAGAACTGAAGTAAATTAAGTATTTTTTGAAATTATAAAAAATATAATATAAATAATATTTAAATATTATATAAATGAATAAATAAATGAACTGATATAAGAATATAACATAACACGTGTAAACAGGAAGACTCAAGGTTGAAAATAAAAATCTGAAAAAATTAGAGAATTATTTTTTCTACATTTGGAGCTGATTTATGACCGTCCAACATGATGTTCAATTTAACAACCACCCTAGTATACATATTATACTCTTACTAATTATTATTCATTGTTGCAGATATGCGGGATAACAAAACGCGCTCTTATACCTCGGAAGTCTGAGTTTCCGCCGTCCTAATTGTTCTTCTGACTTGATTGCCGGTGGTATTTGCGGCGGCGAAGAAGGTGGCGAAGAAGGGGTCGTTGTCAGTTCACTTTCCTCTAAACTACTACTAAGAGCGGATCCTATTCTATTCCCTAGGCCCTGGAGATACTCTCCGCTTCCTCCCAGAGCGGATCGCACAGACCTGAGAGCACCTCTGGTGCGTCCAATTAACGATCCTCCTCCATTAGAGGGTAAAGGCGCTGTGACGTCTACCATGTTCTGAAACAAAATACGTGTCATAATTAATCTGTCAGCTCTATATCTTCAAGAATTGTTCAATAACGCTATCTGTATTGGTACAGTAAGCTTTTCATATCTAGACAATATGCTGTTTGTTCAATATAGTTATCTAGAATTATAATAACATGCAAGAAATGTAAATGTATGGAGGAATTTAGAGATTAAAAATATGTGAATGTGAAATTAAAGATGAAAAATTAAATTGTCAGATATGTATAACAGATGACTGTGATTAATAATACGTACTGCGTATTTTGAAACATAAATATTTGTCATATATTTGCAATTTTAATTAGAGCAACAAGTGTGTTTCGTGATGCAAATAGATTAGGCTTGAAATAATAATACGGAGTGTATTGTTGAATTAATATAAAATCTCTGACTCAATTTTTGTATTTTCAAAAGCTTATACAAACGCTTATGCAAAATAGAATATTTTACAAAGCCTTGTAAAAAAGAATAAATAGAATAGAATAAAATAAAATTTGATTTTCACAAAACTTCCATAGAAACAGAAAATATTCTGTCTTATAAAAATTATTTTAAAATATACAAATAATAAATAAAAACCAAAACTATTGTTATTAAAAATACAACAATGGAAACTATTGTTTTTCTTGCGTAACGTTTTCGGTTCATCAAACCGAGATTAGAAATAACAGCGTGACGAATTTATTTCATGCATTGTAAAGTTTTGACGAATTGTAACAGCTCTGACAATGAATGCACTTTTGATAAATCTCCTTCAACTGCTGACTATGAAAGAATTTCTAATTCGCCGTGTCAAATGTCAATTGTGTATTTTGATACTTCTGCAAAGCAATTTACGAAACGAAGGCGACCTACCTCGCCGAACTATTATAGTCTCTGCAAAACAAGTAAGGCTGAAAGTAATCTCAGATAAGAAGCTATAAGCTTCATTTTAGATGTATATAGGCCACTGTGTGCCTACCTACTCATCTACAATATGCATACGTGTACACGCGTTATGCGTAAAGTGATAACGACGGTGAAAAAGAATTGAAAAAGATGTCCATCGACTGGAAATAATATTAACATTAAAACATTAATTTAAAGTTTATGCTATTTTGCAAATCATAATAAAAAGAAATAAAATTATTTAATTCGAAAAAAACAAAAAAAATTATTAAATGCAAAAAAGAATAAATTACAATTTACATGTGCATAATTAATCAATATAATTTAATACAAGCAGCTAATTTTAAATATTATTTGTATAAGAATGTATATGGAAGCAAATACCGGCAGTTTTTTCAATCTCTACAAATATAGAATTGTTAACAAAATTCTAAAATTCTGTCAATTAATTACCAGTGCTGTCATTTTAACTTTTTACACGCTAGTACGCCGTTGACATAAAAACAAATAACATATTCTTAGAGTAATTAATAATTATTATCTACATCCTTTTTATGTTAACTATATTAGCGTAAAAAGTTAAAACAACAGTACTAATGATACAATTTACATGTGCATAATTAATCAATATAATTTAATACAAGCAGCTAATTTTAAATATTTTTGTATAAGAATGTATATGGAAGCAAATACCGGCAGTTTTTTTAATCTTTACAAGTATAGAATTGTTAATAAAATTCTAAAATTCTGTCAATTAATTACCAGTGCTGTCATTTTAACTTTTTACGCGCTAGTACGCCGTTGACATAAAAACAAATAACATATTCTTAGAGTAATTAATAATTATTATCTACATCCTTTTTATGTTAACTATATTAGCGTAAAAAGTTAAAACAACAGTACTAATGATTAATTGACAGAATCTTAGATTTTTATTAACCATTTGTGTGTGCATGATAAATAAATAAAATTGTTGCGTATTTTAAAATTAATAATTATTATCTACATCCTTTTTATGTTAACTATATTAGCGTAAAAAGTTAAAACAACAGTACTAATGATTAATTGACAGAATCTTAGATTTTTATTAACCATTTGTGTGTGCATAATAAATAAATAAAATTGTTGCGTATTTTAAAAAAATATCTTGATCAGGATATAAAAAGTATATCAATCGATCCATCGACAATATACATCGCAATAAACATCTAAATGCGTTTTGCACTCGTACATCCAATCACATATTACACTACATTGCATGCGACCTTTCGCATTTATGTTTTAAACCAAAAAAGAAGAACGCCCGACATGTCACTAAGAAAGGGCATGCCATTTATATCGTGTTCCAGTTTTTTTTGTTGACGCAAAGCTTTGAAACGATTTATTTAACGCCGAACAAGTAAAATATACACACTCGTACAGTGATATTTTAAGTTCTGCAATAATCTCTATTTAATGTTGCACAACATATATATGTATATTGATCTAATAATAAAATAAAAGAAGAATAAATAGAGTAAAATCAATAAAAAATAAACTCGCAAAATCAGGCTATTGATATCGAGGCAATCATCCATTGTCGACTGGATATTTAAACTAAACAGACTTTTATAATTGGCCTATCACATACGTTGGTGACCACAAGAGATGATATAAAATCAACACGGATATCCTATATAATGAACTATTATTAACCACAGGATATGAGTTTTTGGTGTAATTTCGCTTTGTTCTTATTACTTGCGTTTGAAATAATTTGATCTTTACACGATTATGATTTATTACATAACACATTATTAATATTATTAAATAATATATCAAATAATATGTATTTTTAAAGAATATAAAATAGTATTAAGAATACAGTTTTGAAGAAATCAATTTTTAATTAACAAAAATTTAAATAAAATCTAATTGCATGTTAAATTTTTAGAATGTAAATATGTTTAATTACAATTATAATACAAATTATAATAAATTAAATGTTTAATTATAAATGCATCAAAATATCTAATATTAAAATTCGACAATTGCAAGTAATTTTAAACTTATTATGAAAAAATTGCGAAATCTACTCCTTTTAAAAATAAAAAATATCATATTGTCTTAAACATATAAAATTGCAATTTACATAAAGATTTATTATTTTAAATTTTCAAATTTATTAAACAATATTTATTAATCGATGCCATTTCAAATTTGTAATGTTAAAAATATTTGACACAATTTTTCAATAACTGATTAATTTACGACACATCATTTTAGGATAGATTAAAAGTTCAATTTAATAACATACGATTTTTAATAAATATAATTCTATAAGCAGGATAAAGAGAAAAATAATAAATAAACTATAAAATAAAATGTAAAACAACTGCCGGATGTTACCGTGCAAAAGCCTAAACAAAGCTTTCTGCGTGGAGTCTAAAGATAGATCATCGATTACGTCCACATGTCTATGGCAATTCGACGCCACAAGAATTTCCGATTAATGTGGGCGACGCGAGGGTGGAAGCACGTAATATCGGATAGAAAGAGAGAGAGAAAATTCATGTCAAGGATATTTTTAAATATCCAAATATAATCATATATTGTCTTATTTGCTTTCAGGAAATATTTAATTATTATTAACTTCAAATAAATTTAATAAATTAATTATATATATAATATATAAATAACATTTTTATATTATAAAAATTTGTATGCAAAAATATATATGACGCCTTATATAAAAATACTTATAATTATCTTTGGTATTCTTTTCTAACAAATTTTAGGTTGAATTGTACTCATTTCAAAGAGTATCTTTGATATCTTTTTAAGACAATTTTAAGAAATTAATACATATTTATTACACACGTATATAATTATCATTAAATATGTGGGATTTTAAATCAAACGCGGTTGTTTAATTGTTACATTGCATAATAATGTGCGGTATTTTAATTCAAAATAAGCGGTAAGCTTATAATAATTTATTAAAGACTTTATATTAAATAAAATCATAACATTATGTTAATTTTTATAATTAATTATGTATCCAATAGAGTAATGTACAAAGTTCTGTTACAAAATATATCACATTTATTAGCGATAGCATATATGAAACATATCTCTAATGTAAACTTTAACAAAGTGTTACGATGTAAATATTTATTATTACATATACACGCACATTGATAGAAATTTTTGTAATTTTTTTACATGAAATTTGTGATAAGAAGAAAAATATGTAGAATATTGCAAGGTTCAACGATCGACGGGTAAACCAACAGATAGCAAATATCAAAGAAAAATGAACTATTCATTGAACAAGCGGATTATGCGAGAATGAATGATGTTGACAGAACATGTGGGCGATTGTATTTCACAATGGCACACAACTGCAATGCAGCGTTATCTATATTATGCAGTTCCGCGCCATGCTAGATGTGCTTATTTGCGTGCAGATATTTTTAAGTATATGTGTACACAAAAACGAGGGAAAAAGAGAAGAAAGATGTCTTTCTCTGTTTATATATGCTGATAATAAACACAAAGATATGGATCACAAAATGCGGTCTATTACTTAGAAATTTCGCGTTAACTTAAAAAAAGAGCAGTATGACATAATTGCGTTCGTCACAACAAATGACGATTTATTTTATCATTGTCTGACGAACGCCTCATTATCACAATACAAAACATGATTTAATGTATCTTCCGCATGCAAAACAAGCATCGCGAAAGTATCAAACGGGAAGCGCAACTAAAATCGTTAATAATAAATGTTGCGACAGCAAATTTGCAAGTTAATGATCGCATTTGTCAAAAGGCAGAAACTGTTTGCACTATTACTTTAAAATATTTTAAATACAATTTCACATATAATTCTTTAATTCTCAACTCATAAAAACTATACTCCAATATTTTGCATACTAATGTTTGCATCGCTTTTCACAAGTGCGAAAGCAAATCTCTCTATCTCTCTAGTAGGTGTCATATAAAACGCTTTTATAACATGTGTAATTTAATACCTTTTTGTAAAAAATATTGACATTTGAAAAGCTTTTATGTTAACAAGTGTTTTTATGTTAACAACTGTTGCTTAACGATCTATATATTAAGATCAAATTAGAGTTTCACGAATGCTTACATTTAATGTAATTTTTACATAATTATATAATGCTATATGTGAATAATGTAATCAAAATATTTGCTTATCAATTATATTATTACGCTGTTATAGCAATCATTCAAATGTTAAAAAGATTAAAAAGTTGGACACAAATTGCAACTGTTTGAATATTTTTGTGAAAATATACGATTTTTATCATATTGTACCATATATTATCAATTCTGTTATCAATTGAAAATAATTTAACGCGTACGCGCTTTATCATGCATATCAATATATATTAAAATTTTTAAATATTAAAATTTATTAATTATATAAAATATAATAATAAATAACAATAATATTTAAAAAATGCAATCGTGAATTAGCAAATATGGTACTTGCTAATATAGATAAGTATACACTCAAAACATACAACACATACATATTATTATTTAATCTTTTTTATATAACAAAGTTTAAAAATCTATAAAATCTCCTCAGAAACTTCAAATATATTTATTTATTCGAAAAAATAATTATTAAAAAATAAATAAGTAACCGAATTTGATCTTCGAAAGAATGTCTTGCTAATAATAATGTTCTAAATTTACACAAATATATTTTCTAAAAAAAATAATTAAAAGCAAGATAATATTGAATATAGAACACTAGAAATTAGTCAATATAATGCAAGTTGTGTTTGAGTGGCACAAACGCGCAGCTGTCAAAACAGACGAAGTTTTCTAACTATTTTACGGTAAAAATATTTTCTAAAACTGACAGATTCCCGATATATAAATACGTTTTAAAAATTATTACTGAAAAATAATGAAAAAATAAAAATATTTTATAAAGTCAGCTTTATAATAGCTTTATATATAGCTATCGAAACACATCTCTTCTCGCGAGTTAGTGAAGTGAGCTTTGATATGTTCTTTAATAAATCAAATACCAAATGCAGGAATGAAGCCTTAAAACCACAGACGATCACTGTCACCCTCGCAAAATGTTGGTGAACGCGTGTGACACTGCTCTTGACATACTACTACGGACTTGCACTATCGTGAGCTTTGCAGCTGCTTCGGGGACTATTCGCACATAACGTTGCATTACCCCTCCAGTATGCGATCGGATTAATAAACGCGCATGCGTTTATTACGATCAATACGATGTCTCGATTTACCAGCACGTTAATTAATTCTAACACTGTTGAAATTCACCACCGTGTATATACTGACAGTCGGTACCATGCCAACTGACAATGAAAAACTATCAGACCAGAGTATCAGTTCAATATACGTATGGTCTGCTAAATGCATAATCGCCCGAATGAATATAAAACGTGCTTAATGAATTTTAAAGAATAAATTGTATAGGAAATTATATAAGAAAAAATAAATCATATAATGTAAAATTATTTCGTTATCCAAACATAAAAAGAAATAATATTTGAATTTAAATCACAAAATGATAATGTAATATATTTATTAAACTGATTTTGAAATATTTCATATATCTAATATTTTTTTATATCTAATTTAATATATTTAATTAAAAATATTAATATAATTTTATATATGTATATTATATTTACAATTTAAAAAAATTATATATAAGTGACAGTTAAATTAAAGTATTATTTAATATTTTTTATTGCAGAAAACATTACAATCCATAAGTGCATAATAGAGGTGCATTAAGTGTTTTTCCTTAAATATAATAAAATAAAAGTGTGGTGAAGGCAGCTTTAATGTAACTTGATGTTCAAAGATGTAACTACTACAGCGGCTTTCTTAGGTAAAACTATTCGGCCATGAACATAATTTCTGCAAAAGATATAAAAGTGAAATATATATCTACATAGAAAACCTGTCAACACCATTAAACAATATATAATTATAATAATATTTATATAATGTTCTTTGAAAACTAGAATATATTTTTTATGAATTGTATGAATAATTATATGTTGCAGCATAAATTAATAATATATAATGTTATTAAAAGATTTGGTATCTATTTAACATATTTAAAAATACTCAAATATTTCTCAGTATAATTATAGATTTTTGATGGAGAATTCATCAAAACAGTATTTTTAATTATAAATTTGATTAAAAATTTGTTAATAAAATTACAAGTGATGCTGGACAAGTTTCTGATAAATAATTTTTATCGTTGAATAAAAAATCTTACTGTTATAATTCTTCTATAACATTTATAATTATACAGAAATATAAGTACTACGTAAACAATGTTAAAAAAGTGTTTAAAAAATCGTACCCTCTGCGTATACCAGAACCCAAGCTGGCAACCTGAACTTTCATGTCTCGTGGAAGTTCTTGGTGCAATCTTGACAGATCGACAAGGTGAGAGTGGTTATTGTCAAAGTTAGCCAAAAACAACACGGTACGACGGTTATGCAGGTTACCAACATTTCGGATCACACCCAAGACTGCACCATTGTTCGTCGTAAACGATTTATAATGTCCTTTGGTTAATGCTGGCTCTTTGCGATGCAGACTGGCTAAGGTTTTATAGATCTTGTAATGTGATTCATGATAAGTCCTTATCTCGTTCTTCAAGTTGAGCGTTTTATAGTTTTTATTCACCGGAAGCCACGTTGAATTCGCCGTACTAAAACCTGCCGTCATAAATCGATTAGATTTAATAATATATTGTTGTTAATTAAATAAAATAAAAATTCATATTTTACCTGCGTTCTTCGTGTCGTCCCATTGGAATGGTGTTCGTTCTGGATCGCGAGACACAGCGGCATAATGTTCTTTGCCTGCTCCACACGCCTCAGGATCCTGCGTATCCGCCCAGGATATATCCCTCTTATCGACCATACCAATTTCATCACCATTATAAGTCACTGCCATGCCTGGTAAAATCATGGACAACATAGTCATTTGGTCCAATCTGTCGGGAAAACGAGAGGCTACGCGCGGATTGTCATGATTTCCCAACTAAAAACAAGTTTACGCACATATACATATATTACATTTCAATTTTGTCTAGAAAATTAAAAACTACAAATATATTTCTTTTTTGTATATACTTTGTAAATTTTTTTTATTTTTTTAAACTGTGATAATAACAAATCTAAGATATTTAATATTATATAAAAGTAAAATACGAGACTAAATATTTTAATAAAAGTCTTCTCTTGGAAATGCAACATAACATTTTAGATAAAAAATTGAACTTTTGTAACTTAGTTATATATAGGTTTTTTATGTGATAATTTCAATATCTTATTATATGAAAAAATAGTAATAATTTGCAACTTGTATTTTACTTACTTGGAGTTTACTTAATTAAAACAACTTTTAAAAACGTATGACGTTTTGAAAACGATAAAAATGTATAACTATATATGCACACTTATTATCAGTAAATTTTATTGTGTTTTATAAATTTTAATAAAATAAAATATTCATTTTTAAAACTTCTTTTTAGTGCAATCCATATATATAGTATTCAATATAAATAAGAATTATAAAATCTTTTCTTTACATTGCCATTAAGTTAAAACAATTCAGTTTGGTAAATTTCATTAAAAATAACAAGTAAAGTCTTTCTCATTAAAATAATAATAAACGATGAATTCATGTAAATACATACCACCCAATTAGCAATTCCACTTTTGGTATTGAATTTATCCAAAGGTCCATTTCGTTTTTGACAAATTGCGCGGACGAATTAACGGTCACATTTATTACAAACTCAAAATTGAAAGGCAGCACATCATAGTCATAATATTGCATGGTGTATGGAAAACTGGTATACGCTTCCATCACCATTATCTAGAAAGATGAGAAAAAATATATTATAATTTTATAAATCAATAAAGCACAAAATATAGATTTAAAAACAAAATATTGGTTTATTCACTTTCTGAGTCTGATTACGCTGATCAGAATAATTATCTACGTATTCTCTCCAACTTTTGTAGAGCTCATAAGTAGGAAGTTGATCAACAGTGTAAATATGATCCAAATATGAATAATCTCGCGATGTGGCACCAGCCACGTAACTTCTGGGCTCATCTCGCAATTGTTTGTCCTCATAAATAAACGGAGCGGAATCGACGCGGAATCCGTCTATACCCAAATCCAGCCAGAATTTTAATACTTCCTATAACCGATTAAAAAAAATCATTAGGAAAATGCAAGAGTATAAGCTTAAACTGCTGTAACGCGTAAGATGTTTTTTTATTCATTTTTCTTTATATGTATATCTTTCTAATTATAAAATTTATATTTTCTTACACAACTTTAAACTTTGAATTTAATTTACAATTATAAATTTTCACTGAAACTTTTATTTGAAAAAAACTGTTTAAAAGATTCATAATCTAGATTCAATTATGAGTTTTTAATGGAAACAAAAATATGGTAACAAAAAAATTAAATAATGAATTAATATATAAAATATTAATGCGCTAATAAATTATGTTATAATTTATTTTATCATGTTGCATATTTTGAAGAAGATTATATATCTCATGTAAGTTAAAGAATATATTAAACGTCGAATTAACAGAAATGATCACAATTATTATTTAATTATACTAATAATTAATATAATATTGATAAATTATAAAAACGCGATAGAGTCTTTTTTTATCCTTCTTACAAATAAAATTAATGTGACTATATATATACATATATACTTTGAATTTTCAGATGAAATATCAGAAAATCATGTATTTTGATAAAAGTCTTTATTTCTGAAAATCCAACGTATATACCAACATTTTAGGAAAAAACTGAACTTTTCTTTGTAACTTACTTGCAATTCCTCTCTTACTTCAGGATTGGAGAAATTCAAATCAGGTTGTCTATAATCGAATTGATGAAAATACCATTGTTTTTGTGACTCGGCGTAAGTCCACGCGGGACCGCTAAACACACAGATCCAATTATTAGGCGGCGTTTTGTCGTCCTTATCTTTACCATCTGCCCACATGTAATAATTCTTATATTTCTCATCTCCTGCAAGAGCTTTTTGGAACCATGGGTGCTTGTCAGATGTATGATTAGGTACAAGATCGAGGACCACCTATAATAATGATATTATGAAATAACTGCTTAAAAAACCAATTTAGTTTTATGTAATGATTTTGATGTGTAGACAAACTGCCGTACTTTTAGACCAAGTTTTTTAGCTTCCGCTACGAGAGTCTTGAAATCGTCCAATGTGCCAAAAGTTGGATCGATCTCCGTAAAATTCGATATATCATATCCAAAATCGACCATAGGACTTGTATATATGGGCGACAACCATATCGCGTCGATACCAGTTTCCACGAAATAGTGCAACTTTAAAGTTATTCCTGATTACATTAAAAAACAAAAGTAAAAATTTTGCAAATGTTCATATAGTTGGCTTACATTATTCATACATTGATGTTTTTTAATAATATACGTATATATACTCAGTTAGATTAATTAAATCTGAATTATACGATAATTAATCAATCAAAGTTGTAACATCATATACATACATATATATATATATATATATAATGTAATAATTTTTTATTCTTTCTCGTCTTATAAAACACATATTAAAAAATAATAGTTGATATATGCTTACCTTTCAAATCGCCTACGCCATCGGCATTCGTATCATACAAACTTCTCGGATACACCTGATAGAAGACAGTATTGTTCCACCATCCCTTATCATGAATTTCAGCAGACGAACAGCTCACTAGGAGCAAAAACGCACACAATCCTATTAGTGACATGATGCCGTTTGCACTTATCAAACCTCTGAAAATTATATATATATATGAATGACTAACAAGAAAATTAGTGGTTTCCTTATCAGTTGTACCTAATTAATGTTATGCTATCTTTGCGTTAGAAAAAAAAGAAATAAATTACAAGCATGAAACAATGACTCACCGCAACTTTAAGTGCGATTTCTTCATTGTCATCGATCAATTACCACGAAAAATGATTAATGTTTTGTTAAAAGATCACAGGTATTAATGGCACAAAGTCCATGTAAATGACAGAATCTATATAAATGACATTGTTTAGATTACCCGGAAATAACTCGAAAAATGTGTTTAAGTATGACACGTACGTGATGCTCTTGCTTTATTATCATTATAATTACGCAATATATCGCATTCGTACGTAATATGTTATAAATAATATTCAAGAAAAACTGCGTAGTTTTCTGCAATTAACAAACTATATATAGTATTTAGTCAAAGTAATTATGTACATTGTATGTGCATGTCAAAATACCGGAAAAGAAAAAAATGTTATATCCTGTGATAATATATCTCAAAAATTAATTTTGAAAATACTCTTATTCTGGAATAGAAAAATATATTTTTCCAACACATCATATAGTAATCATATAATAAAGTATATAAAGTATATATCTAAGTATTAAAATATATTTTCTTAATAACTTTAATTTTACAATCATATATCTTACAATTGCAACGTGATATAGAAGATTTTGAAAATTGTATTTAACTTAAAAAAGTGTAAAAAAAATAATTTTTTTGAAAAAGAAATTTATGTTAAATTAATATAATAGCCTAACTCGTGCGAAGATATCGGTAAATATAAAATATGCAAAATGCACTCTGATTGTTAATAAATATAAAATTGAACATAAAATTGATACATAATACAAAATTATTAATACAAAAATATATTAATACAAAAATAATAACTAACAATTTAATTACACACACACACACATATATTTCCACACATCCACACATATATACAGGTACACATATACATGCACACACATTTCCTTCTTTAAGATATATATATATATATATATATATATATATATATGATATATGATATATATGATATATTTAGAAAATATCATTTATTCTTCTTTATTATATATATATATATATATTAATGTTATTTTGGACTCGGGATCCCACTTCACGAACCAGACCATTTCATTTACTACTCTAATATAAAATAACTTTATTCCTACTTACAATTAATCAAGATGTGTACCCCATCTCGGTGGCTAATGAGAGAGAATTATCGTTATGAGAGGAGAAAATAGTGCGAAAACATAGCATGACTTTTTATAAAAATGATAATAAATAAAAATGCCGTACTACTTTACTTGTATAACAAATTGGAACGTTGTGTAAGTCGAATAGTTTTTGAGATATCTACTATAACTAGACAACACAAGCGCGCTCCTTTGATGTCATTTCTATTGTTCATTTTACAACTGTCAAATTGTTAATCTTCAATGACGGTTGTTTGATGCTATGACCATAATTTTAATTCGCCGAATTTCTATTATGTACACAATTTTAATTCGCCGAATTTCTATTATATACATAATTTTAATTCGCAGAATTTCTATTATGTAAATAAATTTAATTCGTCGAATTTCTATTATGTACATAATTTTAATTCTCGAATTTCTATATTATATACATTATAATTTTAATTCCCAAATTTCCATTATGTATATAATTTTAATTTATTGAATTTCTATTATGTACATGCATTATTATTTTAATCGGCCTCCCCCAAGGTGAAAAGTATGTGTTGAGCACATTACTGACGTAAAAAAAAAAAAAAAAAAAAAAAAAATTCCGACTCATCACTATAACGACATGCGGCGAAACGAGACAATATCCGTTTTATTAAATAAAAAATGACAATAAATATGTTGTCCTCAACTGATTTCTAATCGATTCTTTTTATAATTAATGTTAAATGTTATAACTATCTGCTAACTTGACGGTTAGTAATATTTTGTTATTAACAAAAAACTATTATTTCCTAAATGTTAAAATAGTTTTCCTAAACTTTCCCACACGATAATTAAAATAATTAAAAAATATTCAATTCTTTTGCTTATACTACGGTGATGACCGGATCTCCTGCCGACCTTTAACTATAATTTACAAATTTTTTAGATAGTTTCCTAAAAACTTTTTTATCTCTTATATCAAAACTTTGGGCCTTAATACTTATCTATAAAACTCGTTGAGGTGCAAGCGGAACTCTAAACAGAACTGCAAAATTCGGAAAAAAATTTCAACCCCTTTGAATTTTGAAAATTACTGAAGAATATAATTAAAAGAGGCCACGATTTTTTATCTCTTATTTCACAGCTTCGGGCCTTAATACTTATCTATAAAATTCGATGGAGTCCAAACAGTACTCTAAACAAAACTGCGAAATTAGAAATAATTTCAACCCCTTTGAATTTTGAAAATTACTGGAGAATATAAATAAAAGAAGCCACGATTTTTTTATCTCTTATTTCACAGCTTCGGGCCTTAATACTTATCTATAAAACTCGTTGAGGTACAAACGGAACTCTAAACAAAACTGCAAAATTCGGAAAAAAATTTCAACCTCTCAGAAATTTGATAATTTCTGGAGCAAATAATTAAAGTGGTCTAACTTTTTTATCTTTTATTTCACAGCTTCGGGCCTTTAATACTTTTCGATAGATTTCGTTGGGATGCACACAGTACTCTAAACAGAACTGCGAAATTATAAAAAAATTTCAACCTCTTTGAATTTTGTAATGATGGATTTAAGACAAGAATCGGATATACTTGTCTTGTCTTGATTTTTTTCAATCAAGACTAATTCTGTCTTGATCTCGACAGTCAATTTCTTGTCTTGATTCTTGATTCTTGTAAGATTCTTGCAAGATTCTTGATACTTTTATAATATCTATAGATATTTATTTAGAACATCTTGATTTTATTATTTTTGAAAATTTTTATAAAAATTATCAAAAAAAATATGTTTTTGACAGAGAAATGTTCACTAAAAATACAAAAAAAATTATGAAATGTTATTAAAACAAAATTTTCTATTACTGATAAAAATAAATAAATATGAATATCAAAAATAATAGAAAACACGATATTATTGTATTGTCGCTAAATATTGCTATAATTTTACATAAATATTCATATATTTGAATGTTTTATTAAAATTTGAACCTTAAGTAATATAGTTATTATTATAGTAATATAATTATTTTTATCAAATAAAAATTTTTTATATTCAAAAAATAAAAGACTTTGGTTTTCAATAAAACTATAAAGTTTATTGTTTTTGAGCAATTTAAATTTTGCATTTAATTATTTAAAATTGGGACTGGACGGGATGAGCTCAACGTGATTATAGTGTTAAATAACCTTGATAAAATATATATATATATATATATATATATACATATATACATATATATAATATAATATATACACAAACAATTATATAAAATTATAGATATTTAAATATATATTACATTTTTGTCAGGATACTTTTAAGAAAGTGACAGTTTAATTAAAGTGTTATTTAATATCTTTTATTGCAGAAAACATTACAATCTATAAGTGCATAAGTGCATAATAAGGCATAAGTGCATTAAACATTAAATATAATAAAATAAAGGTACGGTGAAGGCAGCGCTTTAATGTAACTTGATGTTCAAAGATGTAACCACTACAGCGGCTTTCTTCGGTAAAATTATTCGGCCATGAACGAGTTTTCTGCAAAATATATAAAAATGAAATATATATCTACACAGAGAACCTATCAACATCATTGAACAATATATACTTATAATAATGTTTATATAATGTTCTTTGAAAAAACTAGAATATATTTTTTATAAATTGTATAAATAATTATATTTTACAGTATAAATTAATAATATATAATGCTATTAAAAAATTGGTGTCTATTAAACACTTTTAAAAATATTCAAATATTTCTCTGTATAATTATAGATTTTTAATGGGGAATTTATCAAATGAGTTTTTTTAATTATAAATTTGATTAAAAATTTGTTAATAAAATTACAAGTGGTGCTGAACGTTTCTCATAAATCATTTTTATCGCTGAATAAAAAATCTTACTGTTATAATTATTCTTTAACATTTATAATTATGCAGAAATATAAGTATATATATTTACGTAAACAATGTTAAAAAAGTGTTTTAAAAATCGTACCCTCTGCGTATACCAGAACCCAAGCTGGCAACCTGAACTTTCATGTCTCGTGGAAGTTCTTGGTGCAATATTGACAGATCGACACGGTGAGAGTGGTTATTGTCAAAGTTAGCCAAAAACAACACGGTACGACGGTTATGCAGGTTACCAACATTTCGGATCACACCCAGGACTGCACCATTGTTCGTCGTAAACGATTTATAATGTCCTTTGGTTAATGCTGGCTCTTTGCGATGCAGATCGGCTAAGGTTTTATAGATCTTGTAATGTGATTCATGATAAGTCATTATCTCGTTCTTCAAGTTGAGCGTTTTATAGTTTTTATTCACCGGAAGCCACGTCGAATTCGCCGTACTAAAACCTGCCATCATAAATCGATTAGATTTAATAATATATTGTTGTTAATTAAATAAAATAAAAATTCATATTTTACCTGCGTTCTTCGTGTCGTCCCATTGGAATGGTGTTCGTTCTGGATCGCGAGACACAGCGGCATAATGTTCTTTGCCTGCATTACACGCCTCAGGATCCTGCGTATCCGCCCAGGATATATCCCTCTTATCGACCATACCAATTTCATCACCATTATAAGTCACTGCCATGCCCGGTAAAATCATGGACAACATAGTCATTTGGTCCAATCTGTCGGGATAACGAGAGGCTACGCGCGAATTGTCATGATTTCCCAGCTATAAACAAGTTTACACATATACATATGTTACATTTCAATTTTGTCTAGAAAATTAAAAACTACAAATATATTTCTTTTTTGTATATACTTTGTAAATTTTTTTTATTTTTTTAAACTGTGATGATAACAAATCTAAGATGTTTAATATTATATAAAATTAAAATACGAGACTAAATATTTTAATAAAAGTCTTCTCTTGGAAATGCAACATTAAACTTTAGAAAAAAATTGAACTTTTGTAACTTACTTATATATAATAAAAATACAAATCAACGCTCGTGTAAAATTTAAAATTAATAAAACATGAAAAGTAGGCCAAATATACGAGTCGAAATAATTTAGATGTAAGAATAATTAAAAATTATTTATTCATAATATAAATGTAGACGTTTCGACCTTATTAGGTCTTTATCAATACAATCAACCGCAAGTATAAAATTATAAAATATAATAAAGAAATTTAAACATAATCTCGCAAGCTATGTAAAGACGAAACTTTGATTATCATTCGATTTAATTACAATGGTTGAAACAATTATTCTTAGATGTCTTAAATTTCTTTATTATATTTTATAATTGTATACTTGCGGTTGATTGTATTGATAAAGACCTAGTAAGGTCAAAACGTCTACATTTATATTATGAATAAATAATTTTTAATTATTCTTACATCTAAATTATTTCGGCTCGTATATTTGGCCTACTTTTCATGTTTTATTAATTTTTACTTATATATATATATTATAAGTTTTTTATCTGATAATTTCAGTGTTATTATATGAAAAAATAGCAACAATTTGCAACTTGGAGTTTATTTACAATTAGAACAATTTTTAAAAACGTGTGACGTTTTGAAAGCGATAAAAATTGATAACTATATATGCATACTTATTATCAGTAAATTCTATTATGTTCTTTAAATTTTAATAAAATAAAATATTTATTTTTAAAACTTTAGTGCAATACATATATATAGTATTCAAATGAGAATTATAAAATTTTTTCTTTACATTGCAATTAAGTTAGAACAATTCAGAGTTTAGTAAATTTTATTAAAAATAACAAGTAAAGTCTTTCTCATTAAAATAATAATAAACGATGAATTCATGTAAATACATACCACCCAATTAGCAATTCCATCTTTTGGCATTGAATTCATCCAAAGGTCCATTTCGTCTTTAAAAACTTGCGCGGACGAATTAACGGTCACATTTGTTATAAACATGAAATTGAAAGGCAACACACTATAGTTATAATATTCCATGGTGTGTGGAAAACTGGTATATGCTTCTATCACCATTATCTAGAGAGATGAGAAAAAATATATTATAATTTTATAAATCAATAAAGCATAAAATATAGATTTGAAAACAAAATATTGGTTTATTCACTTTCTGAGTCTGATTACGCTGATCAGAATAATTATCTACGTATTCTTTCCAACTTTTGCAGAGCTCATAACTAGGGAGTTGATCAAGAGTGTAAATATGATCCAAATATGTATAATCTCGCGATGTGGCACCAGCCGCGTAACTTCTGGGCTCATCTCGCAATCCTTTATCCTCATAAATAAACGCAGCGGAATCGATGCGGAATCCGTCTGTACCCAAATCCAGCCAGAATTTCAATACTTCCTATAACCGATTAAAAAAAATTATTAGGAAAATGCAAGAGTAAGCTTAAACTGCTGTAACGTGTAAGATGTTTCTTTATTCGTTTTTCTTTATATGTATATCTTTCCAATTATATAAAATTTATATTTTCTTACACAGCTTTAAATTTTGAATTTAATTTACAATTATAAATTTTTATTGAAACTTTTATTTGAAAAAAACTGTTTAAGAGATTCATCTAGATTAAATTATGAGTTTCTAATGTAAACAAAAATGGTAACGGAAGAAATTAAATAATAAATTAATATATAAAATATTAATGCGCTAATAAATTATGTTATAATTTATTTTATCATGTTGCATATTTTGAAGAAGATTATATGATATCTCATTTAAGTTAAAGAATATATTAAACGTCGAATTAACAGAAATGATCACAATTATTATTTAATTATACTAATAATTAATATAATATTGATAAATTATAAAAACGCGATAGAGTCTTTTTTTATCCTTCTTACAAATAAAATTAATGTGACTATATATATATATATATATATATTGTACTTTGAATTTTCAGATGGAATATTAAAAAATCATGTACTTTGATAAAAGTCTTTATTTCTGAAAATCCAACGTATATACCAACATTTTAGGAAAAAACTGAATTTTTCTTTGTAACTTACTAGCAATTCCTCTCTTACTTCAGGATTGGAGAAATTCAAATCAGGTTGTCTATAATCGAATTGATGAAGATACCATTGTTTTTGTGAACCAACGTAAGTCCACGCGGAATCGCTAAACACACTGATCCAATTATTAGGCGGCGTTTTGTCGTCCTTATCTTTACCATCTGCCCACATGTAATAATTCTTATATTTCTCATCTCCTGCAAGAGCTTTTTGGAACCATGGGTGCTTGTCAGATGTATGATTAGGTACAAGATCGAGGACTACCTATAATAATGATATTATGAAATAACTGCTTAAAAAATCAATCTAGTTTTATGTAATGATTTTGATGTGTAGGCAAACTGCCATACTTTTAGACCAAGTTTTTTAGCTTCCGCTATGAGAGTCTTGAAATCGTCCAATGTGCCAAAAGTTGGATCGATCTCCGTAAAATTCGATATATCATATCCAAAATCGACCATAGGACTTGTATATATGGGCGACAACCATATTGCGTCAATGCCAGTTTCCACGAAATAGTGCAACTTTGAAGTTATTCCTGATAATATTAAAAAAGAAAAAGTGAAAATTTTGCATATGTTCATATAGTTTGCGTACATTATTCATACATTGATGTTTTTTAATAATACACGTATATATATACTCAGTTAGATTAATTAAATCTAAATTATACAATAATTAATCAATTTCAAAGTTGTAACATTATATACATATATATATATTTATATATGTAATAATTTTTTATTTTTTCTTGTCTTATAAAACACATATTAAAAAATAATAATTGATACATGCTTACCTTTCAAATCACCTACGCCATCGGCATTCGTATCATATAAACTTCTCGGATATACTTGATAGAAGACAGTATTGTTCCACCATCCCTTATTATGAATTTCAGCAGACGAACAGCTCACTAGGAGCAAAAACGCACTCAAGCCTGTTAGTGACATGATGCCGTTTGCACTTATCAAACCTATGAAAATTATATATATATATATATATATATATATATATATATATATGTATTAATGACTAAGAAGAAAATTAGTTGCTTCCTTATTAGTTGTACCTAATAAATATTATGCTATCTCTGCGTTTCAAAAAAAAGAAATAAATTACAAGCATAAAGCAATGACTCACCGCAACTTTAGGTGTGATTTTTTCATTGTCATCGATCAATTACCACGAAAAATGATTAACGTTTCGTTAAAAGATCACAGATATTAATGGCACAAAGTCTATGTAAATGACAGAATCTATATAAATGACATTGTTTAGATTACCCGGAAATAACCCGAAAAATGTGTTTAAGTATGACACGTACGTGATGCTCTTACTTTATTATCATTATAATTACGCATATATTGTATTCGTACGTGATATGTTATAAATAATATTCAAGAAAAACTGCGTAGTTTTCTGCAATTAACAAACTATATATAGTATTTAGTCAAAGTAATTATGTACATTGTATGTGCATGTCAAAATACCGGAAAAGAAAAAATGTTATATCCTGTGATAATATATTTTAGCAAGAAAAGAAAAGACATAATTATGTTTTGTACATTATTTCAAAATTAATTTTTGTTAAATTAATATAATAGCCTAGCTCGTGCGAAGATATCGATAAATATAAAATATGAAAAATGCACTCTGATTGTTAATAAATATAAAATGTTGGCATTAAAATTAAATAGATGTTAACAATTAATGTTAACGTAATGATAGCAACGTGTGTATATCTGTTAGAAAATTTTATATGTTAATTTTCTGTTAACAGTATGCTTATTATATATACTAAATGCACACTTTTCGGCACAAATGACTTTTTTCATATAGGATTATTTCAAAATCGAGAGTGCTGTTGAATAACGCATATCATTCCTATATTCGATATTTTCTGTTTTTTTAAGAATAATTTGTAATTAGTAACATAATGTATGGTCAAAATTATGCTAGTGAATTATAGAGCTAGTTGAAAACTATAAATTTTCATGGTTCAACTTGCTAACTTGGATTGAAAGTTAACACATCATTTCACATTTTTTAAATTTGAACAATAAAATTTTATAATTTTGGACGTGTTCTATAGTTTTATATAGCATAATTTTGATCGTAGGCTGCTACTAAATATATATTTAAACATAAAAACTCGAATTCACGAATATATGAGGGTGGCCGTATTTCGAGCATTTTGTTTATTGTAAAAATATTTAAATATTGAATTTTTATGCATTGCATAATTAATTAATATGTTTTTTATGCATTAATTGCAATAATAATTTTTACATGCATGCGTCGCAATTTTTCAGATTTTATTATCAAAGAATAATAAAACTTTGCTTGTTATATTTGGTTAGATTAAATAAAATTATATACACACACACACATATATAATCCCGACAATATAAATATTTTTACTATAAATTATAGATTATATGCATAGATGTACAGATGTACAAGATGTTTCCGATACATACACATCATTATGTCGGGTTGCCTATCAGCTTACCGACAGGGGCATACTTTTTGACAAAAAAAAGTCGACTTCATCATTCTATATATACAGTAAACACTTGTGAAATTGGATAATATAGATAAAATAACATAAGTAAAATTTAATAATAAAATTTTACTAAACTTTTATTAAAAAATATTTTTTAATTTATCATTAACATAATTTTTATCTATAAATATAATAAGTCATATAATAAATTATCTGTATATATGTTATCTATAAATATAATATCTATAAATATAATAATAAATTATATCGATAAATATAATATTTATAAGTCATATAATAATTTTTTAGTAAATATAATAAGTCATGTAATATATATAATCTATAAATATAAATCATATAATAAATATATAATTTGACTTATTATATTTAATATAAATTTATTATGTGACTTATTATATTTATACATAAAAATTATATTAAAGATAAATTAAAAAATAGTTTATAAAAAAATTTTAGTAAAATTTGATTAATAAATTTTATCTATGTTATTTTATCTATATTATTAAATTATATTTTATCCGTATTACCCAATTTCACAAGTGTTTACTGTATATATAAAACAATAAAGTCGACTTCCTTTCTCATAAAGCATGCCCCTGTCGGTAAGCAGATAGGCAACCCGACATAATGATGTGTATGTATCGAAAACACCCTGTACATACAAATAATCACCTGTTCTCTCTCTCTCTCTCTCTCAGTCTAAGAATATGCACTTGCATAGTGTAAATTTATAATTTCATCACAGAATAATATTTATGCAATTTTAAGGATACATAGCAGGTGCAACAAAAAACTGTGTTACACTTTGGAATTCATAATTCTTCAAATAATTTCTCATATTTTATTTATTTATTGACATTTTTCTTCTCTGTACAAAATTTTATTGAAATAGAATAATTGAATAATTTACAATTATCACGAATGACGTCTGCATTATCTATGATTCGTCTAACTTCCATTCGACATATGATTATAATAATAGTACTATCATAATTGCATTAATAAGCCGAAAGACAATCATAGATAATTCACACAAAGAAAATACATAATTATTAAATATTAACAAGAACAAATTGACAAAATAAAATTTTTCGATAGAGATACACACATCCAAGAAAAACGCAAAGAAAAATATTCAACATAATTTTAACACATATATGTATATCGCATTGCATGCACGCATTGCTATAAATAATTAGTCGTCGCATAAAAAAGAACAGAAAATATCGTCTAAATATTTTAGATTCCATCGTATATCCCACGCATCTCGGCTGTACAATATTATAATACATGTAAGTTTGCTCCTTATACATTTTTTTCTTTCTCGAAGAGGAGCGATTTTTCCGAGAAAGAACACTATCTACCTACTTCTACATTCTGTATATTCTATAATTTGAAAAATATTTCTTTCTTGACAATATTTTGTCAAGCAATACTTTTGCAAAATAATTCCTCATAATCATTAGCATATAATTAAACGATGTCTGTCTGAAAAATACATAGATCGCTCCGTTATACATTAGTTAACTGCAGAAATAAGTCTTGGCAGTTGGCACTTGGCAGGAATGTCTTCAGAAGGCAAAAACGATGGCCGTTTGACTTCCGCTATTCGTTCATCACATGTGCACCACCTTCGGCGTGCTAAAATCACATATCACATATCGATATTTTATTTATATATATATATATATATATATATATATATATATATATATATATATATACACACACACAATATATATAATATATTTAACAATGAAAATTTTATATATAAAATTATTAAAATTCTGTGAAATTATAATGCTATATGTATATAAAATTGAAAAATAATAGAATTAATAAATCGTTATCATGGTTTTATATAAAAAAAAAAGAATAAAACTAATAAACTATAAAATATATTTTATAGCATATTTATATATAATTTACCTTTTGCCCCACAACCAATTCAAAAGCACACTCGACTGACTCTGAACATCTCGAGCTGTGAACAAAATATTAAATCAATATAATTTGTACTGATACGTAGTTTTATATATTTGATAAAAATATTTACTAACTATTATATACTCATCAAGGAATACCTACAGAGCGTGTAATTAGCGTTGACCAGTCTTGCGGCTGCTTCAGGTGGCAATGTACTTAAAACATCTCTGTGCGCTAACAAGGACATTTGTTGCGTATGCCTTAACTCCCGTTCGTCCTTTAATCGTACGTCCTTGGCGTGACTGACCGAATGCAACTGCGACAATCTAAAGGGAGAATCTAGCTTATATCAAGCCGCAAGCGAATTAAGATATGCGGTGAGCGAGATATTTGAACGTCATCCTGTTGAAGGACAAAATTATTTTTCATTCTTCAACATTACTTGAACTTTGCAGGATAGGCAATCTACGAAGAAACATTCGATTTCTACTGGTCGACAAAATAATGAAACTTCCGACTTTACGCAATGATCTTAATTAAAATTTGTATGCTCTAAGGCGAGATCATCATCATTGTTCGCGCCAATGGACTAACATAGCAGCGACTAGGAAGAAGAAAACTTTGATTAATCCCAAACGAAAAGCCTCGACTTTTAACTATAAAAAATTGTCTACCTCGCCCAAAAATAAATTTAATTTTTTTTTCAAATATACTATATGCTAAGAAATACTCGCGTCAACTTTTAGCATTAAATATAATCATCGATAGCATCAAAATTATTTATATTAGATGAACTAAATTACAGAAACTATGCTTAGCATTAAACGTAAGACACGAATATACTCGGATCTTTTTCTGCAAATTGATTACAAGAAGTGGATTATACAAAAATTGTAATTATGAAATTTTACGTACTTCAATGCAAGAGCTTCCTTGTCCTCGATCGGGATATCGATAGCTTCTTTCGCGATCTCGACTGGTCCTTCGGATTTCGAAGGCGAAGGTTGTTCTACGAGGGGTTCAATCGCCGCTTGGGAGGCCGATGATAAATCTTTCATTGGGCTCGCTTCAGCGCTACCTATCCTCCTCATTTCCTCGTTTATTCGAATTGCATTGGACAGTCGCAGCTGCAACGTATCGCGCTCTTCGAGCAATTGCATCAGTTCGAGAGTCAATTCTTCGCACCTAACGTCTCTCTGATGAAGCATGTACAATGCGAGATCCAACTCGTTGGAAGTACTCTCCTTGTTGTCGGCCATTTCGATGGTCTCCGAACTCTTCGGCGTCGCAGCCTCGACGACGGACACGTCTTTCTTCAAGGCGTGCTGTATCAGTTCATACTCGGACACCTTCTCCTCTAACAATTTCTTCAGCTTGTCCATCTCCGTCTCCCTGGTTGCCAATGTGTGCCTCAGCTCGTCCAATTGCCTCTCCTCTTCAGCGGATAACGCCAAGAGTTCCTTTATACGCGCCTCCTTCTCGAGAATCTGCATCTTCAAGTTGTGAAACTCAGCATCTTTGGTGATGCTCAGCTCGACCAATCTTCTCTCCTTTTCCGCCAGGTCGTCGATCGAATGCATCAGTGCAGCCTCCTTTTGCGACAGCTTAACACTCCGATCATCCGCAGTTATCCGCAACTGTTCCAATTGCATCTTAAGATTCTCGATATCGCTGCCCTTCAATTGCAGTTCAGCTAGTAACGTTTGATTTTCCTCCGACAACCTCAACTTTATTTCACCGATCTCAGATTCTTTCTTTCGCAGCTCGTTCTTCAGGAACTCCTCGGCCTCGATGCGGATCTGCTCCTTCTCCGAAACCAGCCTCTCAACGGCATTTCTACTCTCCTCGGAGAGCCTCTCGAATTCTTTAAGATGCAAGATCTTCTCTTGCAGCTCCACGACAGTCGACTTTAACGTTCGCACTTCCTGCTCCTTGCCATATAATTCTCCCGTTAATCTCTGCATGTTTTCACGTAGTTCAAAATCGTCCGACTGCGGCTCCATACTGGCTTGCAGAGACAATTGTGAGTCCTTCTCGGCTATAACGTACCTGAGTTCGTTGATTTCTTGTTCCTTCCTGTGCAACTCGTTCTGCAACCTGACGATCTCCTCCTGATCATGCGCGGATCTTCGGTCTTTAGAAAGCGAACCGGCTTCCTCCTTGGAAATATGCTCCTGCTCGTTAACGCGCTGCGTCAAAACATGGACTTGCTCCTGCTTCTCCGTCAAAGTCTGCATAGCCGCTTGCAAGGAAGCTTCCAATGTAGTCTTCTCGTTATACAGGCAATTAATGTTATCTTGCAATTCCTGAATGATCGCGGGATACGTTTGTTCGCTCAAAACATACTTCAAATGTTCCAGTTCTTCATGTTTTCTTTCAATCTGCGCCCTCAGCTCGTCTACAGTCTTTTGCAGCTCCGCATTATCATCGTTGCCTCTCTTAGAAGCAGGAAGACCTTCGACCTGAGAATTCTGCGACTGCTCGTCGCGCAGTCTCTCCAATTCGGCTCGCTTTTCATTTAATTCCTGACTCACGATCTCCAACAAAGAATCTCTCTCATTCATCATGGCTTTGATTCCTTCCAAATCGTTCTCCTTAGTACACAATTGTGTATTCACGTAGTGCAACTGCTTGGTCTTCTCTCGCAAATCCTGCTTCAGAGCATCGATCTGCTCTTTATCGTTCTCCAGACGAGTCTGATACGCCTTCATCTCTTGATCGTACTGCAACAAGATCGATTCTTTCTCCGATCTTAAAACTTGAATCTCTTGACGCAAATTGTGAATGTGCGAATTGCACTCTTGCAAATCGATCGCGCTTGTCTCTGAGGCGTTCAATTGAATCTGCAGATGTTGGATGTCCGCCAAGTAGTCTTCCAATTTTTTCGTGAGTTTAGTTTTCTCCTCCTCATATTGTATCAACTCCTGTTGCTTCTCTCGCAATTTTTCATTTAACAAATTTGCGTCGGCTTGAGTAGCTCCGATTATTGAATTTCGTTCTGTCAGATCCTCCTTCAAATATATGATCTGTTGTTGTTGCGTCTCCAACTTGGCCTCGTTATCTTGCAATTTCAAGGTGTATTCGTCGATTATCGTTTGCATCGCCGTCAACTTTTCCATTAAATCGCGCAGTTCCTTATCTTTTTCCTCGATCTCTATTGCATGCTTCTGCACTAATTCTTGAGTAGCTTCACTAATGATAGTATTCACAGTTTCTACGCTTCTTTGTTGTATCAGCTCGTGCTCTTTGTTGGTAAATGCTTCCTTCAAGGCTCCCAATTCGCGTTTCCTCTCATCCAATTCTTTCGTCAAATTTTCTATCTCCGACTGTAACGTCGCTTCAGCCTGTTGTTTTTCCACATACTGGACTTGAAGTTCTTGCTTCAGATCAGCGACTTCTTGAACCCTGATGTTAAGCAACTCCGTGACCTCCATTAAGGATGTATTGACGATCGAAAGTTTTTCCTCAGAATTCATTAAAGCACTGATCTTGCCTTCCAAAATGTCCTTCTCTTCCAAAACTTGCAAATTATTCGTCTGTAAATTATTAATCTCCGCTTCCAATTTGTCTATTTTCTCCATAAATTCAGCTTTGAGGAAATCGCTGTTTTGTCGCATCGCTGTCACTTGATCATTCGCATCTATTAAACTTTGTTCATACTGCTTCCTCAGCATGTCGTACTCTTCTTTGCTCTTGGTTAAAGCGCTTTGAAGTGCCGTATTTTCTTTATTCAACGCATCCAGTTTTTCTCGAAATTCTCCAGAGTTATCATCAATATTCTTCGATTCTAAATTTGTTATCGCCGCTTTTTGCTCTTCTAAAAAGTGCTGCAACTGTTCGTTTTCCGCTGCGAGCGCTTCCAATTCGTCCTTCAAATCGTCTATTTCCTCCTTATACTTTTTCGACATCTCTTCGAAGTTGTCGACAGATTTCACCGATTTTTTCTGAGTCTGATTATACGCGACAGATTGATCGGTTTCCTGTGACGGATCAATCTGATCTTCAGTTGTATTTTCCTGTAACTGCCACTCTAAGGATTGCACTTTATTACTCAGTTCCTTATTCTGAATACGTAATACCTCAACTTCCATATCCTGTCGTTCCTTCATTTCCATGTATCTTTCATTAGCCGACGTTATTACATCGAGTCGTTTCAATAAAGCCTCTTTGTCAGCGATAATATTTTTCTTCTCCTCTTTAATTTCGTTAAGAGCTTTCTCCAAATTGGTGATCTGCGTTTTCAGTTCCTCTTCGATTGCCGTATCCAGGTCGAAAAAGCTGTCAGTCTGCTTTTGCATCTTTAATTGTTGTTGCAAGCTCTCCACCTGCGCCTTATACTCCTTCAACTTCTTCACCAGTTTAGCACTCTTTATCTGTACCATTTTATTCTCTTCAGCGATCTTAGCATTCTGCATTTCCAGATTTTTTATTCTGTCTTGCAAGTCTTCTACCTGCACGCGTAATTGCGTCTCGACGCTCGGAATTAATGGAATCACACTGGGCTCGTTAATTAATTGAGCGTCCTCCGTATTCCAACCCCAAGCTTCCTCATCGACAAGCGGTTCAGACCCTTGATCCCAGCCTAAACCGATATCTAACTGAGTATCCTGTGCTTCTTTTTCAATAGGAGCTTCTGCAGTTTGTACGGATTCTTGTTGAATAATCGGTTCTTTGATAGCTGTAAGAACTTGTCCCGATTCTTGCTGAACCGACAAACTGTCTTTATGCATTCTCAATTCCTGAAGGCTCTGTTGTGAATCGTCTAAAGCTTGTCTGAGATTCGCGATGAGCGCTTGCGCCTGATCCCTCTCTCGTAAAGCGTTCTCCAGTTCAATCTGCAGGTTACGCCAACTCGTAGACGTTTCTCGTATCGAATCGTTATCGTTGACGTTCTTCGCTTCTGCCGTCAGATTATCAATCTGAAATTTATACGTTTCCAAGGTGTGATTTTGTTGATCTCGTTCCGTTATTAATGTTTGCACAGTCTCTTTCGTGAAAGCCAATTCTTCTCTTATCGCAACTACTTCAACATCCTTGAGCGAGATCTCTGTTCGCAGATTATTTTCTATATCCGCATATTGCTGCGACTGCATAGTCATCTGTTGATTTACGGCATTCAATTCTGCAATCAATGAATCTGCCTGCACATTCTTCTCGACTACAAGTTGCTGTAATCTTTCCAATTCCTCTTGAGTGATACGATACTGTTCCTGCAAAACTTTGTGTTCGCTTAATTGAGACGTCACTTTGTTCAATTCCGTATTTAATGATTCCAGCTGCGCATCTTTCTCAGAAAGAAGATGTTCTACTCTCTTCAACTCGCCTTGCGAATTCTCAAATTGAGTCTGTAAGTCTTGGATATGCAACTTCCCTTCTTCTATATTCTTTAGTAAAAGATTAATTTCTTTCATTTGCTCCAAACATTGATTCTCTTTCTCGTTTAATAAACTCTGCAATCGCTCTATTTCCTTCTCGGCATCCAAAATTGTATCAAGGTTCTTTGCAGCATCCGTTGATTGTAAAGTATCTTGCTTCAGTTGTTGGCTCTCGATGACAGAAGTCTCAGCTGTTTCCGCAGTTTCAATTTTGTCTTCTTCGTTCCTACGTTTATATTCTTCCAATTCAGATTCCAAGTCCGACATTTTCTGCTCGCTCATGGATCTTTCCGTTCTCAAGGCGTCGATTTCTTGTTGCAACGTATTCGTTTCCATAAGTGATTGGTTAAAATGCTCCTGAGCGTTCATACGCTCCTGCATCATCATATCGTTGTACCTCTGAGACTGATCATGAAGTAACACGATATTGCCATATGAATTAGCCAACTCGTTATTTAAATTTTCAATCTCTGCTTGACGCTCCTGTAAACGTGCCTCTAACGCTTTTACATAATTTTGACATTGTTCGGAATGGTCGCAGTGCTGCCTCTCCGTGTCATCCTCTCTTACATCCTGTTCCGTAGATTGCGCAGCTACCATAGTCATAGTCGCGATCTCCTTTTGCAACTGCTCGATCAGCAAACGACGATCTTCAGATTCTTTCTCAGCGTTTTCCAGTTTCTCATCGATCTGCGCTTGTTTTGACGACAGGAGGCCGTTCTCCGCCTGCAAATTCTTTATCGTGGCAAGCTGTGCCACGTATTCGGTCTCCATCACTTGCATACGCACACTCAGTTCTCGTGCCTCTTCTTTTATAACATCCATAATTGCCTGTTTTTGCTCGTTTTCCTTGCTCGTAGTTTGTTTGTAGAGTTCATATTCTGAAGTGATATTCTCCTTTGCCGCTTTCTCCGTTCCCATTTCAAGAGAGATGCGTTCTATCTCCGCGCGTTGCTTCTCAATTTCATCACCCATTTCCGTGTTGTGTTCCATCAGCACTGCCATCTTTTCCTTCAAACTGGCCAATTCTTTTGCGATTTTTTCGGAATTCGCGAGAGCCTCCGCAGTATCGTTCTTCGTCTGCAGCAATTTCTCTTCCAGGTCGGCGATCTTGTTGTCCTTCTCCCGCATGGAAATCTCTACCTCCTGTATCTGTTTGTTCTTAACTTCTTTCTCGTCTTTTCCGTCGACCACTTCTCCTCCAACTCAGCAACTCGTGCTTCAAGTTCTTGACATGCAATTTTCTTTTTATTGAAAGTCGCCACGATCTTCTTCATCTTTTCAGATTGCATCTGAAGCTTATTCTCCGATTCTGAAAGCTTCTCTTCCAAATCCGTGATTTTGCCCTCCAAGATAGTCTTCATCTCTTCCGTGACACTTTTCTCAAGTAATTCATTCGTTTTCTCTAACTCAGCTTTCATAGCCTCATTTTCCTTTATTTTTTCGATTAATTCTTCCATAATCTCTTCTAATTTTGTTTTCATCATTTCCATTTCCTCCCTATGTTTGATTCTAAGCAGCTCCATCTGCTTGTATTCATTCGACAGTTCCGATTGTATGTTTTCAGCATACATAGTTTGATTGTTTAAAATCTTGTCCAATTCCCAAAGTCGCTTTTCAGTTTCAGTCTTATCGTTCTTAATTTCTTCAATTTGTGCATCCAAATTCTTTTTATCTACAAGCAAACTATTAATTTCCTCTTCTTTCTTAATTAATTCATTTTTAATTTTCATTATCCTTCGACATGTCTTCAATCTTTTGCAATAACTCATTGTTTTCTCTTAAGACTTCTTCGTGCTTGTCCTGTAACTCGATATAATTTGTTTCTTTATTTCGCAAACTCTCTAATATTTCATTGAATTCTTCTAAAGATTTAGAGTGTTCTAATGCTTCAGTAATTTTGCTAATATTATTTGTCAAAGTATCAACATCTTCTTCTTTCTGCTTTATTATATCATTGAGTCTTACGATCTCTCCCAATGATGACGATAAAGTAGCTTCATTTTCTTTAAACTTGATCGAATAATTATTCAACTCGTCTTGCAAACTATCTATAGTAATCATTCCATTTTGCAATTGAGCGTATTTAATATGCAATTCTTGTTCTTTCTTCTCAATCTCTGTTTTCAAGACCATGATTTCATCTTCTTTTACAGTTATATTCGCCATTTCATCTTGCAATCTTGTTTCGAGCGAATTTATAGTAGCTTGAAATTGTTCTTGTAAAGTAAAAGTTGCTGCATCTTTTTCCTTTATCGCTTCTAACAATTCTTTATTATCATTCTCCAACGTTTTAAAAGCTTCCTCTATGGAGATCTTATTTTGCTCTATGGCTTGCATCTTTACTTGCATATCATCGTACTTGAATTTCCATTCCTCTGCGGTAATAGACATGTCCCTCAATTCGTGTTGCAAACTCTCCACTCTTTCATCCGACGCCTCGTAATCGAGCAATTGTTTGGCTTTTTTCTGCAACTCCGCCTCCATGCTTTGCAGTTTCATATTCATCTCTTCCACCTGATTTTTATACTCCGCGATTAATATTTTGCTATTTTCAAGTTCTCTCTCTAAAGATGCTACAATTACAGTTTGGGATTCCTCACAACCGGCTTCCTGCGTCTTTCGCATCTCTGACATTTCGTCAGATGATTTCTGTAAGAGAGTGCTAATTTGTTCGTGCAGTTCCTGCCTCTCATGAACTACACTCTCCTTCTCTCGATACAAATTCTCCAATTTATCGATGAGTTCCAATCTTTCCCTAGCAAAATCATCACAAGTCATGTGTTCCAACTTTAGATTCAATTCTTCTTTCTCTTTAGTAATTTTACTCAATTCTTCCTTCTGATTATTGATATGTTCTTCGAGTTGTGTAATGGTCATTATCATTTGCGCATTGTCCTTCTCCAGTGTCACAATTTTAGACTTTGCATCATCAGTCTCGCATGATGTTATGTTAACTGACTGCTCTACTGAAGCTTCTCGCAACTGTGTCAACTCCTTTTCAAGAACCTGCTGTCTATCCATTAAAATTTTTATTTGATCGGTATATTCTATTATCTGAATTGACATTTGAGACATTTGCGCTTCAAGATGTTCCTCTAATTTTGTGCGATTTATAACTAATTCAGTATTCTCCATTGTCAATGTTTCTATACGATCCTGCAGCCTGTTATTTTCTTCCGCGAGATCTCCTACTTGCGTCTTCAGCTTAGCAATATTTGCCATTAAGTTGTCATTTTCCTGCGTGAGCGTCTCAACTTGCAATCCCGAGCTGCCATCTTTAAGTGTCTCTAAACTACTATCAACCTTAGGGACACTTAACTGAGCACCGCACTCTATTTGACTTAACTGTTCTTCCAGCTTCGTAAGTTTAATAACGAGCTCGTTGTTCTCCTGAGTAAGCAGTTCAATTTTTGTCACGCTGTCATGCTCTGGAATACGTTCGAAGGATTCAGTGGAACCCGTATCGGACGAGCCTTTCTCTTCGATTCTGCTCAACTTCATAGTTAAATCACTATTTTCCTGGGTCAACTGTTCGATCTTCTTCAATAATTCACTGCGATCTCCATCGTTTATGGTTTCGAAGGACTCTGTCGAGCCAGCATGCGAGCCGTCTTTCTCTTCCAACTTCGTCAACTTGAGCGTCAATTCATTATTCTTCTGTTCTAAATCCTCGATCTTTTTCAAAAGATCATTTCTATCATTCACTTGAATGGCTTCGAAGGACTCTGTCGAACCGGTATCCGAAGCGCCCTTTTCCTCCATTTTGTTTAATTTACTGTATAATTCTGAATTTTCCTGTGTCAGAGCGTCGAGCTTCTTCAGAAGTTCATGGTATTCAGACTCGGATGCGGATTCGAATTTATTTTCACTCTGTTCTTTGTGTGCAGCTTCCAATTGTTCCTCCAGTTCAACAACTTTCATTTCTGCAGTCACTCTGAGATTCTCCGACTCTGCGTTTTCAGCTTCCAATGCCAAAACTTCCTGCTTCACTGTGTGAAGTTCTGAAAAAAAGATACGTAATTTTTCCTTTGCTGAAGTATAAATATTCTACTATTTCTTAATACTTGATAAATAATATTATACGTGTAGAATTTTAGAAGTATTCTAATCAATAACATCGTTACGGAGAGAGAAACAGAATAATAGACATACCATGAAAAAAAGCAGAATAGATCATAATCTATAGTTCTAACAAAATATAACACAAAACTCGATATTAAAAAATTATTTAATATCTGCCTATATAAAAATGTATCTTATTCCACATAGACTATTTGATATAACAAATTACCTTGCATTAAATCTAACTTTTGATTCTCTAAGGTGGCGATTGCATCAATATGCATCTGTATTTCTTTTGTCTGAGATGAAACCTTACTTTCCAGGTCAGCAACACGTTCTTGCCAATCTCCTGCCGAGGCTGTGCAGATCGTACAATTTGCCGATAACATTACATGCAATTTCAGTTTCGTATTTATAGAAAACGTAAAACAAGCAGTTATTAAGTGCTCATAGCAAATTTTTCAAAGATAAAAAGATAAATTTCTTTCTTTATACAATCTATTAATTTGTTAATTATCCCATTATACAAATTGTTTCAAAAGATTATTCTTGGAGCAATATATATCAATTACGTTTAAACATCCTGGCTCACATTAATCTTAGAAATTGCAAAAATATGAATAGCATAACAATATTTCTTCAAAAAGAAAGCAAATAGATTAAATACTAATATTTCTTTATACACACATCCACTGCATATATAGGTATAATATTATTATACAATTATATATATAATTGTATAATAATATTATGCCCATATATGCAGTGGATGTGTATATATATATATATATATATATATATATATATATATATATATATATATATGGTATATGTACATATTAATGTACACATTTTATTTAAAAATTATATCTTTTCTATATTTGTTAAAAATCAATAAATCTACTAATGGCATGTATTTTTTTACATAGGAACATTTATTTAAAAATATTCTTTCTATCTATTCATTGAAAATTTCAAACACTTTGAAAAGCCAAAATTTATTTAATTTATTGTAAATTTAATTGTTAGCATCAATATACGATCAAAAATTAATTATATGCGCAAGTATTTTCAACTTTTGTTAATTTCATAAAAAGCAGATATTGCAATTGCAATTCCAAACAAGCCGAAGAAAAGAACTTAGTATAATTTTGCAATTCATGCAAATTAATCGATTATTATTTGTAAAAATAATAAGAAAATGTAAGTGTGATAAATACTAAAAATAAATCTATTTCTATGGATAAATATGCAGCAAACTTTGACAAGTAAAGTAGGTACCATGTGTTATGTTTAATTGTCAATAAATATTCACAAGAAAATTTCATTAATTAGTATTCTCCGTGAACGGTTCAATAATTGCAACATACAAAACTACTAGCCGAGAGAAAAGATTCCATCACCAGAAATCAGCCTTAAAAAATATTTTCCAAATTTTCCAGATAAAATTTTTAAGTATTTGCGAATAAAATTGGTGATATTTCATATGTTTATACTCGCGAATCACGCGATTTTTTTCATAATAATATAAAATTGATATGAATTATCATTACAGCTTATTCGCACATTATTTTGTTGCAAAAGACATGTACACGTAATTACAGCGATCAGGATAAATGATTTTCATAAAGGAAATAGGGCTGTGGAAAATAGGCTGTCTCGATAAAAAAATATTAACACAGATCGCATTGGAAATCCGATAATATAACTAGGACAACGGAAACGTCGGCGATAGAACGATTTGTCCTGGTTCCTACCTTTAAGCTCGTCAAAGTCTACCAGACTCAGCTGAAGGTTACCTTTCTCCTCCTCCAATAATGCCACTTGATTGCCCAATCTAACAAGTTCCGCATTCGTATCGGATACCTGTATACAACGCATATATTCCTATTTTCGTAAATATAAAAATCTGCAGAAGCATGTATCCTAGTTCATTAATATATATAATCCACATAGAAAAAAACGAAACCATTATAATTTCTATTAATATTCAATAAAGTTATTCTATAGAAAATATATATAAAATAAAATCTATAAAAATATATAAAAAATAATAGACATAAAACTTGTTATTCAATAATTAAATATTAATCATTTTTATCATCTTTAATAATTATATTAATAATTTTTTTCTTATCTTTATGTGATATTTTACAAAATAGAAAATAGAAATATTGTAACAAAGTCTCACCATTTTGAAGTCCTCCAGTTGTTTTTGCAGATTTTTCACTTTACTTCTGTGTTGGGCCTTTAATTTGATCATACCTTTATTTAAATCTTCCAATTCCTTTGTCAACTTTATTACTATATCATCTTTAGATGTCGTTTGCTCGGCTGACAATTTTGATGCTATATCATTCTTCTCTGTTTCCAATGTATGTACTTGCTTCTCTAAATCTATAATCTTGTTGGAATATTCTTCATTTCTGGATGACAATTCAGTTACTTGTTTTTGCAACTCGGTCTTCGATTCTTCTTTCAGCAATTCGTTCGATTGTTTAAGTTCTTCTATCAAATTTTCAAGTTCCGCTATTCTATTATCTTTCTCAATGATTGCACCATTACTTTGAGTCGATTTGCTAGAAATAATCTTAGCCTGCAACTCGGCAACATTTTTTTGCATCTCGTACTTTTCATCGAGAAGCTGCCGATTATTCTGCTCTAATTTCTCTATTTTAAATTGTAGATCCTCAACTGCTGGTGTAGTCACTATACCGGCGCCCGATTCTAACTGAAAAATTCTTTCTTTGGCTTCCCCAATTTCACTTCGTATTCCCCTAATTGCTGAAGAAGATTATCGTTTTTCAATTTCAATGAGGATTCAATGAGAACGAAATTTTCCTGCATCGACTTCATCGCATCTTTAGTCTCCGCTAAAGTATCCATAGTGGAGCGCGAGAAATCCGCACTTACTGTTTCAGCTATTTTCTGTTCTTTAAACCGCTCTTCAAATCTAAATAGTATAAAAAAATAAATCATTCGAAAAATCTGAAATGTTTTAAAATAACTCTAAATTGAAAGATATCATTATATATTAAGACATAAATCTTAAGATATAAGATAATATAAAAATTAAGTATTTTATATATATAAATGTATGTTAATATACACTGTAAAAAAGATATGTAAAATTACATTAAAAATATGTAAAATTACATAAATAATAAATGTAAAATTACATGATAAATAATGAAAAGGTAAACATTTCTATTATTTATCGTGTAATTTTACACTTATTATTTATGTAATTTTACATATTTTTGTGTAATATATTACATATTTTTTACAGTGTATGTAATTAAATTGTATCATTAATTGTATTATAAACAAAAATTATACAATATTTTATTTATTTTTATAATTTTGTTTAATAATATAAAAACATTGAAAATTATAATATTAACGCTCTTTAAAAAATATATAAAAACATTTAAATTTCTATTATTCAAACATCAAAATTTCTTCATTTAATTTGGAAATAAATATTTAATATATTTAAATTTAAATGTTTCTTTATGTAGGCATTTTTTTATAAAGACGTTAACCGACGATGAGATTAGCTGATTTACGTGTTTTGTTTGTCGACCTCGTGCCGGGTACTTATTTATTTGTAATATTTATTATTGAAAGCGTTCTGAGCGATCCTTTGTTTGTCGAGAAAACCGAAAACACAGTTCTGCGCGATGAACGAAGGTAATTCTGATTGGTCCGATGTTTCGGGTAGGGAAAGTTTTAACACCGGGTATAAATATGCCGACTTTTTGGGAATCGAGACAGATCATTGTTGAGAACATCATCTTCGGAGCGTTTTATCGAGACACAAGCACGCATTCTCTCACGAACCGGCAGAAGATCTTTAATATCGAGGCGACAGGAAGAAAGATAGAATAGAAACGGGACTTGGACAGCGAAGACGTTTTCGACTCGCAATAAACATATATATATATCTTCCGAACCTGACTTCTTTTCCTGATTCAACTAAATTCATCCGGCCTTCTCCTGCATTCCTACATTTTAATAATCAATAATTAATTGATCGATTCAATATTCGATATAGTATAAAAGATACGGCTACAGTTAAGTGTAAAAGATACGCCTACATTTATATTAGTTATTTAATTCTATAATGCATAAAATGTATGTATTATATTATGAAATATATTACCTATTGATTGTATGTTCCAATTCTGATATTTTGCTATCTCTTTCTTGCAATTGTTTCAACAAACTGACATTCTTATTTTTCAACGAAGTTTCTATCAGGATAAAATTTTCCTGCATCGTTCGCATTTCGTCTTTCGTATCTTCGAGAGTGTCCAATGTCGTTTTACCCTTCCTAGAGAGATCCGCGGACATAAGAGTCACCGCCTTCGTTTTGGAATCAATCACAGAGTCCTTTTCCTTTAAATTTTCTTGAAGATCTAGTATGGTAGCTTCCAATTTGACAATTTTGCTATTTAGATCCATAATCTTGTTCTCTTTTTCTTGAATGTCCTGAATTTGAACTGGTGTCATCACCTTAAATTAAAACATGAAAGTGTAAATTTTATCATACTTTTATTAAATTATTTTTAAAAAGTATTTTCCAAAATAGTGATAATTCTTCTTTTTGTTATAGACTAATAATTATAAATTATTTAAAAATAAAAAATATATGTTGAAAGAATTATTACAAAACTTACATCTGAAGTAATCACAAGAGGTCTAATTGGTGTGACAGCCAATTGATCTTTGTGTATTTCCGCTGCTAAATCTGTTTCATCTAATTGTTGCCTAATAGCTTCCACTTTTTCCTCCATTACTCGTTTTGTTTCCGTCAATTCCTTACTACGTTGCTCGAATGCCTTCCTATTTTCTGCCAATTTTCGTTGAAGTAAAGAAGATTTTGCTTTTGGGGTTTTTGCTTGACTTATGTCATCAATTGTATCATCTGCTGTATCCTTTGCTGCAAATTCAGTCTTATGCGAATGCACTGTGTCTTTAGATGATGAAGCTCCTTCTTTACTACGACGTGACAATTTGGCTCTGGATTTGATCTTTGATAATCTTCGTGCATATTCCTTTTAAATATAAAAATAAAAAAAAAAATATATATATATACACTTATATAAAATCAATTCTATAAATTTATATTTCAAAAGATGAGACTTATAAAATACACTACTTTCATAGTTTATATTACCTGGACTTCTTCTTCTTTCTTTTTAAACTTTGTTGGTTCCTCATCATAATTTCTTTGAAGGACTCCAGTTGATTCTTATTCTGTTCACATGTTTCTTTTGTATGTACGGCAGCCTCAGGAAAGCTACCTTCCATCGCATCCGATGGTTCCTCCGATGCACTTGACATTATGCACTGTACAAATAGAAACAACACAAACCAGTGCATTATTTATTTTATAAATTAACTGTGAATACACTTTAATGATGGACAACTGTTAAAGTCAATGGCAGTGAAAATTTGTCTAATATAGCAAAACACAGTATCACATACTGCTCTCATTTTTTATATCTAATTGGATAGAACCTAGACTGGGGTAAACTAATTGCATTAAATCCCAATGCAGACTAAACATTCCATATCCCTCATCATTTCTATGCAAATACTCAGTATAAGCACAACAAATACTATGCAGCTTTTACTTTAAGAGTGTTAACAATAAAAGTGTCAATAATATTAAAAAATAAAGAAAAATGTGTGTTACTATATATTAATAATTCCTATAATTATGAAAAAAGAATAATGAAATATAAAAATGTTTGAGTGTTTTGATATGTTTGTGCATTTATTTTAAATTTTCCGAAATAAAGTCAAAGTGATATTGTGAAGCATATTACATATTGTGAGAAGAGAAAAATTACATAGTGAAAAAGGAATATAAAATGATATATATGTAGTTTAATATAAACCCCCCGTTAGACACATCAGCTTTGTTAAACTCAACTCAAATAATTGTAAATATTGACAATCTAAATACAAAACTGTAAGTCCTTAGATTTTAGATTATCATTGTAAGCTATCGTGAAATTATATTATTCCGAAGTATAAATCTATGATCGTAACAGCTGAAATCGAGAAACGCAAGATTCAAGATCCTCGTGCATCGAAAACAGATAACTATTACAGTATATCCAAACTGATTCTCCTCGACTTAGTTGACCACGTAGCAAAGTGACGTAATCCTCGCGATGCGAGAGGACACACGTGAAAGAACCGCGAGCTCGGATCCGATGACATATTCGACAGAAAATCGAGACCGCGATCAGCTGTTCGGAAAGAATGACAGGTAACAACGAAGCATTGGATCGAGAGGGACCAACCTCGAAACCGATTTTCCATATCCATTCATACCTTTTATCTGGCGTTGCTCAAAGTGTCAGGAGGGTAATAAATCGCTGGTCATATTTAGGTCGCTTCGTCACCGATCGCAGTCCTCCAACGCGGCAAAAGAACGCGCGTCAAACGTACATGCAGGACAGTTTGTAGAATCTGTATCCTCGATCGTCAACAAAATTCTGCATAAATCCGTGACGAAATCGACTTTGTATGTTATTATCGCCGTGCCATATTTTCACAGCCGGAAATAGATTGGAGGTTGGAAGTTCAGCTCGTGCGCCATCTCGCGACGAAATCTATCATTTCGTACGCAGATTTGATCGATAAAATCATTAGCAGAGAGAAACTCAACGAGTTGAATTTCTGAACGCACCCTCAGAAGTCAAAGTCTTATTCAAAGTCGCAAGCATCAAGACGCGTTCTCGCTCTCTCGCTACGATAATTAGGTATTGTACGAGAAATTCTTTAATTAATTTTATCGAAATTTAAATATGCGCGCATGATTTAAAGTGATATCTCAGGGTAGAAACCCTCTTTACCTTACGGTAAAAATAACTTCGTCGAATTCGCCGTTTTTCGCCGATGGTGGAGTTCATTCGGCGCGAAGTGCATTGAGTCTTTAAATTTTATCTCGAAAAAATTATGTGAAATCAAATACTACCGAATAGCAGTGCTTTTTGTGCTTCTGTATATAAGAAATGAAAATTATTCGAATTTATGCGAATAGACATGGTACAAACATAATCTTCTCGTGAAAATATGTAAACATTTGACAGGTGATTACATGTATTCAAATTTCAGCGAAATTTCTGTCATCGTCATCAGCTGACTGCGCACCGATCGCGTACGATGGCTGATTTCGCTACTGTTTCTTCGCAGATATCTTTAATAAAAGACGACTCAAAAGTGTCATTATTCACGACGAGGGAGATGGACCAGAATGCGAATATCTTCTTCATAGTAAGAAGATTGAAGGATGTCCGATAACAGACTGAAATAGTTTTTCCTAAGGATTCATAACCTGTTGCGTGCTTATCTGTTTATCTCAACGGTAAATCTCACAGTTTTATATATATATATACAAATGCATTCGTTATTTTTATTTATGCTTTTTTCATCTCATTTTGATAACTATATCTAACGAAAAATAGCGCTTTTATCATATTTTTAAGTACTTTGAATACATTCAAAAATTGTTTTGATATTATTGTAATTAAGAAATCACTAGATATCACATATCTTGACAATAACATATGTATATATTATATAAATTGTTACTCGACTCAATTTTTATTCTAATATTTATTGTGTCTTGCAACTATAGAGCTTTGTTTAAATCAGTAATCAGCTTCTTTTTTCAGAAAATTAAGAAAGTATTGGAATTGGATATATATCTGTATATATTTTATTACTAATATACCTATATATAAGTCATACTTAATATAAAACATGATGTAGGTATGTATAATAAATAATTATTTTTATATTTTGTTTATAAATAATTAAATTAAAATATAAAAAATAATTTAAACTACATATACCTAGTTTTTAAAAAAAATTTTATATTGCTGATAGTAATGACATGTAGAATTCTCATAAAATTATATAATTTTGTTTGTGTATATATATATATATATATGTACAAACAAAATTATAATTCAATGAAGGAATACCAAACACAATTGTCTTACTATCAGTAATATAAAACAATTTAATTTTAAAAATTATGTAGTTTAAATTATTTTTTGTATATACTTTTATTTTTTTTTTGTATATTTATTATTATAATATACCAAGAGATCATAACTGTATCAATCTGTTTTTGCAGGATATGAGGTCAACACGCTGGGTATATTCGGCGTCGACGTCGTGGGACGCAACGGCGCACTTGCAATGCTCGGCGGCTGGTTCGCGTCATCGCCGTCACCGTTGCATCGGTGCTATCGACCATCCGCGCACATCTCGTCGCGCTTGCTCCACGTCGTTGACGAGCGTCGTGTAGTTTTCCAGTTTGACGTTTGACGCACCGCCGCCGTGTGTGCGACGATGGAGGTACAGCGGCAGTACAAAGGTAGTAAAATCATTTATGATCGCATAAGAAATGCGTAGATTTCCTCCTTGCCATTTACGTTGCATATATTTGCAATTATTTTTCTCATTTTTACATATCGAGGTAATCGAGATAGGTCTGCGTTGATCCAACCGACAGAAAGAGCTATGTTTACTCTTAGAGAACGTTCTTCCGCTTTAGGTCTACCTTGATCCAACTGATAAAAGGCTAATAGAATCCTATGTTTACGTTTAAAGAGCTTTCCGCTTATCGCGAAGTCTAATATCCATATTCGCAAAAAAGTGCGGCTTTTTGCTCCGATTCTAGCAGGAAACATAACATTCTTGCTGTTCCTAAAGGATAACCTTTGCCAATGACGTCCGGAATGACGAGATTCTAATAGCGCGAATGTGTTATCGCGAACAAGCCATTTTGACCATGGATGCAATTTTAATTGCATTTTTTCCTACAAAGATATATTCATTATATCGATAAGCTGAGAAGAAATTTTCTACACATTTTTTCTCTTCTAAATGTCCTCCGTATAAATTCAACCCTATAAAGTTTTCGTTTCGTTGAGTTTATATGCAAGCTTTACCGCGCATAAAAATAAGTATTCTCTCGCTGAATTTTTATTGCGAAAACTGAAAAATCGAAGACGCGAGGAAAATAACAACTTTCCGCGAAAAGCGCGCGGTCTTGTGTTTTATCTCCCGGAATTTTTATTTGCGATACGGAATACATTCGTTTACGGAAAACAATGCAGAGCACTTGCTAACGTGCAAGACGGAGTATCCAACACGCACGATATGCATTTGATCAATAACGAAATTTCTGTTTTCATCGAGAGGTTGACCCGGTTTCTGTCCTTTCGTGATAATTATCAAAATATTGATTTATTCACTTTTGATATTTTACAAGATATTTTTCAGCGGTCATTCTACGGAAACAAATTTTAATTTAATTAATTTATTAATTTAATTAAAATTAATAAATTAAAATTTATTTTACGAATAATAAATATGTTATATTGTGCTATATTCGACTATATTCGATAAACAATTTTCTATTCATGAAAATCAATTTTCATTTCATGAAAAAGAGTTTAATGTTAATTAGCAATTTTCTTCTATCGAAATATAAAATTAATTAGCAAGCTTTACTCAAGCTCGTTCTTGATATACTGATATCTGTTTATATTAGATCGACCTATAATTCGATCGATTTTAAATACTATACAACGTATATAGTATATCTTTCTGGTACTATATACCACACACATACACTGCTTCTGCTACTAATTAAATGTAGAATCACGCAATGTATATATTGTTTACATCTGAAACGTATTGATCTATAAATCCTAAGTTACTTATATAAAACAAATCATTATAAGTCAACCTAACTTAATATGATATTGCAAACTATTCCTCCCAGTTACTTCTTTATGTGATAATGCAAATGATATAATAATTATTTAACAGATACAGTAATTACACATCTGAGCAAATTATTTTATTACATTGTAGAATTTTTCAACTATTTATTTTTCTAAAGCTCTATATTTTTTTCTAAAGCTTTATATTTATATCCAGTTTTGAAATATCGATTTTAATTAATAAATTTTAATTATTTAAACTGACATAGCATATTGATTTAGCAGTACTTTAAATTTTAAAATTAAAATTATTTTCCAAAATTACTTTCGAATAAATGTCACATATATTTGCAAATATATACTATTATTAAAATAGAATATTATTACGCCATAAACACACACCTACAATAATTTCTGCTTTCTGTTCTTCTGTGATTGATATGTTAATATTTAACTTTATTTCGTTATAGCTCAAAGAGAAAGAAAGATGTGTTATCTTCCTATTCTTTATGATAACTGTTATCAAATATCGATTATTATATTTGATACTTAACATGTTATCATGTTTTATGTTAGAAAATAATTTTGTATTATTATTTATGTGGAAAATGGTATATGAACGTATCATATCAATCAATTTTATATTATTATAATTTGTCATCTGAACAAACATCTCTCTATTATCAATATAAAATACACCATTTCAATCAATTATTATTTTAATCCGTTTTACCTCTTTTTTCATTTAATTTCTCTTTAAAATTTTATTTATATATTCAAAAATAGTAGATTTAAAGTATAAACGCATCCTTTTTATATAAAAAAATGTGTTTTTATTTAGAATGTGAAGTTCTACAGTACCATAATGATATATTTTCTATAACATTGTAATATTGTATTTGAATGTGCAACATAACGTTTGAAAGATAAATATCATTCAGCTGTATTAAATTTTACAGAAATTAGAATATCTTACATCATTTATATCAATATTTTGAAATTCGATAAAATTTAATCGATGTTCATCTCTTTAGAGAAATTAGATGCAAAAAAAGAGGTGAAATGGATTAAAATAATAATTGACTGAGATGACGTATTATATTGATAATAGAGAGAGAGAAGTAGAGTTTGTTTAGATGGCAAATTATAATAATATGAAATTGATTGATACGATTAGTTCATAAATCATCCTCAAAATAGATCTGTAGCATTAAAATTATTCTCTATAATTAGTTTTGCATCAAAAAATGATAAATATTTTATGTTTATGTATATCAATTCATACACTTATCAATCAATTAATATCAGTTTACCACATTAGGGAGTATCAAAGATTTGCGTATATAAATAAACGCATATTTACACAGTGTACACAAGAGAGAACTGTAGAGAAACACCGAGAGACAAAGCTATTTCGATTGACTATAGGATAAAATCCAACACATCTAAACGCGACAATGCGATTAAACTCCTCTGTTTACGTGGTAAGATAGGATGTAAACAGCTATATAGCTGTCGAATAGCTATAGAGACAAAAAGAAGTCCCTGATGAAAACGCACACGTCTCTTCTAAATTATACGTATTGCATATAAATAGCTTTATCAATATATAAATTCAGACACTTCTCGCAAAATATTCATAAAAAAAGTTACTGCAATCACTTTAAATAATTAATCATACATGATAATTACTTAATTTGCATTTGACATGATTTTGGAAATTAACTAACTATAAATAAACGATGAAAAAAGAAAAGAATTAATCGCCTTCTGATTTATCACATTTATTTATTTATTTATTTGAATTAAATAAATCAAATAGATTAGAGAGAGAGAGAGAAAAATCATCATTTATTTTAGTCTATTTTTTCTTAGCACACGTACTCTTTATATTATATAAATATATAAAAATAACTTACACATAAGTTTTTTTTTCGAATTGATATTAACGTGAGGATGTCATGTGTGTATAGAAAAATTAATGATCTATCGCATGTGCTACGCATTATATTATATTTCATCTTATTGTGACGGATCATGAATAGATGTATGATAGAGATTGATAATGCATGTTTTCGAGATAAGAGACAAGGTAAAGGTGGGATTCACAAAACCAGCAGCCAACAATATGTTTATTCATCAAATGCGCTCCATTTATCGCGTATAATGTCATGTGCAATTACAATATTGTGTCACATACGTCAATTAACTCTTCTACATGACATTGATATTTCGATTTAAATTAAAATAATATTTGATCCAGAAACGCGTTATTATTCATGATTTGTTTTAATTTAGGAAGAACGCTCTAAAAAATTTTGCCATGTTTTTTAACGCGTTTCAATATTTTTTAATTTAATTATTGATATAAATTAAATTTTGATTGAATATTTTCTTTTTTTCTTATATTAATCTGAAACATTCAGTGCATATGGATATTAATACATAGAGAATTTTCTTTTATAATTATTATAGAATTTATCTTGAAAATCATGGTAATTGTGGGACAATATAGTATTAGAAGAATTTTATAAGAGTTTCTCTGATGAAATATTTACCGCAATAGAAATGTTATTATTTATAACAATAAGATATAAAATATGTTCGATTAATTTTACTATATACATATTAATATTTTTTATTGTGATAAATATTAATCATATAAATTCATAAAATTCTTCCAATATCACATTGTCTCACGATTACCATGATTTTCAGAATAAATTGTAAGAAAAAATTCTTGCTAACTTATCAATCAAGCATTATTATTTTTATTCGGTGCAGCAATAATATATTTTAGTTTGTCCCATCTATATAGGATCGAACTTAACTTTATGACCTAAATTATTTTTATTTTGCATATAGTTATCGAAAAATGTTTCCAATAAACACATAAATTCCTATTTAAAAAATCTGTTATTAATTCATGTTCTCTCTTAAACGATAAAACTTTTTGTCTATAACATTTTTCAATAATTGCATGCATAATAAAAATAATTTAGGGTCATAAATTGAGTCACAAGATTAAATCATTAAGCAGTTCTACTATATACATATATATCCTGCTTTTTTTAATATCAAGAAATAGATCTATGCTGAAAATTTCAAGGTTCATTATTTATTTCTCAATCATAAATCATATTAACATTAAAGATACACATCTAAATCATCATACATATATTTAGCATAAATCATAATTAAGATTTTGAGATATGAGACATTGCATATCATTTTCGACCGAAAAAAATTAGAATCGGGCAGACATTTAAAGGCCTATTTAAATGCAAGATACAAGAACGTACGGACTCTCTGGTGTCTGTATCGAAGTACCGCTACTTTAATAACGGTCCGAGATAAAGAGGACACTGGAAAAAAATACTCGCTTACACTGTATAATTACGAAAGCTACCGAAAGTTGCGAAAATATGATTATCAAGCGCAAAAAGGCACCAAGCCTCGGGTACGGACTCCAACTCCAGGCATCCCTACCCTGCTCTCGTGGCGTAAACAAAGGAAATTGGAGGCGCCGGGGCGACGGGACCGTCCGCGGACCTTTACTGGCGAGTCGTGAAACGTCCGCTGGTCAGTACTGGTCAGATTGTCAGATGCGGTGATCAGCAGTGCGGTGAATGATCGGCGAGAATTCACCGCGTTCGGCTACGAACCGTAAGTGCCACGGTAGCACCAGGATCCGCTCGAGAGACCAGTTGCGCCTTCGCTCGCTCTGGAACAATATGTTCTGGTTGTGGAAATCCCCACGGGCCTCGCAAAAGTCGGAATGCAACGCGAAAAGTGAGTGCTGAAACATCGTCGATGCCCCGATATTAATAGCGGCGGCTCAAAAGGCGCATCTAGTTGACGGATGAATAGTTCGGAGCTAACGCGATACTTCCCTTAAAAAAAAAAAAATATCAGCTATTAAGATAGAATTTCTTGCTCCGGAGATATAAGGATACTCCGCTCGATGCTTCCGAATATTTTAGTCTTCGATACTTTTCAATCAAATGTCTAAGGTCTCGAAGGTCTCAACTGGATCGATCAAGATCGCTTCGACCTTTTCAGAAGATTTGCAAATTTAATTACAATATAGGAGTAGGTAGAGAAAACATGTACGAAACAGCTATATTAATATACATTAATTATATATTTATATCAATCACATAATTTTTTTTTTACAATCACATCTTTTTTATTTTAATGAATTCAGTGTATTTTAAACCTGTTAAAGGCACTTTGATCATTAGTGAAATTTTTGCGTCGAATAAAACTGGTATCTTTTGCGCACTTTGTGCAAAGTGCGATCTGAGGAAAAGGAATAATACATTTTTATATAAGATCAGAGATCAATTTTTTTTAATTTGGATAATGGAAATATTTCTTTATGACTGTATAACGATAACGATAATATTAAATGTATTATAGTGTAGTGTTATTAAAAAAAGCATATTAACTTGATAATATTCTATAAACCTTGTGTATACAAAATTTATAGAAAGGCAATATTATTTTTAATAGAAGGAGTACAATTATCTTCTTTATTTTTCTTTTTTGTCTTATCATAATTTATTCATTAATCACTTTCTTATATAACTTTGATGTCTCTTTTGTGCTTATTCACAGAATCGATTTTCAGATGAAAGTTTAACAAGTTTTCCATCGATACACGCGACTTTTTTTATTTCTAATATTAGATATCTTAGCAATTTCTAAATAAAATTACAATAAAATCAACTTGAAATAATTTCAAAATTTCTTATTTTACGCTTTAAATAGTCTTTTTAAAAGCATTTCATTGTCAATATTTAAACGTACTTTATTTCTTTATTTGATTTTCAATGTTAACAAAAATTATACTTTATCATTTTTGGCAGTTAAATTATTAAAAAGATTTATAAATCTTAATGAAAACAGTGATTACAAAATAACGTCGATTATTAGCTGGCTTGTGCAATTCGCGAAGCTATCATGTTAATATCTTGACTCGAGCGTAACTTAATGCAAAGAGATTGTATTATAAACAACTATATTGCTTTACACATATGTAAGTGTAATCATTTTGGAATTATTATATAAATACGTCAATTTAAATACTATCATCCTGATTAATACTTTAAGTTTAACTTTCCTGCAAAGAAGCCACATTTTATTGAAATTTAATTGTAAAATAAATGCACCATCACATCCCCGATTCGGTTCAATTAATATTAATATTTCGAAATTTGATGTAGTCGATAAATAGCACACAAAAGGGTATTAAAGTATGAATAATACAAATAGCAGTGGGTGCTTGTGCACTTAAAAAGGTCGATGCATGAGTCAAATATTGCGATATGACTTATCAATAAAAATTTAATCCGTTGTTTTTTAGCAAGTAACCACCAACACATTGAAATAATTGTTTGATAAATTATATTGCTACATTTGTGTCTTTTTTTATGTTTGTAGTTTATATATATACATTGAATGCTAAATATAACATTTCCGAGTATTTGCAAGATAGAATCTAATTACATAACTAGTAACATAAATGGACAAATTAAAGAAAGTGCGCAGTAAAAGAGCTAAGATAGCGCAGTTGAAATCATTTAAGCCTTGCACGGCATAATTCATCAAGATGAGATCACATCATTCTGTTTACAAAATCGCAGTTTGCCAATTATCTTGTTATCTATAAGATAAATTCTCCCATTCAACAAATCATTGAAAAAACCAGCATGATTGCAAAAATCATCATATGTTATCGGGGAAATGATCGATCGTAAAATAAGACAATTGCAAATATATAATCACCGAGTAATTAATTTTTTTAACATATATTAGAATGGATAATACAACAGTATACAATTAGATACAATACTAGAATTGCACATAATTAGTCGTATTAGTTACTGATGCATTATGTCACTGGTAACAAAGAGGTTTCTTGTTCGTTTATATATAGATGATTTTATTTTTTATATTAAATTTAAAATCTTTATCTAGAGAGAAAGGAAGAATGTGTGTTTTAAAGTTATCACCATTATTTTTACAAATTTTTTTAATTGGTTATATATGTCGATCTATTTTTAAATAACTTAAAAAATGAAACATCAATTTATTTTACAAATTTTTAAGTTTACAAAATTTTAATTTATTCTTAGAATTAAACTTAATATTTACAATCTTGTTAGAATATAGTCTTTCTTTATTTTTGTAAGCATAAAATTTGATTTACTCAAATCTTTTAATTTTTATTGTATTGTTATTTTTTATTGTTATTTTGAAGAGAGTAATGTCTATTATAGCCATATTGAAAATAAAATTTTTTAACGCTTTTTATATCATTATCTAACTCACGCAATGAATACACAAGCACTCACTATTTGTATTATGTATTATATATTTTAATTGTCAATTATCTAACTTATCACAAATTATGCCGAAAGCATGCAGACTTGAAACGACCTGATAATCTGGGCCAACGAACAAAATCGTCTCGTTCTTTAAAAATCGAATCACGTTTGCGTCGTTGTTAAACATCGGACAAGATATTAAACGAATTTTACGACGAATATGAAGTGGCGATTGCAAATTTCCGTTTACTCTACTGCTGACTTCCAAGTCGAACATTTGTCGGATACATTGTCGATAGAATACTGATTTGTCTTATGTAATGGAATGACCATTAAATGGTCTTCGCAATACTTATCATTTTCAATACGCTATTATAAGCATTTAACATGAATGTATTCTATGATAAATGAATATATAATCTATGAGGAGAGAAAAATAATTCTTGAATTTGTTGAATTAAAATTGTATTAAAAATTAGCTTATATTTCCCATGACTCAAAAATTCAATATATCCATTATTAATATTTTTATGCATTATTTACAACTATATATATATATAATGTGAAAATAGTGATAGTTTCATTGTTTTCATATTAATAACAAAATATATTTTTATATTACAAATATATTACAGATAAACTTGTATGAATAGAAAATTGAATTTGCTGTAATTTTTATATTTTTATTATGTTTTATTGCCTTAATAATCTCGATAATAAGGTAATTGTTTTTACGCTATTAATTTACTGTTTGCAGCGACTTCCGCTATTGGTGATGCCTCGAAAAATCAAACTCCACCAACGCTTCTTTCGAGTTTGAGAAGCGTACTTTTTGTGATCGGAACTGTAGTGATCGGATTCGCTGCTTTTTGCAATTCTCTGACATGGTAATGTAAATTAATTATTGCAAATTAATGCAAATTGTATTGTATCGTTTTATTTTAGGAACTTCTTAAAACAACTTTTTATATTTTTAACTCGTTATTTTTTGACCACGCATACATAGAAAAAAAAACATATTGAAAAGTATAATTCTTTATTACAATTTTGAAAATAATCATACGTTTGCACATAAAGATATTGTAAAATAAGTTAAAACTTATTATTAACATCAATACTTCGCAATCCAATAAAACATGTTGAAAAAAAAACAATTAACTTCTTGTGTATTTGAATATTATTTCGTATCATATTAGCGTGTATTAAAATATTATTTGTAATTTTATGACTTAAAAAAGAAATTCGCGTAAAAAAAGTTAGTCTTTCTTTGTATAGAATTAAATAAATTTTCGATTATGTATTATGCCTTTTATATATTTTATGATTCATAAATATTTTTATTACATAATTTCTTCAAATTTTGTTACCTGAAAAATTTTTTCAGGCATTTACAAAGATTCTGGGGTGCATCTGGCGACTTCTGGCAAGCCCAGTGGGACAAAATTTTGGATAAATTTGGAGATGATCCTGTAACACTATGGGTTTACGGTAAATAAAAAAATATGCATATCAGTTTTTAAACTCAAAAATAATAGCAAAACCACGTTGCATTTTTTATACTATAAAAGAATAAGTAATTTATCAGATCATTTATTTTTTTATCAGAAAACATTAATTTTAATAACAGATTCTTTGATCAATGTTTGATATTTTCTAAAATTTTAAATAATAATATTTGTCATTAACACATTAAAGAGTTTAGAATGACATTCCAACATAATACATCATATTTATCGTACTTGTTACACAATTGCCCTATATCTACTGTTTTCGCAAATATTAATAAATGTACCTATATATTTACGTACTCGCATGAACTCATTGAATGTTAAACGTCAAACTTACTTTTCCTTATACTTATTATTGTATTGCAGGATCCTTATCTTTGATGATCGTCGTTTACTGGGTGATCGGGGGAATTTACACCATCCTAGATATCACTAATCGACCAGCGGCGCTGCGTAGATACAAAATACAACCCGGCACGAACGAACCAGTGGACAAGAGGGAATTATGCAAAGTGATTGCTCAAGTACTGTTCAATCAGATCGTCGTCGGCTTTCCTATTATGTACCTCGGCTATTATTTCATGGAATGGCGCGGTTATCCTCCAGTTCGCGAGCTGCCGACCTTCCATTGGGTGCTCGCTGAGATCGCGATTCACATATTATGCGAAGAAATTGGCTTTTATTATTCACACAGGTACCTAAAATTTACTTAAAAATCAAAGATATTAAATTCTCCATACTAAATTCTATAAATACGTGAAATAAATTTATTCTCGGAACGGTCACCAATTTTGCCGACTAATATTTGAAATTAACGTCTAGACGAACACGTAAAAAAAATAAGTAGAATAAAGTATGGAAATGAAAAACTTATATATATGGAATACGATAAACGTCATTTATGTTAATTAGCGTCATATTGATCTGTTATGAGTCATTACGTCTAGAAAAAGTGTATGGTATGTAAACAATAAAATTGAATAGAAGTATAGACGTATTAAGTAGATAAAATGAACAAGCTTATTCATATATATGTTGCCAATAATAGCAATTATCTTTATGCGATTATAAAAAAATGATTGTACAATGTTCTTATAAAAGCAAGTCAAGCAAAAAGAGTATTTTTGCGAAGCAAAATATATACATGCATAAAAATTAATGCGAAAATTATTGAGTAACTAGTTTATATTTAAAGATATCAAAATTATTTTTAAAAATTCTTTTATATAAGAAAATTCATATTTTGTACATTTAGTACAAAATATTTAAACATATGAATTTTTACATAATTATTACAATATTAAAACCAATTTTTAACGTCACACTTATATACTTTAGTTTTTTTATTTAAACTCAAAATAGTTGAAATAATATTTATTGGCATATGTTAATTTGTGCATACTGATCTAAGTATATGTAGACATAGACATTTATATTTTATATTCTTGAAATATTCGCTGCTATTGAATTATTTTTTGCAGATTTCTCCACAAACGCTCCCTGTACAAATATATACATAAGCAGCATCACGAATGGACTGCGCCCATAGCTGTCACCGCTATGTATTGCCATCCTCTGGAGAATATTGGTTCCAATCTACTTCCACCTTTCTTGGGTGTATTCATCATGGGCTCCCACGTGGCTACCGCTTGGATTTGGTTCTCACTCGCGATTCTTTCGACGTTGAACGCACACTCCGGTTATCATTTACCGTTCTTCCCCTCTCCGGAAGCACACGATTTTCATCACTTAAAGTATGTGGATTTCCTAAAAATTCTTGTAATTTTACAATCTCGATTTATTTACTACAATGAAAATCTTTAACGAAATAGATTTTATATCAGATTAAAAATAAAAAAAAAAGATTTTAAACTATATTTTTACGATATTGTGATACAATAATATAATATAAATCTTAGATGTTAGTTTCAAATTCAAAAAACTATGTTTCGATATGCATATATACGTTCAAATTTTATAAGTAAAGATCTAAAATTTCTGTAATAAGTATAAAATTATACTTTTATAAATCTAAATCTCTTTTATGAGAATTCCATATCATGTCGCATATCGTAATGTTCATCTTTCGCATGAAAAAAACAAAATTTATAGTTGCTGTTTAAATCTTTTCAGGTTCAATCAATGTTACGGTGTACTTGGCGTTTTGGATCGCATTCACGGTACCGACACGCAATTTCGCAGTTCGCGAAATTATATGCGTCACGTAATGATGCTTAGTCTTATACCGCCTAGGGAAGCTTTCCCGGATGAGGCAAAGTACAAGTCAAAGTAGAAGGATTTTTCGACAATTCTGAAAGTTATAGGCAATTTCCAAAAAAAAAAAAAAAAAAACTTTCCGCGCTGACAATGAGTGCGATATTTTCACACTCTGGTAACCAGGTTCGAGAACGACAGATCGTGATTATAATCGATTTTGTCCAGCTAGTGGTACAACTCTGGTAAGCTTCTTCTGTAAAATTAATTTCAACAAGTACATCCGATCTCGATCAATCCTTTAATCATGCTGATTTATCTTTTTTACCATTGAAAAGGACTTAATATGCAAATTTACATTTATTCGCAGATCTGTATATTCTTTAAAAAAAATTAAATGCCATAGCTTTTAATATTAAATATATTGACTGGTAAATATAGTTTTAGTCCTCTTTAATTACTTTCTTTTATTTAGATTTATAACAAAATTTTGAATTTTAGATTACTTTTATATTCCTTCTAGACTTCGGATTTATTCAATATATCATATAGTAGTATATAATGTGTTTATATAACTTACTCTGGTAAGGACTGATTAAAGGACTGTTCGTGAGAAACTCGGCTGATTTAACGATAATGACTGTACATATAAATGTCAAGGTTGGACTGAATAGAGAAATTAGCGAAAAGATTCGTGAAAATTTAAGATATGAAAAATGTATTTATATATTTAAAATGTCGAAAAGAAAGAAAGGTAAAACAAAAACGTTTCTAATTTATTGTTAGATTGGGAGCAAAAAAAGGAATTTTTTATTATTTGAATATGTATTAGACTGAGTTTTAATAGAATCCCCCTTTTTAATAAATTCTGTAGTCGAATTTATATAAGTACCTCAAATTTATATAATTTATTTATGTATACAAAATTCATATTATATAAATTTAGTAATTATTATATTCTTAAAATTATATACATATGATAAGCATTAGAATCTCCAATAATTATTATTATTATTCAAATTTTTCTTTCAGTTCAATCTAGACGCCACATTCGTACATATTTTCTATAATATTTTTAGCATTAATGTTAATTGTATTAAATATATATATTTAAGCTATACATTCATGCACAAGTACATTCTTATATTACATCTAGTAGGATGATATTTTAATGAATGATACAAAATGAATTGATAAATTAGATGCATATATATATATATATATATATATATATATATATATATATGCATCTAATTTATACACTTTTAAAGGTTCTTCAATAATTGAAGAGATTTACTTTTTTAATGACAAACAAAATAAAGTAAAAATATGTGAAAATAAAATATCTGTGTGATTCTTTTGTATGAAAGTACTGCTTTAAAATTCTATTTTAATTAATACTTGAAATCAAGAGATTTATAGTACTTTCAAACATATTAGCATTATGCAGTGAAGACTTCAGAATGAATAATATTTCGGATATAATTGATATTTTTATATTTAGTTCCATAATGCAGATTTTAGCCGGATTTGGATTTAGTCTTGAAGACGAGATCTAAGCATCAATTGTACTTCTTTAGGATAAGTATAACTTACATAGTTGAAACAAAATGTTTAACGTTTTAGATTTCTCTTTATATGTAGTACAATTGATAAATATACTCTATTGATTATATAGAAATAGATATATATATATATTATATATATATATATATATATATATATATATATATATATATATATTAATGCCAATAATTTTCTCTAATAATGAGTCTTTGTTATAACATTCTATATTCATATATATTTTTTCTGCAAAAAAAGAATTCTATTTATTAAAATTGAATAAAAAACAAAAATATATATTTTTGTCACAATGTTTGATTGTCGCAGAATTTCTATTAAGTTCTTAAGACTTAAATAAGCACAGAACAAAATGAAAAATAAGTAAAGAACCATGATACTTTGAAATTACATTAAAGTAAGAAACAAATTGGAGATTAATGTCTGAATGTGCAAATATATAAAGCACGCACATATGTAAAGTTCTCTTTCTGCATTGTGATTCTCATCGAGTATAAATATATAAGGCTCGTAATTAATATATAATAACACACACATTAATGAATTTATGTATCTATTACAAGCTTATTAATAAAATCTTTACAAATATTACTTGCTCCCTCTCTGTAAAGTTTCTTACAATGTGTATTATTAATTAATGATGGGTTACAAAATGAGTAATGTAACAACATGTAGAGCTTGCAAGTATATTTTATAACAATATGAATATTTTTTACATAGTACAAAAATAATTATTATTATTGCTTTCCGATATATAAATTTGACAAAATATATTTTTTAAAGGCCTAAAATGCAATCTTATTTTCAAAAATCACAATTTCAAAAAGTCTTACATAGATTGAGTAATTTCGCAAATTTGTCCATCATATTTACACAATCGCAAGACGAACATTTCATGCTATTTGCTTTGATATTCTATATATGATAATTATGAATAAAGTATCCTCGTTAGGTGATCTTGAACAGAGATTAAAAATTTCTAAAACATTCCGCAAAAAAAATACAATATGAAATTTTAATTATAATATGAAGAAGATACAAGTAACAAACTTACAATATATTACACAAATCGAATATTTCTTTGGTAAAAATTTGTGTACATTATCGTATTTCATATATATATATATATATATATACGACATATCTTACAAACTACAACTCTTGCATATGGAAAGATTTGCACGAATATTTTCATTGAGAGAGCATTATCGAAACATAGTATAATCTATTTTGCGAATCGAGGATTCAAGCTCGATTTTTGGCTTTGTAGAAATAAAGATTGCTAACATTATTGTCAGATTTTTCGCAATTGGACCCTTAGTAAATCTTTTGCGTTTTCTAAATGGCATCAAATACGATACGTGTGTATATATATATATATATAAATCTTATCACAATTATATATATATATATAACATATGTGAGACAATTTATATTAAGATATTTTCACTATTAAAAATTTTCATTAATAAAAACAAGTTTAAGAAAAACTTTATTATATATTTTATATATGTGATAGTACTTATAAATTACTTTATGTTCATTCTTTAAATGCTATAAAATACTTTCAAAATCGTTGTTCAATGCCTTCGACAAAATATATCTTTGTTCTACAATATATATAATCTCAAAAAATATTAACATCAATTATATAATAAATTTTCATTACCTATTACGGCAATAGTATAAAAATTATATAAGTTTTTAGACATTTTGGCATATCAAATTCAGATATTATAAAATTATGAATAGCAAAATATGTCAAGCCCTTTTAATAATATACATATATTGTCATTTGGGCATTATTATATGTGAGAAGGAACCAATGCTATGTTGACTGTTTCGAGAGAATATATACAAATTTACAATAGTGGAAGAATGCGGAAATAGATGATTGGATTTCCTCTTGCGTAACTACACATCCATTTAATCGCGGAAAACGGAAATTTTCTCACACGATTATGCTCATCAATCATTGTACATTCCGTCAATCAGAAAATCCATCCTTCGATAGTGTCTCTTATCCCAGCAATCTCGACCGCGTCTGTACAGTACAAAAATAACAGCACCCAATATTGGTAAAGCAATAATCGTTATAATCACTGGAACGATATAATCAATCTTTCTTGGCATTCCCAGTGGAGGGTTCTTTGATCGTGATGACAATAATCTAGATTCATTAGGCTCTGGTCCATCAACCGTTGTCACGGTTGGTTTGGGTTTCGGTATATGTTTTTCAATATGAGAGGAAGCCTTTGGTGTTGTATGATTCGTAGCCTCTGTATGAGATGTAGTTGCATTTGCTGATGTCAGACTTGTACTGGAATTTATACTGCGATTTAAGCTGTTGTTGACATGCAAATTAGTGACATTTAATTTTGGAGTATCGATGGTAGAAGTGTTAAATTGATTATTGGCCTTAACAGTTTCCGCAGAGACAGTTTCCATCACAGATTCTGTATTCTTTGAACTAGTTTGATTAATTGTCATCTTGGGATCCATGTTTAGATCCACACCCTTCCTTGGTTTTATTTTTTCCTTCTTAATAAAAAAAGCATGCTCTTTAGGCACATTCTCTTCTGTTCTGGATTCATCAGGCTTGTTTAATCCAGCAATTGTACTATTTTCTATGTTTGCATGCTGAGTAGTTGAGGATATCGATATGGGTCCTCCTTCTGCCAGCCTTACAGAATGTAGGCTGGTGTCCCATGACTTGAAATATATTTTACTGTTTTATAAAATTATTTACATAACTCCCTATACATATATGTATATAGAATTATCATATGTATAAAGTTAAATATAAATTTCTAAATGTACAAATATCATAAAGATGACAAATGACAGTAATTTAAACAATGATGAGATGAGCAGAAAAGAATCAATGTAAATAAGATATAGAAAGATATAGCAATTTTATAAATTTGTAATAAGGAAAAAGATGTATAGCTTCAATAATATATGTGGCAATAAATTCCAAAGAAAATAAGAACTGTAAAACAATGTAAAAAATATTTGAAACATACATAAGATATAAATAAGAAATATAAATAAAAATGCTAAAAAAATTAAAATTCACAGAATAGAATACAGAGGCAAGAACACAGCAAAGTAAAACAAAAACATAAAAAAAAAAAAAAGAAAAAGAGAACATAAATTATCAAAATGCAAAGTGCGAATCATAGTTAAAAAATATGCAAAGGAACTATAAAACCATAAGTGTATAAAGGATAAAACATCATAGAAATATATGTATAAAAGGATAAAACAACATAGCAAAATGCTAAAAGAATGAAACTAAAATAAAGAAAATAAAATTGATTTTCACATATGCAAAAGTGCACTTTACAGCTGATTTACCTTCGAGGAATTTTTATCGTCGACTCGGTGCTCGAACGCCGATTTCGTCGGAGAATCCAAAGATCCTGAAGACGTGCCATCTGGTTCCGCGTTGACAGATGAGGTTAACGCTGCAGCGAGCAGCGCAATTAGCAATAATGACAGGTGTCGAGGATCGATCGTAGCCATATCCGATCGCGTGGCGGATCGGTAATTTCAGGAGGAACTCTCCGATGTATTTATGCGAACGAAAAAAAAACTAAAAATAAAAAAATAAATAAGCTGAACCGAGAGGCCAACGATTGCAGCGTATTTAATCCATGGCCGCCGTGAACTATCGTTAAAGGGGATCTGTTCGTCTTTCGCAGCTCGCAATTTCTACATTTATCCTCTCTTTCTCCCTCTCTTCTTTTCTTCTTCTCTCTCTTTCCCTCCTTAGCCCCTTCCTAAATTAAGATAACTATATAGAGAGAGGAGGCTGACAGAGATGTAGCGCGTTTGACATCGTTTGACATTCGTTTCACATTGCGTTTTAAATCTTTAGATCTCTAGATCTGTAAATAGTTATCTCGTTAAAACGCAGGAAAATACGATTTGATCGTTTTTTTTTGGCACGACGCATATTACAAATTTAAGACACTTGGAAGATTAATATAGAGCTCTGCGAAATCGATGATCCACAATCGTTAAGAAAGTACGGTATTTATAATTAATAATACTAACCCTAATGAAAAATTATGTGTAATTTTGTATAATTTGCAATTTAAATGTTACGGAAGTACGACGATTAATTTACAAGTTAATTTGTGGCACTGATATACTAATACAAGTTTATTTACAAAATCATTCTGTTATGTTGTAATATATATATATAGTGTTTTCATATAAAATTAGTCAATTATAGCTTTAACTAGCTCGTGATTAATTTAGAAAAGCTGCATAATATATGTAAAAAGCTTATATAAGTGCGTCAAGACTAAATAGATTGTTGATGAAAAGTGCAACAGCAAAAATTTTATTTTATATACAAACTTGAGGCTTAATTACAATATCTTTTTCTATACATCTGAATATTCTAGAATCTGAGTAATAAGCTTGTGTGATTCTTCGCAGTAAAGACACAAGATGCGTAGCAGAAGCAACTCCGGTGTCCGTTTGGACTATTACCAAAGGATCGTTCACAAAATAATCATGAATTATCAGAATCCTGTCACCGGGCTCTTTCCTGCAAGTCCTGATAATGAGCACGCTTGGATACGAGACAATGTTTACTGCATACTTGCAGTGTGGGGTCTGTCGATGGCCTACAAGAAGATAGCAGATGCCGATGAAGACAGGGCAAAAACTTATGAATTGGAGCAAAGCTGTGTGAAGCTAATGAGGGGTCTGTTGATGGCAATGATGCAACAAAAGGAAAAGGTGGAGAAATTCAAATCCAGTCAAAATCCACACGATGCCTTGCATGCAAAGTATAGCTCTGTTAGTGGCCAGACGGTAGTTGGAGATACTGAATGGGGACATCTCCAAATCGATGCTATTTCTCTGTATCTTTTAATTCTGGCCCAAATGACAGCCTCTGGCTTACAGATTGTTTTCAATTTAGATGAGGTATTAATATATTATATTCTATATTTGTTACTGTATTATAAATTTTAAGAGTTATATATAACTGCAATATTTATCTTAATAAAATATTTAATTTTTTATTATTAATATGTGATTGCATATAATTGCATGATACAGAATTAAGAAAATATTTTAAATTTAGACGTTTAATTATAGGTGGCATTTATTCAAAACTTGGTATTTTACATCGAATCCGCCTATTGCACACCGGATTATGGGATTTGGGAGAGAGGAGATAAAACTAATCACGGCTTGCCGGAATTAAACGCAAGTAGCATTGGTATGGCCAAGGCCGCGATGGAAGCGATGAACGAGTTGGATTTATTTGGCGCGAGAGGTGGACCTACATCCGTCATCCATGTTCTGGCCGACGAAGCACAGAAATGTCAAGCAGTGCTGCAATCCATGCTGCCGAGAGAATCAAACTCCAAAGAGCTGGACAGTGGTTTATTGGCGATCATAAGTTTCCCTGCATTTGCGGTGGATGAACCTAACTTAATTCACGAGACACGAGACGCTATCATCAAGAAATTGCAAGGACGATATGGTTGTAAACGATTTCTGAGAGATGGATATAAAACGCCAAAAGAAGATATAAACAGGTACTGCATCATATGCAGTATTGTTTCATATTTTTAATTCAATTTACTTTGACTAATAATTCTTATTTTTGAAAATAGACTGTACTATGAACCATGGGAACTTCGTATGTTTGAAAATATCGAGTGCGAGTGGCCGCTGTTCTTCTGTTATTTAATATTGGACTATTGTTTCCAAGGCAATAAAGAAACAGTTGAGATGTGCACTAAGCAGTTGGAGGGTGTAATGATTAAAACAGATGATGGTATGAAATTGGTGCCTGAATTATATTCTGTTGCACCTAAGGATGTAGCAGCGGAATACGCCGAACCTGGGAGTCAGAGTCGAATTCCTTTAGGCAAATGCCCATTTATGTGGGCGCAATCTCTTTATATCCTAGGAAAATTGCTGCAAGAAGTAAGGAATTCAGAAACTTTGGTCAGGTTAAGAATATCTTATTGTTAAATTGTCATATTTAATTGTCCCTTCTTTTATAGCTTACATATATATTTGAAACATTAAATGTGTTCAAAAAAGATACTGAGTATAATCTATTTTATCTGAATTTTTTTAAATTTAATTTTAAATTGTATTTTTTCATTAAAAGTATTAACAAGATTATTTCATAAATAACCGATTCATAATTTTGTCTTATTACAGGGATTTCTCGCTGTTGGGGAGTTGGATCCATTAAACAGGCGACTGTGCAGTGAAAAAAAACCGGATGTAGTGGTGCAAGTAGTTATTTTGGCGGAAGATACAGAAATCAGAGAAAAAATTGCACAGCACGATATTCATGTGCAAACAATCGCAGAGGTTGCGCCGATCGAAGTACAGCCTGCAAAAGTCCTGAGTCATCTGTACACATATCTAGGTATGACTGAACAAAATTGCACAGCTAGAACTCAGAGACATTTTTTACTGAATAAACATTACTATAATTTCTAATTTAATTATAATTTCAATATTTGTTGCTATCAGGACGTAACAAGAAACTAGGCTTATCCGGACGTAAGTCAAGAGATGTAGGAATCCTCAGCACTAGTAAACTGTATTCCTTGCACGATAAGATATTTGCGTTTACGCCGCAGGTAAGCGAGCACAATTTTGATGATGTGTGCTCTATTATCATCTCTCTATATCTTTATTTCTTTCTTACGTTTCCTCTTGTTCTCGCACCGAATTGACTAGTTGACAGATATGACCCGCTTCTACATCGCATCGGACTATGAGCTCATGATTGACATATTCAAAGGTGAAATTAATTTCTTGAAGTCTAGTTGGCAGAATATGTTGGGCCGGCCTCTCGTGGTCATGCCCCTCAAGAATATTCATCTAGGTAATTTTAACGATTTCACAAGATCATAGTTGATTTTTATAATTACTAATTTAGGTATTCCGAAATTCATTAAAGTTGCCACAAGTTCTGTGGCTCTCTTATACTCTTAGAAATTCTGACAGATTTCTTGCGTGAGATTTTCATTTTCTTAGAATATTGTGACTGTCTGCTCTCAATAACTAACGTGTCTGCTTGCATGCATTTGTTCTTGTGAAACGGTTCTCTCTCATTTAACAATTATTTAATCCCCTATGGTTTAATGTAATTTTTAATTTTATCTTGCAACTTTATTTTTATGTCATATATACCTTGGATTTAAAAATGTATTATAATATAAATTCTAGATTCAATCTCTGTAACGTAGGTCCAGTAATAATGTAATTCAGTTTTGTAATTTAATATATAATATTATCCATAGAGGATTACAACATGAGCTTTTAATTACTTTTCATTTATGTTATGTTTCATTACATTCTTCATTACTAACATGAGCTAGACATTGAAAGTGGATGAGATTGCGAATTGTATCGAATATTGAAGATGTTCGACCGATACAAAGCAGGATAAAAACGAGACGAGAGAGATTGCTTCCTCTTCAAGCATCAAACAATAAAATTATCTTAAAGATATGGCTTTATTATGTGTGGTGGTATGCGCGTGTGTTGCATGTGTTAGAACTTTGACACGGAGGAGAACTACACGACAAACGACGTCGACCTGCTTGTCGATATTTTCACAACCACCCTGGCCTTCCTCAAAATCAACTGGAAGCAAATGCTCGGCAGACCAACCGTAACCCTTGTCGCTACTCATAATCATTTAGGTATGCCTTCGTCGGAGAAGCTTTTTAGATTTCATCCTACAACAAAAAGCTCGTCGGAGATTATATATAACGTAGTGCTACTGTGAGAATTGTTAACTATATGTAGAAGAATATCACAAAATTCAAGTATAAAAATGCTGTAGCAGAAAAATTAGAAAAACAAGCATATAATTTTTATTTGTATTATTTTCAAGCAATAACTTTTTAAATACAAATTTAAAATTTGACCAAAACTGCGATTAAAAATATATGAATCGTGTGTATGATAGTATATAATCTTATCTAATGACAATTATCGCAAAATAATTTAACACATCTTATAATTGTTTAAATTTTAAACAAAATTCTTGTATTTAAAGAACTATTGCTATAAAAATTGCATGCATTTTATTCCTTAATATTTTTGCTACAGTATTTCTACCCCTGAATTATCCAGTATAGAAAAAATACAGGATACGTTTGGATAAGTTATCATTTCTAATGTGAAAGGCATATATACATATATAATTTATTATAATTTTTTAATCAAAATTTAATAGTAATTTTTTTTCTAGATCAGGGTAAAATACCATTAGCCATGATAACTACTATGAAGAAACTCAAGAGCGGCTACATCAACGGTACGAGAGTGTCATTAGGAAATTTGAATGATTTCTTAAGCACGTCATGTATTACAAATCTTAGTTTCTTGGGGAGTTCTGAGGATGGTCGTCCTGACAAACTAAATCCTCAGGTATATAAAATTCCAATTATACATATATCTGCTTAGAGATTACAGCACATGAAACAGAGACATGCATACAATATTGAACAAAATTCTTTTTTTGCAAAATAGTCTATTGTTTGCTAAATATAGTCTAAGTATTTTGTCTTACAAACTTTTATATTACTTTTCAATTAATTTCCACGTGCTTATTAATCTGGATGGCATAATTTTTTTTATCTATGCATGTATATAATTATGATACACATCAAATAATTTACATATTAAAATTAAATAATTTTATATATTTAAATATAATTTAAAATAATGTACGTTTTCTAATGTCTACACAAGATTCAACAATATTTGGAGGAACATCTAATGCGGCCATTCCCTCATCGTACAGGACTTCTCAATAAGCCGGGCCCAATCCGTACAGGGAAAAATCTACGGCGCAGAATGTCAGTAAAAGGGGCAATAAAAAAGACACGATCCATAGCTGTCGAACGTGAGTAACATTTGTCTCGGATGAAATGGTTTTCTGCTTCTAATTGCGTGCTGATTATATGTTTTTTAAAGAGGACCCTTAAACAATATTGCAATGTCTTCCTACTGCCATGATTTTTACCATCTTCCAAGAATGTAAGTGTATTAACTGGCTATATATTATGTCTGATTTCTACCTAATATTTAAAAAAATCACGATTTTAATTATACTTGTATAATAAAAAAAAATACTATGTGATTCATTGTTATTGTCCAATTCTTCTAAATATTTAACATCATACATATACATATTATATAATTATGAATACATAGTAAATTTATATAATAATAAATAATATTTTAATATATGAAAAATACAAATATCAATATACCATTAAATGTATCAGATTGAAAATTTGTTTTTTGTATCTTTTAGTCGAAATTCTTGGGATGGCAGGGGAAGACCGTAGACACTCTACCGTTTTAAATGCAAATCCATTTATTGAAGTGACGGACACTACATTATCTCTTAATTCCACTCAACCACCGATGACGATTGAGCGCACACCATCACCAACGGATGAGCTATTATCGTGGAGAAATTCTTCGAAAACTAGACACAAAACAACATCCGAGACCCAGTACGCTGAAACCGAGGTGGAGGAATTACTGTCTATGCTTCGCGAAACGGAGAGTCTCGAAGAACAAGGGGATATTCTGCAATATCTTGTTAGTTTAATTTTTTTATAAATTTTATTTTTTACTTATGAAAGATTATTAAAACGAAATAAACATTTTATATATAGGTAGATTCGAAAGGATTATACTTTGACACAGGTGTGAAGGAAGAGGGACATCCCGTTTTGGTGAAGGATCTACTGAAGAGCCTTTACGAAAAAGTTTGTCAACAGAAAATGTGGGGCATTGTGCGACACAGCGCCGGCATGTTGGGCAAAAGGGTGGAGGATTTAGCGAAAGCGGTTACCGATTTATTAGTGCGTCAGAAACAAATCACCGTTGGGATGCCGCCGAATAATGAGCACACCATAGTCGCGCCTTTGCCGGAGAACGAGCTACGAACTCTGATCCATCAGGCTTACGGCGACGACGAATCGACGGCTATGTTGACAGAGGAATTGCTTGTTTATTTAGCGATGTTCATTAGAACGGAGCCGCAACTGTTTCACGAGATGCTGAGGCTGCGAGTGGGTTTGATCATCCAAGTCATGGCAACGGAATTGTCGCGAACGTTGATCTGTACGGGCGAAGAAGCTTCCGAACACTTGCTAAATTTATCTCCCTTCGAGATGAAAAATTTATTGCATCACATTATGAGCGGGAAAGAATTTGCCATTAGTAGTGGTACGTATTTCGCGATTTAATTAAAATTTAAAATATGCTCCATACTCCATGCTGATTGTATTTGTTTATATTGCAGTTGGTCGCGGCAACTTTTCTGTTATCAGTTGCAAATCTAGCAGAGTCAGTAAGGTAATATTGTCATTATATTGTATAATATAAAACATTTGACTTGAGTTTTATCAAATAACACTTAATAATATATTAATTTATAATATACTGACTCATATTTAAATTTTTTCCATTAAATTTATGTGATTTCATTATTTACAAATTAAAATATAGATATAGAGTTGAAGATATTCGTTTTGCTTTCTATAGAAATCTCAAATTGGTGGTTTCTTAAGCGCGGAACAAAACGCCGATAGTACCGAAGCAGAAGCCGATCGACAAGGTCAATGGTTACGAAGACGACGATTAGACGGTGCACTGAACAGAGTACCAAGAGATTTCTATCCGCGTGTGTGGCAAGTACTTGAAAAGGTAAATTTGTAAATCATTACCATCTAATAATTTATATACATATATATGTACATATATAAATTTTATTACATGTATATATGTAAATTTTATATTTATATATATAGTTTTAATATCTTTTAATCCCCCATAAAAATTAATGTTTAACAGTGCAATGGTCTAGCAATTGAAGGAAGAATGCTGCCTCAGAATCTCACACAAGAAATGACATCTGGCGAGTTGAAATTTGCATTGGCTGTAGAAACAGTCTTGAATACTATACCACAGCCAGAATATCGTCAACTTGTCGTCGAGGCTCTGATGGTATTGACACTAGTAACTGAATACAATGTCGTACCGTCTTTAGGTGGTCTGATCGAAGTTGAAAATTTAGTACATAAAGCAAATGCTATTTTCCTAGAAGATCAGGTATTTCAATGTTTCCTTTCTTTGTTTATATAAAATATATTAACGAATTAATAATGTAAAATAATATCTAATTGAATTTTTAAGTATCTAATTAAATTTTTATAGAGAAAATCTATTATTTTGTCAAAACTAATATTGATTTAAATCATATAATATTTATTGATTTATTTTCTTTAAGAGAGATAAGCCTTTTATTTTCTATTGAGACTTACACATATAATGTAAAATAGAATAGTTGCTATTTTATTAACAAGAAATAAAGTATTTCTTTTATCTATACTTTTCAAGTATGAAAAACAATTATGAAATTTGTAGATGACTATTGATGGTGATGCAACATTATGTTGCGCAAAACCAAAGGAACAACGTGAAATGACAGCTATGGGAACACTTCTCTGTGGTGGAGCAGCATATATTTGTCAACACTTTTATGATACTGCTCCCAGTGGAAGTTATGGAACGATGACATACATTACAAGAGCCATCGCCTTAACACTTGATTGTTTACCCAAGGATGGCGACTTGGAATGTTCAATATCGTAGTAAATATTATTTTAGAGGTAAATAATCTTTAATTGTGTAGCAAAAATTGTTAATATATAAATATTTCAGATAAAAATTTGCATTGCGATTTTTTATGTATAAGTTTCGCATTGTGCAATTATTTTTTAACTGAACATTTTTATCTCAATTGTGAGAAGAAAATGACCAAAGTTATTATTAATAAATATTAATAATTATAAATTGAGAAAGAACATTAAAATCAATGTTAAACTTATGCTTTGTTATATATTGAATTGTCTTGCATATTTTGAAAAAGTGGGAAATGAGTCAGCAATATATTAAGAGAATTTATATTTTGTTGAATCTACTAAATCTACTTTATTTTCTTTATTAATATATTTGTCAAAAGACATTTATTTCAAAGAAAATTTGTAATATTCAAGAAATTATATTGTAACTTTCTTTGTGTATTATCTAATAGAAATTTTTACTTATTTAGTCTTCGTAGTTTTGGAGAAAGGATTTATTTTGTTTAACCAGCTTCTGTGAACAAAATTTTACTTATTAAAAATCTTGAAATGTCCAACTATTATATAAATAGTATATAAATACATACGTTTCCTCTGGCACTACAACATCTACATTTTCAGCTTCTTTAATATTATTCTCCTTGAGTTTAGCAATTAATTCTGATCTATATTGAATTTTCAAAGGTTGTGGATCTGTTTTCTTTAATTTTAACCACTTACCAATGGCTTCTCGATATGTCAAACCATACCATTCTATTTGTTCTCTTGTGTACTAAAAACACATTAATATTGCACAATTCCAATATAACATCAAAACTCAATATTTTAACATTAAAACAAATAGCATTCTTTTTATTTCAATATTTAGTATATCTTGCTTTAAGTCATTTTTTAACAGTACATAAAGAAATTACTTACATATTTCAAGTATTTCTCGTACTTCGCATATACTTCTTCACGCTTTTCTGGATTTTTAGGATATAAAGTTTTATCTGCTAATGCTATAAGTATCTTACGTTTCAATTTTAGAGCAAGTAAAGATTTCAAGTTGCAGGCTTGTGTCTATAAATAAAATAGAATTCTTTTAAAAAATTGTGCTTAAAAATCTTGTAATATATATAATTATACTATACTTTTTTATCTAGTTAATTTAAATGTCAATGCACCTTTAATAGATAATGATCAAATCCATAATTTTCATGAATTAATTGGATTGTTCTCGGAGTAACAACAATATTCATATATGTGTCAAGGACTTCGCTATAGACAACAGACTTTTTCAGATGAGGTATCCAAAAATGTGGTACTCGTCTCTTATATTTACCCTTCTTTTTAAAGCCTTGCACAATAGATTCTCCTCCCCATATGCCCTTCTGACTCTCCTTTGTATAAAATAGAGGTAATGGTACATTTTGTACTGGAAGTCTATAAATAGATTTGTTCGAATAATTAATATAATTCTTATAACAGACAGTAAATTATTTATGGATAATTATTTGTATATATATATCTATATCCTATACATTTGTATAACAAAATGTTACACAAGAATTGTTATTGTAACATTAATTAATAACGAAATGTAACATACACTTCCCCAAAGTAATTTTTGTAATAAGTGCCTTTCCGTTCAATATAATGAACAGCAGCCGGCGCCTTTGTCCATTCTCTCCAGAATTTTCTGTACTCTAGTGGTAACTCGGAACCAAGTCCTTTAGTCCATCGATTTGGTCTTCGAAACATGTACAATCGCTGCAACAATTTGTACTTTTACTTATCTCTTATACTTACAGAAAAATGCTTATGTGAATGTTTCATGTTTAATTATCATTAGCAATATTCTTTCATTTAAGTCTCAAATTACAATAAACATTGTGTTCACATAAAATCTCCAAAATATTATAAATAATTAATATTATAACAGTAAGAAATGTTACATATAATAAGATTATATCTTCCAATTAAAATTAAAACAACGTATGTAAGAAAATATTTTTAATGTTGACTCTAATTTTTATGTATAATATAAAAAAATAGAAGAATAAAATTTAATTTAAAACATAATATTGTTAAAATCAGTAGACGAAAATAGGTTAAGTTTTGAATAATAAGACAAGTTTATGTACTATATACCTTTCCAGCCTGTTTAATCGAGGAGAGAGACATAATGGCATACGACTCTTAATTAATTAAATCAGAATTATACGCGAATAAATGTTTTTTCCTAAAATAATTAACCAGCAAATGCCACACTTTTATCAATTCACATTTGATAAATGAGAAAAGCAGGGTTCGAATCTTGACTGAGCAGGGTTCGAATCTTGGCTAACAATCGAATCGATCGATTCGAGAGCGATTAATGACGTCACCAATCGATCTTGAGTCGATCTCGGCAGACTTCAAACTGTAGTGTGTTTATTGTTAGTGCAAACGTGTAAAATCATTTCTGCAGTGATTTTGTGAATATCTGTCATTTCAATTTCATTAGATGCGCGTGTTCATCGAGGTACGTTTATCGAGGATTTTCTTCAATCTGTATCTATTTCTACACTGCGTATAATTATACTGCTCTAAGGCATTTTTTCTCCGCATTTACTTACGCAACGACCTGGTTATTTTTACGGTTACAGATACGTGTACGCACAATTAAAATAAAATTATAATTGCATCATATACATATATATATATATATATATATATATATATATATATATATATATAAATTGTGTTGTATATACCCTAAAGTTCCATAAAATAAGAAATAGTTGAAGAATGTATTTAATTAATATAATTAAGCTTATTGCCAATTTTTTCTCTTTACACTCATTTTTAATAAAGTACTATTCAATCTTCTTTATAGAATTTCATATATATATATATATATATATATTATATATATATATATATATATATATATATATTATATATATATATATTATATATATATATATATATTAATATATATATATATATATATATTATATATATATATATATATATATATATATATATATATTAATTCCACCGTACTCAGTTTAAATATATTATATATATATATATATTAATATATACATATATATATTATATATATATATATATATATATTAATTCCACCGTACTCAGTTTATGACTAAACGTCAAGCTAGAGAAATTTGCTATATGTAGTTATAAGCATTAATTAAATAGAAATATATATATATATTTTTTTTTATATTGAGAGAGAGGAGGGAAGAAAAAAATTGCGAATATTGCGAAAAATATGTATATGCGATGATAGATCTCGAAACATATTTTTACTGTACATTCTCAAACTGAATTTAGATCGTTGAAAAGTTGGACACAATAAAGCATTAGACGCAATAATATATATTTGAGACACTAATTAAAATTAAAAAATTAATTATTGCACTTATAAAGATGGACACAAAATCTTAATTTTAATTTGTACTTATGTCACTTTAATTTTTTTATTTAATTGTAAGTAGACAACACACACACATTAATATGGTTTTTATTTTTCACTTTACCACATAATTTTAATTCACCCAATTTCTATTATGTACATATAATGACCTATATATGTACATAAATGCATTTTGGAAAAAGAATATAATTCGTGAAAAAAAGAATACATTTGTGTGAAATTCTATAAAGAAGATTGAATAGTACTTTATTAAAAATGAATGTAACGAAAAAAAATTGGCAATAAGCTTAATTATATTAATTAGATACATTTATTTAATTGCGCGTTATAGATCGAGACAAAATTATTCGTCATTCGAGCAATGTGATATTAAATAACATTAAATATAATATTATAAATATATTATACGAAAGCGATCTGCTTTTTTAAATATTTATTATATATATATATATATATATATATATATATATATATATTCAATATACCGATTGTGTGCAAAAATAATCATAATAGATATTTATATTTCATGCTTTTATTCGATAAATGAATGAAGAAGTATTACTGCTCTCGATATTATCATAGAAAAGAAAAAATTAGCAAATTATTAACTTTTTGGAGTAATTGTGTAATACTACATATATAGATCTTGAAATGCATTTTTTGCGAATTATATTCTTTTTCCAAAATATATATATATATATATATATATATATATATATACATAAATTTTTAATATATTAAAGTAAATAAAAGAGAGAAAGAGAGAGAGGAAGAATAAATAAAAATTCAATCATCTATCACAATATATTTTTATATTTAATTTATTAAATTATGTATTTTTTATATTTCCTTTTTATTAATCTCTGTTTTACGTACATATAACAATAAAAAATTTTAATAATATTCTCCAATTATTAATCAATTAACATATTATTTGATATAATTTATTAAACTTTATAATATTAATTTGAAATTTTGAGTTTCTACAGATTTTTTAAAAAATTTAAAAAGCAAAAATTACAGATATATTAAAAAATTAATACTGCAAAAGTGAGCTCTTCAAAAAGTAGTATTATTAATTTCATTAAAAGAAGAAATGTGTGTATTATTAAGTTAATGTAACTTAAAATATCATTACGTACTCTTATTAAATTTGTTTGGCTGTTTAACTACTCCTACTATTACAAAAAACACGATATTTCCGTTTAAAAAAAACAAGATCTAGCTCAAGTTTTACTCTTTTATCAAACAAAAAGTATTCCGTCAATTTTTATTCTTGCAATGTGTTGTCGGTTAAAAACTGATAAATTTCTAACGATGACTTTTCTTTATCAGATAATTATAAGTAAAAATGATAGCAACTATTACGAGAACCATCTTATATAATTATATACACACACACATATATATATATATATATTTTACTAACTTTTTGCGAATGATTAAAACTATTAAATAAGAGTTGACAGTAGAAAAATACAATATTGATCAGACATTAAGTTTTCCTGGAGATCCTTAATTTTGACAGCAATGTGTGTTATTCTTAATTTTTTATGAAAACATGTTTGTATCTATTTTCGATTAAAGTAATCAGATGAAAGTAATAGTAGAAAAAAATAGTATTGGTCAGACATTAAGTTTTTCTGGAGATCCTTAATTTCGACAGCAATGTGTTATTCTTAATTTTTTATTAAAAAATTTCTGTACTTATTTTCGAAGGAATAAAGTAACTATTGTAGATGAAGGTGACAATAGAAAAAGATAGTACTAGCTAGATATTGAGTTTTCCTGAAGATTCTTATTTTTGACAGCAATGTATGTTATTCTCAATTTTTTCTGAAAAAAATTGCAATTTTTGCGAATGATTAAAACCATTAAATAAGAGTGACAGTAGAAAAATATAGCATTGGTCAGACATTAAGTTTATACATATGTATATAGTTATAAAATAAGCTTTAAATATACACAACCTCATATATTATACACTTGGTCAACTCGCATTCGCGTCATCTCTGCTTGTAAAGAGGTACACTGTTTGTTTCGACCGACAGTATAAAAATAATGCTTGTGAGTCAGTGCAATCTGTCCGCACATTTCACACAAGCGCGCGCGTGAGAGAATTCACAAGGATATTAATAAATATCAAACCGTCTGTATAAGAGACGCTTGAAAACACGATGCAAGACAGCAGGGTGACAGTAAGATGCGGCATTCCCAGTCTGATCTATACATAATCAATTTTGATTCAAGATTACGCGATGTGCACAAATATTCCTCCCATAGAAGATTCAATATAAATGATCGATTCGAATTAGACGAGCAAGTTGAACGAATTAGTATTGACGATAATGTCGTAAAATTTAGAGATTTCTTTGAACGAAAATTTCTACAGTAGTTATATTTTCTGCTCCTTTTCCGCTTTCTTAAATCTGTATTTTTGTAAATTTTATTTTAAGATGTACAGTATGTATATACATACATATAATATTTTATAATATTTTAGTGTTTTAACAAACTACTCTGTATAGAAGAGATTTAATTATTTGTTAAACTAACGTGCTGTACAGTCATACAGAAACACAAATTTATTATTTGTGCAAATTATTTTATATTTTTAATCGTCCTCGATATAAACACTTGCAAACATTGGTCGAATTTTTGCTATAATTGCTCGTCAAAAATAGGAATTTCGAAATGATGTTGTGCTCTATATAAATGCAATTTGTCATATCTAAAAACAGTCTCTAAATGTTTTCCGCGTATCTAAAATCATATGAAAAATTATAAGCAATGATTTTTCTTTTAATAAGCGTTAACATTTTTTCCCTAATTAAATTACATGTATTTTAATAAACAAAGCAATAAGAAAAAGGAAAGAATAAAAGCTGAAAATATTAAAAGAAGCAGATCGCTTTCGTATAATATATTTATAATATTATATCTAATATTATAATTAAAATATCACATTGCTCGAATGACAAATAATCCTGTCTCGATCTATAACGCGCAATTAAATAAATTGGACATGTTGAAATACATTACCGTAAATATTTATAAAATTGCATTTTGCAATACATTTGTATTGTATATACCCTAAAGTTCCATAAAATAAGAAATAGTTGAAGAATGTATCTAATTAATATAATTAAGCTTATTGCCAATTTTTTCTTGTTACGCTCATTTTTAATAAAGTATTCAATCTTCTTTATAGAATTTCACACGAATGTATTCTCTTTTTTCTTTAAATATATTTATAGTAATACATTTTTAAAAATAATAAATAATAAAAATATTCATTTACATGATGACTATGTATTTAAATTGTAAGTAAATTATTTTTAATCGTATATACAGTTGATGCAAATGCGGTGTCATATAGATTATGTACATAAATCGATAGCGAAGAAAATCTGAGATTGGAAATTAGATTCGCGCGTCTCGGAAAATTCTAATAAATGCATAAATAATGAGATACAATTTTTCTCACGGGGAGGGAGACAACGCGTAATGAAAACGCAAATATTTCCGCTAGAAAACGACTTTACACGCGCTAATGGATTAAAGGAAAAGGAGATGGGTGGAGGAGAACGTGAAGTATGGGCGGCCTTCTCCCTCGTCGGTTTCTCGGCAACAAACGGGCGGGCCGAATTGAGAACCGCGAGAGAGAACACTCATCGTCTAATAATAATATCTTGCTCAAATTTCTATTTTCAGGCCGATATAAATGCGAGTACGCGCGCGCGCGCGACTTTTATGTAAAAAGCAGCGCAGCCTTACGCGAGGCCGCCGCGATTTCGCATTACCAGATCCGGTCCGGAGAAGTATACCGGAAGCTGCCGCAACCGCCGCCGCGCCGGAAGGTCCGCGTACTTCGTATAGCAAGCACAACGCTATACAGTTTACTTTCGCGAGCAAATAGTCCGCGGCGCGTAAACTTGTCAAACTTGGCGAATAACGACCACCGCCTGCTACGAGAGTAAATTCGAGTTAGCGGGATAACAGAAGTGGTTTAACGTGTAACGCTCTGAGAATGTGTAGAGATATATAAAGAAGAAAAAGAAACGCGAGAGAGAGAGAGAGAGACTAGAGCTTTGTATAGGTATATGCGCTCCCTTGCATATATGTAAAAAAAGAAAAATTTCGCGATAAATAAATATTCAACTAAATCCAGATGTATAAACTCTCTGACGTAGCTTTGCGCTTCGAGATATACGCGGCATACGACGTTAAATATTCTATCTTTCCCTTTTTAATGTAATCAGCTTTATATATGCAGAGCGCGATGGTTCTCTAGCTACGAAATCTCAAAAGCAAATAGATTCCGTACTTAGATTTGAAACAAAATTTTTATGAGATAAATTATATTATAGAAGATTATAATTATAATTATTGAAATTTCATTATTTTTAAATGTTTCAACTTTAATTTGAGGATGCAAAATAATGTATTGCATTTGAGAAGAAGAAAGTAATGTGCATTTACACACATTACATTTTGGAAATAACATATGTATAAAGGAATTATGTAATGCACATTGCAAAGATGTACCTTGCATATAAAATAATAATGTCGAGTGATTTATATATTCTCTTTGCATTTTCTAAAATTTTTGTCAGATAATTTTCTCTTCGACATTCGAGACACAAATGCATCATTAAAGATATGCGACGTATGAACTTTTCGCTTATAACTTATGAATGATATAATTTTACAGTTTCAGATTATAAATATAAATATATATATTTATTCATTTATATTTATATTTATATATAAATGTACTGAATGGTTGAAATAAAAGTTATTTATACGTCTAATCGCATATATGTCAATTATGTCGCGTAATTTAGTCTGCCTTTTGGCGAACAAGACAAGGACCAGAAAGATCAAGAGCATTCTTTTTCTTTTTATGTTATACTTTATTAGCTTTTTTATGTTATTTAAGAGCATCACAAAAATAGTTGTAGAAAAATATATCTGTCATTTCTACACGTGTAATGCGTCCGAGCTATGTAATGCTTTACTACGCACAAGCATAAAAAAAAAGAAATATTCTATTGATGTAATATTTAATCTAATAAATAAGCAATTTAAAATTGCAATTACATTTGACATAATTTAAATACTTAATATGCAATTTCGTCATAATTTCATTGCGTTTCGCGAGAATCTCCTCGGCTCCGTTACATCTGCCTCCACTTACATCGTCAGATCCACGACAGATATTACGTTACGGTGTACGATAATAATTCGCGACGTCGTCTCTTCATAACCGTAAGCACATACACAGGGTTCGCACGTAGGCGCGCGTAACCATATACTTGGGCCTTTTGTATAAAGACATGTATAGATGCGCACACGTATATATCTCCCTAAAAATAGAAATTTGAGCAAGATATTATTATTAGACGATGAGTGCGTGGCCGCTCGCAACTCCTCACAGTTGCTCACCGCGGTGCCTCGTTACGAAAATGCGAGAGAGAGTACGGTCCCCTTGCTTTAACCATCATCGCCCACGCTTCTCGCTTCTCTCGAGCCGGTCGAGGAAACGAGAAATTTCGCGACCGAGGGTGCTCGAACACGTGGAAAGCATCAGTTAGTCGAGAAATTGTAGGCCGGTGAAAAATCTCCGAGCAGAATTACAACAAATATCCGCGATTTATCATTCTTTTTTCACGATTGTTGTTGAATTAAACGTACATTGACCGCTCTGTACACACAATTCTCTGATATATATTTTATGCAATTATTGTCATCTTAACTGCGAAGATTCTTCGTAAAAATATTTTGAATAAAATACATTGTATGTATATATTTATACTCTGATTATGCAACCAGAGTATAATTTGATATAATGAAAAAAACTTGTAAAGAAATTTAAAAAATTTTATTGTAAAGAAAATATAACATAAATGCATAATATAATTGTTTGGACGATAAAAATATTAAGATGCATGCAATATATGTAAACTAAAAATTATTAACTTTTACAGTTTTAATTACAAAATTAATATAGACTTATAATAAAGCCCAACTAATTTTTAGCTCTACATTTTTCTATTTTTGTATTAAAAAATTAAAAATCCAAAAATTATAGATAATCGCATTCTCGTTAATCGATATATTGGTGCAATCAAAATCAAATATCATCTTTCCATCTTTTATAGCCTTTTACATGAGATCTTTAAGATTTTACGACGTTTATAATGACAGTTTATCATCCGAAATTTCATGAAATTCAATCGTAGTTAACACTTACTAAGATTATATTTATAAAGTCGGCGATATTCGTAGAAGAAATCGAACATGTGGAAGCTTCAAACAATAGCCTCGCATATTTTTGCTATGTTTCACTAACTACTACGAGTATTCAACGGAATTCTTCCTGTCTACCATCTTCGATGTATTTTTACTTTCTACCACAACCATAATTCTTCTCAGGGGCGGAACTTTCCGTCGCGAATCCGCAAGATTTACATGTTCTAAAGTAGGTCACATATGTACCTTTATATGTGAGTATAGCGCTTCTACCGTATATAAGTATCATATAAAATTCTATGGATTATGTATTATTTTTGCAATTTTTTTTCCTAAGAACTTATAATGCATTATGACATAATTTGATTTCGAGACAAAAAATTCAAAATTCAGAACCTCACACTCGAAGATTTTAGCTCGAGACATTATTATAGATACGCGATTTTCCAAAGCTCTCTTGAATTCTTCGTCTTTATTTTGATATATTTTAATTCCGGAAAACAGTAGCCAAAAGAATAAAAAAATTGAATTTTTTATATTAATTTGTCTATGATTGTCCAGGATATATATTTCTAATTTATCTACGTTGCTGACACTTTGATTAAGCTCCTATTGAATCGCTTTTCCAACCAAGAATATCGCAGCAATGATTTTTTTTTATTATTCGCTGATAAATATAACGTAACATCAATCTAACGGTATTGGTATATGTCATTCGTCAAACTGCCAGGCTATTTTATTGCTTTTTTTTACTTTGATATACATATTAAGATGCGCAAGTTATAGAAATGATTTATTATAACTTGTCATATCATTTGTATCAATTTTATAAAATTTAACATTTTATATCTAGCAATGTCATTTTGATATTTAAAGATATATCTGTGTACATGAATCTTATATAGCTGAATAGATATACCTACAGTTTTTGGCGTAGAATAAATTAAGGCTTTCAGCTTTGTATTCATTCTCGAAAATGCCTCATTGTTTTATATTTTGTTTCATTGATCTATAATAATAACAGCTGACAAAAATCAAATTAACTCCATTTAAAAAAAAAACAAAAAATATATTTCTATGCATGTAAGCATTCTAATTACTGTAAAAAATAGACAAGAGCTTAAAAGATTTATAGGTTCATAGATAAAATGTAAATGAATCGATTATAATCGAGAGTTAAATTAATCGAAACATTTTACTGATAAAAAATCTTATTGTTATTCTGATCTTTTTGGTCTTAAAATCAATATACATGTCATAAAATGTAATTGTAATTTCTGAAGAAAAAAATCATTTCGATCCAAAGAAACCCCTCCTGAAACTTATCTCGGCAAAATCCCCGCCGTTCGTCGGCGGTCACCACTGGCAGCAGAGCGTCGTCGTCGTCGTCAACAGCACTGACGTTCCCGCTGCACACGTGCCGTGTGCAAAGCCTAGAGGTGCTATGACTAGGACGCTTCCGACGCGAGCACAGTCATTCGAATCCAGTATTAGTGCGGTGTAGAGTGCTCGGTGTTTTTTAATTCATTTACTCGAATTCTCTCTCTCTTTCTTATTTACTTTTTCTCACGCGACTACGATCGATTAGTGGTGAGTATCCAGATAATATAGTGTGGGCGGATACACGAACTTCTTTACTACTATCAGATACTATCCCCTCGATGACGATATGCAAAAACATGGCCATTTGTATCGCTCCAAGAAATGCATCTAGAATCGCATCGCGAACGTGTTTTATCTCAGCCGCATGATTTGTCTGTTTTCTCTGTGTCTTTCTCCCTGTCGTGACATACTGAAATTCGCATAAGTGCCCTGAAAGGTATTTATCGAAATCTTTAAAACCCACGTGCAGCAGATCAGCTGATTAATTGTCAGATCATTGATAATTTTTTATTCTTTTTTATAGATCAGTTTACAGTCAAGTAATTTCTCAGAAACAATTAGATTTATCAATAATTCGTCAATTTATGTTTTAGTTCATCAAAATCTTGATTTGCCTTTACGAAATTTCATTATTAATTATTAATACTTTACCAATTTATTTATAGTAAACTAAAATAATTTTTTGTGATAAAATTGAAATGGATTATCTAATTGTCATAAGCTATACCTGTATATTAACTAACTTTGACTTAGCAGTTTGTTATTATTTTTTAATTAGGTTAAATGTTTTAGTCTAAATTTGTATTTTTCTCAATTTATTAACAGAAGAAAGTAATATAAAAATATTTCGATTTTGAAAACATAAACAATCGTATCAAGTCTTTTAGGTAAAAACTTTTGACACGTATTTTTGTATCTTGAAGAATTTCGAAAATAAGCCAATTCTGAATTTGAGGTAAAATATTTTGTAGTTCTATTCAATAATGTAGACGAAGGAAGAAAATTTAGTTAACAAGGTTTAACATTAATCCGCGCAGACGATCAGACAGATGAACAGGGTGAAGGATCTATGCTATCTAGGATGGATATATCATGATGGAAAATCTAATGTCTTTAAGATCTAATCTCGTGCTAGAAATATTCAAATAGAGTCACGATCACTGAACATAGATTCTACATTATATTATAATTAGAAACTTGAGATATAAATACAATTTCATGAGTCGCGCGCGATCTGTCGGTCAATTTGCATGTACGATCAAGTATAAGTCATTGAAATGAACAAAAGACTAAAAATAAAAATAATACAAATATCACACTTTGTGTACAAAAATTGAAGATGGTACTGCAAAGTTTCAAAATAAATTAATTCATTAAATTTAATTGTTTTAGTTAATTAAATTTATAATACTAAAGACTTACTTTGTTTTTTAATACAAAAATACATGATTATTATTAATATAAATTTTTCATGAAAATTTTTGTAGATAAATTATACACGTGTTTGCAATATTTTATATGCATAATCCTTAAATAAATTTTGTAATTAATTTTAAAATATACAATCACGTGTTCTACTGTCATAAAAGTTATTTTTATCTCACACGTTTCCGTAACGAGTTGAGACAACCTCGTTAATGTTAAAAATATGCACGCATTCTCCCCGCTATTATTAATTGCCGAAACTCAATCTCTCGTCGACTAACGATGCTAATCAAACTAACTTATCAAATAAATTTAACGAACAAAATATCATTATTAAGTTAAGCGAACGTGATTAGTCGAATAGTCTCGATGCTTATTTTGTAAAATCATTATAAAGTTACTTGCTAATTGATAGCTAATTGCAAACTGAGAATCTACATCAGAATATGGATTTTCAAACAAATATATTAAAAGACTGTTGTTTAAATATTTATCAATATAAATGATAAGTATGATAAGAGTTCACTGATATTTAGGAATGTTTGTTAAAAATGTTGTTAATTTGTTACACTTGATTTCTTTCATACTTTTAATGACAAATTTAAAAAGATATTATCTAATTAATTAATAATCGAATTAATACAGAAAATGGAATTTATTTTTTATTCTTCCTCTATATTAATATTTTGATGGTTCATTTGTTTCGATAATGTGTGACGCAATACAAGATATCGTATTACATCTAAAATATTTCACTACACCGGTTGTTGTAATTATACATCATACGAGTCAGCGGGCGCTTAGGATTTCTTTATAGCGTGACCTAATTTTAGGATTTTAGTTTTATCCGCTTGTTTATGCTATCCGGATGTGATTTATCAAGCCAGTTTGAAACACGATGCCGCGATAATATTTCCGGGTATTCCTGAAAATGTTAAACCATCTATTATATATGAAGAATTATTTGTCTTAATTGTATTGCAATCTTTCTTTTTAAAAACGATTAATCAATCATATTATTACAATAATCTATTTTTTATCTCGTAGCAAATTACCATCAAATACAAGAAAATAATTACATTATAGTAGAAATAAAAATTTGAATGAAAATAAACTTAATCAAATAATATTCAATAATCTAGTCAAATATGACAGTTCTCTCCTCTCTCTCTCTCTCTCTCTCTCTCTCTCTCTAAATAATTGAAAGCTAAAATATATATAAAAATTGTATATAATACATTTTATAACTTTGTATTAATATACTATTAAGAATGTATCAAAAAATATTTAAAGCGTAAGCTATTTTATAAAATTCTTCGAAATACGTAAAAAATAAGATATACGTATAAAATGATAAATGCTTTGCATTTTGCGATAATGATATTTCCTCTATTTGATAAACTATCATTTTTGTCGCAAGTCTAAAATTCAAACGTCTTGTAAAATGAGCATATTTGATAATCGCCAGGTCGATGATTCACCCGTTTATTATATAGTGCCAACACTTACCGCACTGCAATTAATCATTCTTGGCCGTTTTCTATCATTATTTTATTTCCATTTTAATTTTAACTCACGTCGACATATTACGCAAATCACAATGACTCATTTTCAATAATATAATACCAGTATTTAAAGCTCTTGAAATAAAAGATTCATTGACCAATTCATTGAGCGTTCATTGACCGATGTATATTGTTTTTTAATAATAAAATGGAAAGAGAAAAAGAATCTAATAAATTTATAATTTTTTAAAATTTCTATATAACAAATAATATTATATTTAATATAATATAACACGACAAAATTGAATTTATATTTATATTTCCATGTTTTATGTACAATCAAGATTATCAATATTGCAAGATATATCTTATGCTTATAATACAAAATTAACTTATAAAAAACTTAAAAATTGAAGTACAAGATGTGAAATATCAAAATTCTATTTTTAACAAATTTTTTTAATTTTTTATATGCAAATCTCAAGATTTTTATAGAGAGCTCTACCGTATAATAACATTTGAGCACGTGTACAGCTACTTAGCAATGTTACTGCGTGATAAGATATATATATATATATATATATATATGCAAATTATCATGCATTCCATACGTCTCTCAATATGCATACGATTAAATGGTAGGAGTATAGGAAAACCCACTAGCGTGGAGAACCTAGCGCCTTCCCTAATACGGCCTCGCAGATCGCCTGTACGCGTCTGCACGGATATAGACACGTCTGCTCTCTCCTTCTCACTCTCTCGCTCTCTCTTTCTTCGGTCGCCCGCGCGCTCGACTGTACCACTGGCCGCGCCGCTGTTAACCCTGTTACTACTACTAGCGTGCCGCATCGCTACTGTCTGTTACTACTGTCAGGAGTAACAGAGCGTAACTGTACTGCCGAATACGTGCGAAACGTTACGACGGAAATTCTCGGTATAAAAATAAGCTTCTCCTTTTCAAGAAGGATAAAAGGAATATTTAAGTAAATAAATATATAAATAATTAATTAAAAAAAAATTAGAATATATTAAATTTGGATCAAAGTCAATGTGATGGTGAATATTATTGTACTATTTTTATGATAGTTGGCCAACAAAATGTTTTATTTTAAACAGCTTGTTTTTTAATGTATTGTTTATTTATTTTAAATACAACTAATTTTTTTTATTAAAAATTAAGATAATACAGCATAAGATAAATAATCTGCAGATAGAAAAAATACAAAAATAATAAAAAATATTTTTCAAAATAAATGTTATTTTTAAAAATAGCATCGATCTATTATTTTCTTTTCATAATCACTAACAAAGAAATATGTCTAATATTAACAATCTAATAATAACAGACCATACTATTACTTATTTTCTATCTCGCACTTATCATTACATCGTATAAAATAATATAGATATTTTGCAAATTCAAGAATTAAACTCGTATAATAAATACAAAAGTAGTAGATGATATAATGCGTGATATAATAGCTACAATGGCAAGAATAGCTTGCGCGGATTAAACTGCTGTATAATAGAGAAATATGAGAATCAGAAACCAGATCTTTTATTAAATTATGCAATATAGGATTTGTGGAAAGACATATATGTTTCTTTTATTATTATCATAAATACTTCTGTAATAATATCTCAAATCAGTTATAATATTTAACTTGTTTATACGTTTTTCTAATTTTTACTATAATCGTTGTATTAATAAATAAAATAATAATTTCTGCGGAATATTAATGCTGCATCATATATTATATCAAGTATTATATATCACATTGTTATCTGTATTACTTTTATTTTTATTTTTATTATTTTATATACCTATTATTGAAATGAAATATTATGATGCTATATATTTAAGTATCAACTTTGCCAAGTGCTATTATGCACACCCACTATTTTCATGCCAGGTATCATCCTATCTTTTTCTTGTAATATATATATCAGTTAATCATAGTATGTTTTCGTGTTTTTGACAATAATAACGGCGCACATAAATTTTAAATTTATTTTAAATAATCCAAAAAAATTCATGTACCGCAACTTCAGTCATTTCTAAAACTATATAATAATTATTTATTATAACAATTATATAATGCTATTTTTTTCAACACTATTATTTTATAATATAAGCTAAGATTTAGAGTTAAAAATAAATATGAATTTTCACGTGCAAATAAATAAATTTCTTTACCTTTTGAACAGAGTTTATTTAAAAATATAATATTTTGTGTAAGACATATAAAACATTTTTGTTTCATACATCATTAGCATTATTAAAAAAATAGCAATATGTCTATATATATATATATATATATATATATATATATATATAAAGAATTTAATATAAATATCTATAAACATCATTTATCTATAAATATCACTTATATGTTTTCTACTTTAAATTCAAAACTCTTACTAGTCCTAAATCAAAGATCACTCGATTACTTAAAGAACCATCATTATTTTCTTTATAAATTCCAATGTTAATTTCTTATGTGTAAATTATAGACCCGTCCCTATTTATACTTCTATTCAATGCATTTATACTTCTATTCAATATTCTATTGATTGCCGTGTGCGAAATACTTCTCCTTTCCTTTTTTACACCCCCGTTCTTCCACTTGCACGATCGTGCACGCGTTTAAGCTGATCACAGAAATAGAACCGACGAGTCAGACGGAAACTTGGATTGTTTACGTCTTCATAAATGGTCGGTTAGGTAACCAAGATGAGTTATCGTATCGATGATTCCCCTCGATATTAATAAAGTCATTCGGTTTGATTTGGCTTTCGCGAATTTTGAATTTCAAAACTGCGGATCTTTTATAAGAACATTCGCGATTGCATTGTAGTACTTTTGTTTTAATTCTCCAACGAGATTTTTTTTAATAATAAAAATTGTTCTCACGTGTATAGGAGCGAAAAATAATAAAAAATATTAATACATTTTTTAAAATTATATGTACGTCATTAAAAAATGATTGAAATAATTTCTCGACTATTTGTCTATTAACAATGAATAATTTTGTGACAAATAATAATTAATATAACCGGAGAAAAGCACCCGGACAATAACGAAATTGTCTCTTTTGTTGCAGTGTAAAAATGCCTTTCAAGCCCGTGGAAAATCCAAAATGCCCTAAATGTGGCAAATCCGTTTACGCTGCAGAAGAGCGAGTTGCCGGTGGACTGAAATGGCACAAAACGTGTTTCAAGTGCGGTGAGTAAACAAACATAATCTTGTAAATTGAAAATAGAGTGGATGAGTGTTTTCTTATTGGCGCACAATAAATCGATATCTTGAAACTAGAACAACCGGTGTCATTTTGCCACTTAGAAGTTGAAGGAAAGAAGATATATATATGAAAGAATTATATTACCTGTTTACGTTCACAGGATATTGAAAAATCATATCCTGTTACAGTTTTGCATTTTCCCCAACTTTGAAAAAAGCGGGAGATTGTTACATTATGCTATAATGTAAATCGCAATTTTTTACATAAATAATATATTTGATTTTACGCAGAAAGAGAAAATTTATTATGTATATTTTGCCACAATTGCGTATTTTTATAAATATTTATTAGAAACTTGTAATTTATCAAATTTTTCTGATAATTTCAATTTTTTATGATAAAATGATTTTTTTAAAACAGTCTCAATTTTCATTTGTGATAAAAAATTTAAATAATACAAGAGTCATGAAAAAGTTTTTTTTTATATATAATTGTCATAAATTATTAACTTTTTATTCGATTTAATATACTTTACTGTAAAAAGTGTTTTACACAAGAATATAGTTAAATATTTTAATTATATATAAAGAAAGAGGCGTTATTGAATCGCCTATTCTTAGGCCAGTCTAAAATAAATTTATATTCGGAAAATCTGTCGCGACTGTAACTGGATCTATGTGTTGGTCAAAAATCAATTGACGACTATCCGGTAATGATTTCGGGTGCAATGACCGATATCAATAATTCATAACAATCTTAATGTTGAACATCGCGTCCTGAAGAGACGCAACGCGTATCTATTTCTAGAATAACATGAATATTATGAAGTTTCGAGAAGTGAATCGTCGGAGAATGAATAAGAGTGGATTTGACGTATCTTGCGATGGGGTTAGAAGTATATATATTTTTGAATAATTTATATTGCACGTGTCAATGGCAAATATACATTACACGTCTTTTATCCTACGTAAATAGAAAAATATATATGTTTTACATCTACAATTTATATATCCCTTTATAAAAAATAACCGTGCCATCTCGATGTTCGAGCTAGAAGAATAGCTCGAATTCCTCGATAATAAGATGCAAATGGAAAAATAAAATTAAATATATTCTTCGGGAAATCGCGATTCGAATTTCCTGTACGCATTGTCTTTTCATTGTATTTTACAGAGTTGATTATATCTTTTCATAGAAGATTTCAAGAGACACATATAGAATCACTGAAAAAGGTTTTTGACAACTTTTACAAATTAATCTTTTGAATATAATTTAAGAAAGGAAAAAACAATATTCAAGAAACTAATAGAGAAAAGCTCTTTGAAAGTACCTATCATTTCCCCTGAAGAGAAATATAAATAAAATATTTAAAAAAATGATAAATAGCGCAGTTTACGGATGCCCAATGTCCTGTTTCGAGTATACTCACAAGCGCAGGAAGCGCCGATAATCTTGAATGACGTGCGACGACCGTGTGTTGCAGGTCTTTGCAACAAACCGCTCGACTCGACAAACTGCACCGAGCACGAGGGCGAGCTGTTTTGCAAAACCTGCCACGGCCGCAAGTTCGGCCCTAAGGGTTACGGATTCGGTGGCGGCGCCGGGGCCCTGTCTATGGACCAGGGCGAACATCTGCAAGCGAAGAGCGAGTGAGTGCATCCACTGTCGCGCAACCTCAACCTCCCTTCTTCTTCTTTCCTTATTCCCGAGTAGTCCGCAACGCAATTTCCGTATCGGAAGCATCTGTCATCCTGTTCTCCTTCACGTATGAAGACACTCTTCCACGTGCGCGAAATTCCAACTCACCGACCGAACAACCGTCGTTGAACCACCTATTGATCCTCCTCTTGGTCGATTGCGTCACCAGCAACCGGGGAAGGAGCCTGTGCAGACTGTACCAGAAAACCGAAGAGCGTCTACGTATATATACGTGTCCGATACAGTGAAAAAAATCGCGTTCCTTCTTCCCGTTTTTTTCCCTCGAAGCAGGAGAGAATCTCGTCCGACCTTTGGTTTTTCTTTACCTCCCTCGTGAAGTTAGATCGTAGACGGTCCTCTGTGTCCCGATAGTTGAATCTAGACGGTCCAACAGGACCAGACTGTTCTATTCTCTCACCTTTGTGGAGTCTCTGTCATCATCCGTAGTGTAGGCGAGCATGTTACCTCGTCTCTCCGTCTCCTTCAATGAACCTTTACATATATATTTACTTCTTACTTTTTCCCTTGTCATTTCCTTGTCATCGACATTCGATATAAGGTATATATCCCATGTTCAATCCTTTTCTTTTCCCCAAGTTTGCTCCTCCTGAAGTTATCTCCTCGTGCGACCGACCGCACATGATTGACCGAGTTGTTCTCTGTTCTTTTTTTTCTCTTTTCTTTTATGTTTCTTTCTTCTTCTATGCGAATACATGAGCTAGTTTATAGGATCATTTGTACCATCTGTAATGAGTGCTATTAAAATTGGAAAATGGGAAAGATAAATTGGAAACAAAACAACCAAGCGTGTCTTTCATTAACGAATAACATATGAATTTTTTCCCTTATCTTTCAGTGTGTAAATAGATATCAGTATATACAAATGACGTATATAATGAGCAGTATCTTTCAAAGACGCGAAATAGATTCGCGGAGTTGATGTTACGGTCAAAGTTGCAGAAATGTCAAAAAAAATCTCCCCCGATTTTACAAGAATACGAAAAATCATTTTCAACTCGCGGCTGCAACTTCGACTAAAGTAGAACGACGCAACTCTATTTTGGCGCGAATCTAAGAAAGTAGAGAGTGCATGTGCACCATTTGAAGGGTGCACCATCGCTGCACGTACCTTCTTTGTCTGTGACTTCGAGCCTTTGCGTACGGAACCCGCACATCTTCGGCCCTTCGTCCTCCTCTCTCTTTCAAGAAAGGGAACGAAGTGTGTACGAAAACGAAACCAAAAAAAAAAAAAGACAAAAATACGAAAAAGATAAAGAAACACACGACACACCCCGCTCTCGCCAGCCCCGCCGAACACGAGCCAACCGGGAGGCAACCATTGAACGATATACCGATTGTCACTTTATCACATAGTACGAGCTGCGTGATAAAGAGAAAATACCGAGTACGAGAATGGTGAGCATCGAGTCAAATTGCGCCTCTCTCTCTCTCTCTCTATCTCTATCTCGCTACCTCTTTCTCTCTTTTTCTCTCGCTATACTTCTCCCTCTATTTTTTTCTTTTTCGCCGCGTGACAAAGCAGCTTCTTTTTCTTTTTTGTAGCTTATATACACGTAGCTCTCCCGCATGGCCTCTCTCACACCACTTCTAATCCTATAATCTCGCTAACACCTTAACTATTAGCGTGGGTGCTGGCGCGTGCGTGCGTGTACGTGCGTGCGTGCCTGCGTGCGTGTTAGTGTATTCGCGTATATTATGTCGATGTAATGAGGTAATGGCGATCTTTCGACGCCGTACTCTTAGAGAGATAACGACGACGTTGAGATGAGCCTTGACATTCGCCGGCTAGTTGTTGCTCAGTTTTGTAGGATGCAACACGATCCAGTGCGAACGCACTTGTCATGCTCCGATTTTGAATAGAACGTCTCGGATTCCCTACGCATTGTCTTTTCATTGTATTTTACGGAGTTGATTATATATTTTAAGAGACAACATGTAGAATCATTGAACAAGTTTTTTCACAACTTTTACAAATTAAATCATTCATCTTTTGAATATAATTTAAAGAAAGAAACGAAAATTATATTCAAGAAATTAATGGAGAAAAGACAACTCTCTGAAATTACCTATCATGCATACCATCCATCATCATTCTTTCAAAAATGATTGTAACATATTTGAAAAAATTGTCGAAGCATCTGTATATATTTCATTAAGTCTGAGATAAAATGATGAAGGACTCAGTTTGCTTGTTCACTTGGCTTTTCCGCACCTTTCGCACCTTCTCATACGTCACACTATACATGTAATTTAAAACCTCCCATCTCAACGGCGCAATTGTCACACTTCCAAGAAAGACAAACGCACACGATCGGTATCACCTCACTGTGTCAATGATATTCCACCTCACGATACGAATGAGGCTCTCCACACCCGATATTTCGCAGCACTTGGTGTATTTTCCTATTTCCCTATTCCTTGCCTTCATTTTTTTTTCTCACCTTCTCTTTCTCTTTCTCCTTTTTTTATGCATTTTTTTCGCTGTATTCGACTGTACCGTATTACGATTTGCTTCTCGGTTCTTCTCTTTCTCGGGGCTCGGCGGAAGCCACGTGCCGTGGTTGCAAAGGGGAAAAATTACGCTAACACATTGACTAACACACGCCTAACACAAACTAACCTGTGGTATCATTTGATATATTTATGTCTAGCTTGTCTCCTGAACATCACATCCGACGAAAGTTTCTTTGATGCTCTTCGAATGAGAATTAAATGTTAGATGCACACAAGAAGGAACTATTAACGTGAAATTAAAAGTTTTGTCGATCTTCTAAGATCTATTTTTAGTTTGTTTTATAATTTGAGAAATTTAGATCAACATATATTTTATGTGTATCAGAATAATATTTAAATATTGTTGATGAAAAACAAATAAGCTTTTGTGAAAATTAATTATCAAATGATAAATAATAAGCACCCTCCTCACATAAATGTTATCCACATGACAAGCTAACACTCTATAATACGAAATTGGATGTTAAATATTTTAGTAAGATGATTGTGTTAAAGCACTATTTTGATTCCTTCTTTCACAAATGATTATTCAAAGAATTCTATTTCTAAATCGTCGGATGTCTTTTTTGAGCTTGATAGTGCTGTTTATTTCTGTAGATTAGTATCGTTTAGGTGTGAAATTGACAGATCGCTGTATGTTTTAATAATATCCTTAAATTATATACCTTTGCCAATGTTTTGCTGATGTGTTAGGATGTAGATTTTGATATTCTTGCAACTATGGATTTTTTTTTTATTTTATAAGTGTTTGATTATTTTTTTAAAATATCTTTTCTCTCATTTATATAAATATTTCAAAACTCTCTTGTATATAGCATCAAAATTCTTTACTATTTCATAATTTTCTTCCTGATTTTCTTTTGTATTGTATATATATCTCTCTATAAAGTAATTAATTATTCCACGCATAAAATTGATTTGTTACATTATATTTTATTTCCATTACACCACCCACGTTGCGTGTGAATCATTAATTTCACATCTCAACGATCATCCCTTTATCTGTATGTGTGTGTGTACTTGTGTTTTGACAGCTTCCCTATTCGATGCATAAATCCGGCATTTAAATTGCAAGATTCAAAGGTAAAACAAATTAAGGTTAATAAATTATAGAATGCTACGTTGTGAAAATTTAATTGCATACTTACTATATATATATATATATTACGTATTAAAAATTGGATGAATTGTTTTACCTTCGAATCTTATATATGCGCAAACTTCATTAACGGACGGATTTTAATACATGCGGGTCTTTTAGGGGTGAATTTTCACGGGGTTCGAACGCCATTCTCGAGCCGCGGGCTATCGCGAAGGCACCCGAGGGAGAGGGATGTCCTCGCTGTGGAGGGTACGTCTACGCCGCTGAGCAAATGTTGGCTCGAGGAAGGGTGAGTACATTCTAAGGACATACGCGGTGCGCATTTAACGCTAAATGCAAAGGTAGATGTACCAAACAGAACAATTTCAATTAAAATCTGTTGGTAGATAATATAATTTCTTTTAATAATAAAAATATTTTTAATTTTTTTTTTTAATTATTTTTATTAATTATCGTATTATTTTTTTGACATCAAAGTAAATTGGGCGTAATTATACGGCTGCATTTAGAGTTAAGCGCACGATAATAAATCTCTCGCGTCACCTTGGTGCTTCGACCGATCGTTCGAGTATTTTAGAGAAAAAGGATCCTAGTCGGTTAATTAATTAATTGAGTATATAATTTAATCAATGGCTCATTTTGTTAAAATCTTTTTAATTTAAAATACTTTTAAACTTTTGCCTAGCTTTAAGCAGGGAGGGACACTCTCTTAAAATGAATCAGTGAAAATGTCAGTGATTAAAGCGACATTAGATTTTATTGAAATAAAAAACACATTTTGCTTCTCAGTCTTATGTCTCATTATATTATGGCAGTATTTCAATCTAATTAATAATAATTGTACATCTTTGCAAAATGTTATTTATTTTGAATTGCTAGTTTTTGAGGGAGGCTTCATACAAGTAGGGTTCAAATTCAAAATAATATACATATTATATTTTCTAATTGTTGAAATTAAAAAGTCATAAACAAAAAATGAATAAACACTCAGATATTTATTAAATATATATTTCTATAAATTTATATATATATATATATATAATCATATATATAATATAATATATATAATATTATAATATATCTCATTTATAATATAAAATGTGTAAGATGCATTTAAAAATAAAACAGCAATCATTAACAGATATTTTTCAAAATTTTACTTATAACTGAGACTATTAGTAACTATTCACTGCTTTTCAATGATAATACTGATTTCATAGAGATATTAAAAAAGAGAGTAATTGACAGAAAAAAGGATCGTAAGTAACTTTCGAAATATTTTGTACATTGATTTTACAGAACACAAATATATTTCAGCTATAAAATAACAAGTCCTCGTGGTTGGAAAATATTCTCCAAGTCGATAGCACAAAGTTGCGAATTTTTTCTCATTCTCGCCTTCCAACCGATTTTGCGTCTAGTTTTAGATCGGCAGATGAGAGCCAAAAATAATCCTCCATATACTTCTCGAGAGAGAAGTCGCGACCTTATTATTCTAGGTACGTGATACACCTCTATGAGTGGGCCGGCCTCGAATCTGGATATTTCCGCGGGCGCGATTTAGCACACGGAGCAATAAAATCGGCCGCTGACGCGGCGACAGACAGATTGACGCAATCGGCGTCCTCTCGCCGTCGCGCTTACTCACGCGTATTTCGGAAAATCTGGACGGAACCGGCAAAAATGCGCCGCGCGCGCAGTTGCAAAACGCCCGCGGCTCCTTTGCCGCGTCTAAATTCGGCGCGCGACGCGTGGCCCGCGTTCTCGTAATCTTATCCAATCTCCATTTCATAACAATGAGAGGAAAAAAATAGCAGAGTGAGAGAGAGACAGCGGGGGTGTAGAGAACAGATTGGGAAAAGAGGAAGGAGAAGGAGGGCTCGTCTCTCCTTGGTAACTTTCTCGGTGGTTTCGTCAGAGAACGTCTTTGGCGAAGCACCAACTGGCCGGCCAATCTTAGTCGGCTCGATACCCAGCGATAAAATGGCTCGCTACCAGAAGAAGAGCGCCGCTCGGAAACCAGAGAAACGGAGGCTAATTGCCTGGCCGGCAATCTGGTCCAGCGATAATCCGCGCGCGAAAACTGCGGCGATCCATTTCCTCAGTCGTTCATATGACTCATCGACATACATATCGTCGAGATCGCTTCTTCACGCAACAGTTCAATTCAATATACTTCTTATTTAGCTTCTCTCCTTGTAGGAAAAAACTACGTCATTTATCAAATCGGAACAGAAAGGATGATCGCATGGAATATTGTATATTAAATATTGTTTTCCAAGGATAGATAATAGCGGGCAAAATTGGGCATTTTAGAGAAAAAATATTAAAATATATTTTTTACATAAAATTAATAACTCTTGTCATAATAAATGTAATTCTTCACGCAACAGTTCAATTCAATATACTTCTTATTAGCTTCTCTCCTTGTAGGAAAAAGCTACGTCATTTATCAAATCGGAACAGAAAGGATGATCGCATGGAATATTGTATATTAAATATTGTTTTCCAAAGATAGATAATAGCGGGCAAAATTGGGCATTTTAGAGAAAAAATATTAAAATATATTTTTTACATAAAATTAATAACTCTTGTCATAATAAATGTAATTCTTCACGCAACAGTTCAATTCAATATACTTCTTATTAGCTTCTCTCCTTGTAGGAAAAAACTACGTCATTTATCAAATCGGAACAGAAAGGATGATCGCATGGAATATTGTATATTAAATATTGTTTTCCAAAGATAGATAATAGCGGGCAAAATTGGGCATTTTAGAGAAAAAATATTAAAATATATTTTTTACATAAAATTAATAACTCTTGTCATAATAAATGTAATTCTTAAATAATTAGAATAATATCTTTGTTTACAAATCATTCACATCTATATCATATTATATTTTATGAAACAATAAGCGATCAATCTTATTGCATCGGGATGCATCCTCTGATTTGAAATCTCTGATACCAAAAATAAAGAAGAAAAAAAAAATATATATATATTGAAATGTAAAACATCCTAAGAATCAAAACTTGTCAAAGATTTCGAAAAGATGTATCCGGCGATTCGTCGCGGCACCAAGAACGATAAGCGTCTCGTCGTATTCTATTTTAAATCTCCGATCTGGTCAATCCTCGTTCTTGTGTTAGGCTTACCATAAAACGTGCTTCAAGTGCAAATTGTGTCGACGAAATCTGGACTCGACACTTCATTGCGATGGTCCCGACCGCGAGATATACTGTCGAGGTATCTTTCACATCTAAAGAATCTAAATAATCCCTCTTTGGCCACCGCCAGACCTTCTGATTCTTTTTCGATTTCTTACACAGACATCCGTACTGACAATTCTCTGTGTTCTGATACGTTGAACGATCGCTATCTGCGAGAACGCACTTATTTATCTGTCTCCGTCCGTTTCCGTTCTGACTTCGTTCGTTCTTGTTATTTGTCGCCCACTAAAACTAATTTGTGAATTCTTCCCATACCGCCAGGAGACGGCCCCCGAAAATACAAGGGCTGCAGAGGAAGAATCGTAATCAATTATTTTGCTACCTTTTTTCTCATCTACATTGTGATTAGTCGCGCGAATATCTGCTTCCCGCTCTATGTCGCGAATTTTTATAATTACGATGATAGACAGACTAGCACGTTCCAAAGAGAATGACTGCACTTCAGGAAATAAAAGATATTGACCAAATACAAAAAAAAAAAAACAATTGTTTCGGTATTAAAAATATTACTTGATAGTTTTTAAATAAAAAATAAGAGAATCGAAATTCTAGAAATATTCAAAATTAAAATAAGTTAAACTATAAGAAGACTATATATGAATAAGTAAAAAAAAAAAATAGATTAATAACACTTTAATTTAAAAGCTAGTTACAAAGATATTTATACATTGAATATTATTGAAAAATTAAGAAAGATAAAACCAAAGTGAATTTACACTTTCCGACTTTGAAACAATTTATGAAATTATAATGATTGAAGTAATATACATATATATATAAATATATTATAAAGTCTAAACGAGAGTAAATAAAAATTTACGAAGCGCTATCTGTCACTGTTGTCATAAATTTTGAATAATGTACAGAATATATAACGCGATATAGATTAATTCAATTTATAGTCCGATACAAATAATTTATAATCTAATTTAAAATTAAATTATTATGAAAATATTTTTAAATCATAAATATAAAAATATTGCGCAATACATTTTTTTTAGTATAAATGTTTGATATAAAAAATATTGATTACTAAGTCTTGGCGGACTCCAAGAAGCGCTTTTAATGTCTGCGCTTCTGAAAGATTTCGATTGATAGAAAAACGATATTATATAAAAGAGCACTTTCGCCTCTCCCTACAATTTTTTAGTGACTAACCCACCCTTTGTGTTTCGTTCAGCAATGGCACAAGGAATGCTTTAAGTGTGCCAACTGCTCCAAAAGATTAGATTCCGTCAACTGCTGCGAAGGTCCTGACAAGGACATCTATTGCAAAGGTGAGGACACGGTACGATCGTACGCATGAAAATATAATGTACAGAATACGCAACGCGGTATAACATTAATTTCATTTACAGAGAGTCCGATACAAATAAGGTATAATCTAATTTAAAATTAAATTGTTATATAGAAATATTTTTAAATGATAAACATATGAAAATGTTACGCGCGCAACGCATTCCTTTTTCTAGTATGAATATTTATAAAGCTTTGTATTGATTACTATGTAAATATTTTGAAAATTAAATTTGCAACACTGAAAACAATGATGTTTTATTCGAGCAATTTTATTTGTGCTAAAGTATGTATTAATAAAGAAACTGAACTTAATTCGTAAATGTTTAACACAACAGAGGTATTAAAAAAATTAAAAGCAATTTAGGAAATATTAAATAAAACACTTTATAAATTTGAAATACATAATCCTAGTAGATGCAATATTCCTAAAATTGTGAAAATATTTTCTGGAAAAACTCTAGAACATATTCTACAAATATACACAATTAAAGCTTTATTAAAATTCAAATGGAAGCTCTAATATTACTACACTGCACTTAATAATCCAATAAAGGATAAGGACAATAAAAGCATGCGGATAGAAGGAAACAAAGTCTGGATAAGATCGCATCGGCGTATCTGTACGATTATATCTTCGTCGCGGACGATCATCACGAGATAACGTTAGGCGACGTGAAATCTTTAATCGATATTGTCTGCAGTATGCTACGGAAAGAGATTCGGACCGAAGGGTTATGGTTACGGCCAGGGTGGTGGCGCCCTGCAGAGCGACTGCTATGCCAATGGGTGGGTTTTCAGAGTCGGTACTGAGACGGGAAGCACGCGAGAGAGAGAGAAATCCCGCCTCGGCTTCTTCACATTCTCACTTATATATATGATGCGCTTGTCTGCTTAACAGCTTGCTATCCGAAGAAATTCGGTCCGCGGGGTGTCGGCCACGCCGGGATTATGTGGAACGGGCTGCAGTGCGATATAGAGGACGAGGGGTACGCACCCCCTTTAATTATGCCATCACGATTATTTTCGCGCGCGTAAACAGGATGCCCGGAGCGCGCGAGCAGCGACAGCTTCACCTTTGAGCAATTTAGCGCCGATGTTGCGTTAGCGTCGAATTCATTGGGTTTTATTCCTGGCGAGAACGAGGAGTCAATCATTTAGAACGTTCGAAATTTAATGTACAAATCTTCTATATTTCTTCTGTATTTATGGTATCCCTTTTTAGAATGACAGGATAATTGCTTGGTTATTCTTGTCCCGAGACACTTTTCGGTATGAGAAATATTTTCGAAAACTAAAATAATTAATTAAATTTCAAAAGTAAATATTTAATAATACAATACCTATTTTTCATTATCGGATAGTACATTTTTCAAGTACCAAGAAATTTTGCAGCGGATATTAATTTTAAATAAATTTTACAATTAAGGATGCGAAAAATACAGATTTTAAATTAAATATGTAATTTAATACAATTTGTACGATCTCTCCCGAACGGTTAATTATATTTTTGCAAATATGATTAAACTCATCTCTCAAGCGTGTATATATGGTATGTATATGTGCGATATAAAAGATCTTTCCATTATTTTCTCATATTGCGAAATTGGCCTTAACTCTTTACAGAAATCACTTTTTAAATAAAAAAAAAATATTAATTATAATTCATATATTTAATAATAGTGCAACAATAATAAATAAAATTTGAAGAATTGAATTTTCGCTGTGCAAACATCGGCTTCGATTTTCTCGAAGAATACAAAAAGATTGTCACTAGCACGTGCCTTCTCCGGAACACTCTGTACACGCGTGCGTTTGTGTGTTTCTCCGTGTACATACAATATATATATATATATATATATATATATATATATATCTATATATATATATATATATATATATATATATATATCTATATATATATTTATACATACATATAAACCGACGCCTTAACGCTTTGCGCTATTACTCACCTTGGCATCACAATCAGCTGATCGTATCGGAATATCGAGTGTTTCTTTTCGAGGATTTCTTTAATGGCCATCACAACTCAGAAAGACTCGCGTTTTTCAAGGAGTACTTACGCGTTCAGTTAGTATGTCTCCAGAGACTCTCTTCCACATACATTCGACATTCCTTCTGTTGCCACACGGTCTGTAGAATCTCGTGCATGTACTTATGACAATAGATGATTCAAAGCGAATCTGAAATTCATGTAGAATCGTTACTAATATAACCCTCTGCAACTAGATATCATATCACTACATGTGTAAACTCACGACTCTCATCTTTTCCCTTAACTAAAATAAGAAATCAGACGTGTGTAATATAATTTACTTGAGACACCCTAAGATAGAATAAATTTCGTAATCGCATATTAAGGCCATAAATTCGATTTTCAACGATTACATTTTTTGTGTGAGACTCTAGCTCGTTTTATTGTTAGAAAAATATTATATTGTAATTTTTATTACTATAGAACTTGATTCAATTATTTTTATTCAATTATATCTTATATTTACTATTTTACTATTTCGTGAAAATAATTTTTGTTCCATTTTCAATATAATATAATTTTCCTAAAATTTAATTTCAATGATAAATATTTTTTTATTAAGAGAGGCTGTATATTTTTTAATAAAAAAAAATAAGCGAAAAATAATAAAACATTAAACAAAATTCCAGTATCTCTTACGCGTATGCCTTAACAAGCGATTACCATTTATCAATCGCCTGATATCATTCGCATGCAAATCTGTTCTTTTCCGATTGCACGAACGAGCCGTAGAGATAGGAAAAGCGAGGTGAATAAAAATGATACACAATCTTTGAAAAATCCGACTCCGTGTGTCTTTCGTTTTCCCAGCATGACTTTCAAATATCCGATCCAATATATAGCTAGATACGATATCGGACAGAGGAGTCGATCGCTTTTTCCTAATCTATACGATTCGCCGCGCACGATCGCCAAACGCGAATGATAACGCGTGCGATCCCTTTTCGACGACGTGTAGCGATGCGGCTCCACGCACCACCGTGATCGACACCGCGATAATCAAGGCACCCCCGGGCAAGGGTTGTCCTCGTTGCGGCGGCGTCGTCTTCGCCGCCGAGCAGGTGCTCGCCAAGGGCCGGGAGTGGCACCGAAAGTGCTACAAGTGCCGCGACTGCACCAAGACCCTGGACTCCATTATCGCCTGCGACGGCCCGGACCGGGACGTCTACTGCAAGACCTGTTACGGAAAGAAGTGGGGACCGCACGGATACGGATTCGCATGTGGCTCGGGATTCCTCCAGACCGACGGGCTCACGTAAGTCGCGTCGAGCCTAGAGGACTTTATATATTCGCGACTCCGTTCTTACGCGCGCGATACTATAAATACAACTCGATTTATATAACCGAGAGCTCGGCCGGGTCTCTATAAATGCGCGTTGCGCGAAATGCACCGGAACGTTTCAAAATGATTTCACATGAAGGATTCCACATGGACTTTTGCTAATGGGTTATTTAAATGCGACACGTCGTGTAAAGAAATGGAAATTACAATTCTTGTTAGAGTTACGATAAATCTTTGTCACGAAATTTGTCAAGAAAATTTGTAGATCATTAATTTCACATAAATAGAACATTGGCGATCTCGTTATCCAAATGTGTATTTCTAATATAATTTATTAGAAATAAAAAAATGTTGAAAAATTTCAAATAAAATTGGCACAATCAAAAAGTATTAATTTTAGAGAAATATACTCGGAATTGCAGAAGAATAATAAAATATCTCCAATTGTATATTTTATTACTTTGAAGTATAAAATTAAATTGTTCAAACGGAAGTTATGAATTGAATTAAACTGAGGAAAATGAAATATCAATTGATCGGGCTAGCATTGAGAAGATTACGTTAATTATCCGCAGGGAGGAAGAAATTTCAGCCAGTCGACCTTATTATAATCCTGACACGACCTCGATTAAGGCGCCAGCTGGGCAGGGTTGTCCCCGTTGCGGTGGCATGGTGTTTGCTGCGGAACAACAGCTCGCCAAAGGCACCATGTGGCACAAGAAGTGCTTCAATTGTGCCGAGTGTCATCGGCCTCTGGATTCTATGCTGGCATGCGATGGTCCCGACAAAGAAATTCACTGCCGTGCGTGCTATGGAAAGCTCTTCGGGCCCAAAGGCTTTGGATTCGGCCACAAGCCGACTCTCGTCTCGACAAACGGAGATCATGCTCCTTCATAGTAAGTGCATTCTACAGAGTCCTGAAAATTTCTGAAATAGAGTGGAAAATACTATATAGTATATGTTTTCAAGAAAACATCAATTTAGCCATTTTAATAATTTACTTACTCGTAATCGTAATTTTTAATAATCATGTTGGAAGAAATTATTTGGATCAAATATATGTATATATATGGACTTATATATATGATACAATAATGTTTTAAAGCATGTGCTTTAAAAGGAAAATTTAATGGAATTTATAGTAATTTGATTTATAAAGCATAACATATTAAAATTCTGTCTCTTCATTTTCATCTATAAAAATATTGAAGAGTAGAGGAATCTCTCGATAAATAAAAAATGTATTTTTTAATAATATTAAGAAATATTTTCTTAACAAAGAAATTTAAATAAAAACCATTTATGATATTTTAATAGTAAGATGTTCAATCTAATTATAAATTGATTGTGAAAAAACATATATAATTCCAATTTCTTCCAACTTTTTTACTCTTAAATAGAGTACTATTTAAAATTTCAAAAATATTAAGCATTTAAAATGTTTCAAAGACAAACTCCATTTTTAAGGAATATCCAATATAAATCAAGCATAAAAGTAAATAAACCAAAAACTAATTTTAAAATTTTATTAAGACAAATATACGTACCTATACATAGTTTTGACAGGTCTTTTCTGAATAGCGTAGCATTCTCGTCAGATCAGGTCGATTCCTTCCCGATTCACCACGTTTTCTTTTCGCAGCATCGACTCCAAGCCCCAGGTTGGCCAGAAACGAAACGACGGCCACGGCTGTTCGCGCTGCGGCTACCCGGTGTACGCCGCCGAGCAGATGATCTCGAAGAATCGCGTGTGGCATAAGCGGTGCTTCAGCTGCGGCGAGTGTCATCGCTCCCTGGATTCGACGAATCTGAACGACGGCCCGGACGGGGACATCTACTGCCGCGGCTGCTACAGCCGGAACTTCGGGCCCAAAGGTGTGGGCTTCGGAATAGGCGCGGGCACCCTAACGATGGCCTAACTTGCCATCCAGACACCCCTGCACGAGAAACCCTCGCGATCCAGTCTTACATATTAATGTAAATACATCTATATATATATATTGAGGCGTCTCTGACTGTGTATATCCTCGACGACAGACGAACGCGCTGCTCCGGGAATTTTCGATTTCTCCTTTCCTACTTCACGACGATTCGATGATTTCGATGACTGTGCTTTCATTATTGCGAAGAATCGTGTTTCGAATCCGCGAGTTTTCAAGACGCCGCAGATTGTTGATAATATCGCGATATGATATTGCATTTTGATTATATTATGGATAAATTAATTATCGATTAATAATAATCTATCTGTGATATGAATCAGGGTACATGTTTGAAAATGTCATTTTAATAATGATACCATTTCTACACATTTTTCTCTTTTCGAAATATGAAGCTTTGATATTAAAGAGATAAAAAAAAAAAAAAAATATTTAAAAACTTAAAAAAAATATAAGTACGTCAATTATTGTGTAATATCATTTAAAGTAAGTTTAAAGCCATCCACTACGAAATTTTTTTAAAAATTAATTTAAAAATTTTAATTTTGAAACTTCATATTTTTGTCATAAGAGAGATTGAGTGTTATCATTATTAAAATAACACGAAAATATATTGCGATATAAATTGCAATAGCGCATTTCAGCTAATCGCGCCATATCAATTTATTCTATTATCGACAATATATGTGGACTTGTTCCTGCATCAATTAGATCCATTCTCGTTTAATCGTCACAATGACTTGCGGGTTGTTATGAAGATTTCACGAGATCTGTAAATTGCAAGAACGAAAACTGAAACGCCAATAATTTGGGCGGGAATATTCGACAAGTACGCAAACGACTAATCTGATGATGAGCAAGGAATGTACGAAACTTTTATTTTTTTTTTCTCTCTCTTTTTTCTTTTAATTTCTTTTTTTTTTATTCTTAATCAGGAAATTGGAGATTACGACTCGAGAATCGATCCGCGAGATGTCTGAAGGGGAAGTTGTGAAGATACTGGAGAGTATCTTTGAATTTATATTTCCTTTGGTCGAAGTTGCTCAAAAATTTTTTTTAAGTTTGTTTGGATAAAAAGTGGAATCTTTCTAGATATAATTTTTTTTTGCGAGCCAATGGTTGAAATATCAATTTTAATCAAATTTGTTGAGACAAACATGAATTTGAAAATCACGTATCTTACATTTACACAAAAAATCGAAGGCAAAGATATTTTTAATAAATAAAAAGTGCACTTCACGTTACTGAAGCAAATTGCCAATCAAATTTTTCACACATTGATTTTTCATAAATATTGCTCATGTTATTAATTCTTAACGTTGCTCAGAATTAAATGTATAGACGTTTAGATGCTTTTTTTATTCTCTATTACATTAGCCATGATTTGCGAAACAGAGTGCATCATATAAATTAAAGATGCATAGCTTTTTTTACTGTTTCGACAAATTATGCAATGACGATCGTGAAAACTTCACAATGGACAGGTACTCTTACATCGATTTTAACTTAAAAAAAAAAACGAAGGTTTCGAAATTAGTAATAATTTATCTGGTATCGATTGCAACCGATATCCGCGGACGATATAAACGTAAAAATACGAAGAAAAATCTTATATGACCGGACTACGACCAGCAGCAACGATGTAACCGACGACTAAGACGAGAAACTAATTTAATTATGATTTTCAATAAATGTATACTTGAAATTCTGGACATTTTTCTTTACCCAAACAAACTTAAATAATCGACTTACATTTTTAATATAGTATATCTGAAAACGTATAAATTTCATGCTTTTTTCTAAAGTAAAACATTTTGTAATATATAATACATTAAATATAGGTATACAAAAAAATATTTATATAATTTAATAACAAAAAAAAACATAGAACAAGCATATTAATTTATATAAAGAATTAACATTAAATATAAAAATATAACATGATAATAGAAACGATATATTATATTATCTGAAATAAAATGAGCGTTTTATTATCTGAAATAAAATTTGTATGAATCAGAGTAATTTGAACGGAGAGAGTAAGTATGAATATGGTGTAAAACACTAATTTCATATATTTATAGCAACAACTGTACAAGTTTCCGGTTCACACATATCGATAATTACCATTCGTTAATCTTAACAATAATGGCGGGAGCAACGAAGCTGTTCAGAGTTCACGAACGCTTCCTGGCTTGCGGAGATGAGCCTTTCCCTTCTCGTAGCCGTCGCGTGTAATCGATAATCCGCGTCTTTCCCGGACGAGTGAAAATGTGCGGCTTGCTACGCGCCAGTAATACGCAGTATTGTAAAAGTGTCTCGTGTTAAAAAATCACATTCGTTATCGAACTGGGATATGGATTGCCTCGGGACACGATAGAAATTTCCGTATGCTATTGCCGTTAATCTTCAGAGGACTCTAACGCCCTTCCTGCGAAAATACAAAGCGTATTGTCTCTTTTTTGCAGTTATCTCTAGATTTTTAATTGCGTTCATGAATAATAATAAATTCTAATTCGTTATTAAATATCCGATGCCGATTTCTCCCGATCATAAAATCAGATTTTAATACTTTATGAAATTTTATAATATATTATATCGGAACACAAATTAATTTTTTTGTTTCGTGAGAAATTGCAACAGAGCAATAATTTAAAATATCGAATTTAATATTATCGTAATAAACATTCGGCTATATATGTAACTGAGATACGATGGCCGGTCCTCTAAAGATAAGGCGGATTTGACGAAAGTCTCGATAAAAGAAAAGAAAAATGCTTTTGAGTGAACTATACATACCTTCGTCTTAACTAATGTACATTTATACATCTCACTATAAAATAGATTCAGTCGTAAACTATACATATGCAGAATAAGGTGCGCTCGTTAATCGGCGCAGGACGAACGAGTCACACCGTCGCCGAAATTGTCCACATCGTATATATTGTGATAAGACAGGTACCCTCGCTCTTCTTGGTACGAGACATACAGGACGGTATGTATTTATCTTAATTTCCTAAAGAGGAATTCCGCCGATCTGCGAATTAACGCGAATTTCATTTATTCGTCTCTCTTTCTCTCTCTCTCTCTCGCTCTCGCGTTACAGCGATTCTCGATATAAGACCTTCTTTATAGACTTTGCTGAGTATAGTCTAAATTTGTTCTTTTCGCCGAATTGAAGATCAATTAACAAATCACAGCTGCAACAAGAGTTCTGCAACAAAAATATATATAGAATTGATGCAATTAGTAGTTAGTTGAACTGGCAAAATCTTAATCGAATTCGATCTTGCCTATCGGATTGCAGATAGTTTCTTTTTGGATGCAGACATGGAAAGTATATTTTGATTAATTAGTATAAATATTCCATCGATTCTCAATTAATTTCTATTAATTTAGAATTGATTGGAAATTAATTAATGGAAATTGATTTTATATTTTTGTCAGAATTTTTCCCGTTCCAATTTACCACAAAACGAGTTTCATATATCGAGAGTCATTTCGACATCAAGTAAAATTTCGTTTTTCTCTTTTCTGGTCTATTGATCGCTGTCCCAATCTTTAATCGATCAACTATTCGACAGGTCGTTGGAATCGCATTAAATCAATGCAAAGTACACTCGATATTTGTATCAAGGATTTTACTGTGGAAGTATACTGTGTGTGTTCTGCTACTTGTTACATAATAAATATCGCAGCAGATTTTCGCGATATGATTATAATTTTTTCAGTATGTAAATCTCAGTAAATCAAGTGTCAGTTAAATCCAGTGTGTCATCTCTGCGTGATTAATAGTATTTTTATAGATACTATTCTACGCTGTGTTTCTTCTACCTCGGCATCATCGACGAAAATAATAGAGATGAGAAGCACATGAGGCTAGAAACGAGAGTTTAACATCCCTCGGAAATTATATATAGTGATACTTTGTAGCGTTTTTATCGCTTTGAATATATGAAGCTGAGTATATATATATAATTATAATGAAAGGGATAAGTAAATGAAAATGATCTTTAAATTTTCAGATTATATATCTTACGATTGAATTATTAATCACAATAGCTCTATCTAATGTCGCAAATGAATTGACTTCATTCAATCTTATTGCTTCGTTAGAAATTTCTTCGGGAAAATAATTTATTTACAATAAATTAAAGCTATGGAATTAGAGTGATGCTTCGCAACTCTATTATTCTATTAATCGACATTTGAATCCGAGTTTAAATTCATTCATTTCACTTCCAATATTATTTTGGACTTGTAGTCTCGATTTTTAATTAGATAGCGATACTTTAAAGCAGCGTTTCCCAAGTTATACCTCCTTTTAAAATTACTTTGTCAATTAATACGATGCGATATCTGTATGATAAAATATCGATCGCAGAAATAATTTTATATGATGAAATGTACACTACTATCTACAAATACGCCAACATAGATGAAGATAATACAAAAGATTATCAAGGAAATGTATATACATACATATATATATATATATATATATATATATATAATATATTAATCAAATATTTTTCTATACTTATCACAGGAATGCAAAACAAGCATAATACACTCTGACTCTTCGAAGCTTCAAGAATTATTTCTTCTGCGTCAAAAACTTAAAAGATAGTATCCCATTCATTCTAAACAATTCTCTATACAATAATCAGGGTTGGGAAAGTTACTGATTTTTTTTAAACTAAGTTAAATTAAAATTAGTTGCTTATAAAATTAATTTAGTTAAGTTGAAAGCTGCATGAAGAGAAAATTAACTCAGTTAAAGTTAAGTTAAGATTAAATTAACTGAAGTTAAATCAAAGGTTAATTTTTAAAAACATTATTTATACTAAATTAGAATTTTGTTTGTTAATTCTTTAATAATACTTTAATTTAAAAATAAACATTTATAATTAAAAAAAAACAGTAATGGTATTCAGAGATAAAAAGATTTAACTTAGGAAAAAAGTTGATAAGTTTAAGGTCAAAAATAACTAGTTAAAATTAAAAATTAATACATTTTAAATTAACTGAGCTGAATTAAAAGTTATTAACTTTTTTTTAACTTTCAACTAATTACCTAGTTTTTATATTACCCAACCCTGGCAATAATTACCAATGATTAAATACCAAAATTTGCTAAATGATATTTACCTCGATCTTGATTCTACTGACTCAACCTGGCGTCATCCGAATTACACTCTGCCTTCTAATCAAGCTGGAAACGTAGACCTCAGCAGACGCTGCCTCCAAGCAAGCAATCCACATCTGCCCGTTTTCCCGACTGCCTAAAGTATCTTTGTCAAAAATATGTGCGGCGCGCGTCCTATCGAGGATCCTTCTCGAGGATACCTCTGGTTCTTTTTTTTTTTTTTGTATCGATTCGCGTGCGGGAAATCGGGGAGTCCAGGGGACCCAGGTAACAAGCTGACGTCAAAATGGCGTCATCGACGTCAAAAAGACGTCATTTTGACGTTTATGACGTCATTTTGACGTCGATGACGTCAGCTTGTTACCTGGGGAGAGAGAAAAACTCTGCGAACGCTCTCCGAACACGGACGTGCTCTCAGTTATATTTACACACGGCCATAGGCCGAGGAAGGTTTAATAGAGATTCGCGGTCTTCAGAGGCAGCGGGTCCAGCAGGTATGGCGGCAAAGCGGCCGAGAAGGGCCTGGGGCTGCAGGAGCCCCAGGTGGCGCTGCCGGCGCCGCTGGTTCCGCGAGCGTTCGGTGAGCCGCCGTCTCCGGCGCCGTCCGCGTGGTGCTTCACGTTCACCAGGCTCTGGTTAGCGATCGGTTTGATCTCGTTCGACGAGAGAACGCTGTTCGAGCTGCCGGGCGGCGTCGCCGGACTCCTGGGCGAGCGTCCTTCCGCTTTCACGGTTCCGGTCACCGGGCTGGACGCGCCGCTGTCGGCCCCGAGGCCGCTCTGTGACGTCGACTTCTGCTGGGCGAGTCGCTCCTGCTTGCGGAACTTGGCGCGCCGATTCTGGAACCACACCTGGAACAGCGACAAGGGTGCCCGACCAACGTTAGGTCCCGTTCTTCCGGCTTCTTTCGCCTTCGCGCGATGAAATCATTCAGTGTTATCTGTACACTGAAGAGAATTTTCTCTTAGGATTTATATGCCCCAAAAATATAAGTAATCGTGCGGGAATATGGTAACTGGATTTTATAAGAGTTTCTCTGAGTTTACCGCGATGAAAATATTAACATCTATCACAATAAGATGTCAAAAAAATATGTTCGATTAAATTTACTATGTACATGTTAATATTTTTTATTGTTGCAAATATTAGTCGGAGAAAGTCTTGTAAAATTTTTCCAACACCATATTGTTACCGTGATTTTCAGGGTAAATTCTAAGAGAAAGTTCTCTCCGTGTATAGGTATAAAAAATAGAAAAAATCAATGTGGTAGCAATATACGATAGTGATTAACATTCAGAGTATAATGTCAACTAATATAATTATTAAGTATTTTAATATAATATATAATCTCGAATATTTTATATAATATATTTTATCAAAGATCCATATTCACACACACAACTCCTTTATTTAATACCATCATTTTTTATTCTTGCGTTATAATGTATCTAATTTCTTTTAATGTTATTTTATTAAAAGAAATACCTTGGAAGAGATACACGTTAAGGGTAACACAAAAATTGATTAGATTAGAAATTTAAATCAAATACCTTCAACAGCCAATACGACTTGATATAGGTACCATTAAAATTCAAGTACATATAAATTAAACTAACGTAAAATATAAACGCGAATTAACGCTTAATACACTATGGATTGGAAATATAAAATATTGAATTACGCTTCCGCTCACATAGATCTGAATGATTCGACCGCCATGTTAGACATTTAACAAGACTCAAGTTCGCGATGTTCATGACGAGAACGTTACGTCGCAAAATACAGTACGTTCTCTATCGCTAAACGAGAGGGAATATCGCGCGAGAGCCGAGTCGTCGCGATTCGCCAGAGTTCGACGCTCGTCAGAGCGCAACCGGACGTTCGGCGCGCTCGTAATTGGCCCTAGCCGGCCAAATGAAATATTTAACGAATAAAATAAACAGACACCTGCGGTGACCTGCATGTTAAAGTAGCGGATTTATTTGCTTTAGCGTTTATCTGACCGGCGGCGCTGCCGCTCTCATCCACCCTTTTCCCCTTCAACCCCTCCATCCCTCTCGTCCCTTCCCACCCCTTTGGCTCCCTTACGCGGTGCAACGATCCCCTTCAATCTCCGTCCCTCCTCGTCACTCTCCGAACGTTCGTTTCTCAACGTGCGCGCACGTGAATCCCACCCCCGGATTTTCCAGGGGCGGCTACGCTTAGGGCTCGTAGGACGTAACTGCTCGGAGCGAACGGGAGATCGCACGGGGATGGTTGGGGGTGGTGGAAGGGAGACACCGCGACGGCGGGGGCGCAGGACACCATGATGAACGTGATTGCCCTTTCCGGCTGGCAAACACTGGGGCTATTGGATTTTTATCAGCTGCTGCTGGCTGCCGCCGCCGCCGCTGCTGTTGCTGTCGGTCGTCGCGCGTGGCGATTTTTTCGCGAAATTCGAGTCGTAACTACGTTGCGAGTATGCCTGTGTACGTGTACGTACGCGTCGCGTTAATTAATCTGAAATTGATTACACCCGCGCGCGCGCCTTCGTCATCTATTGTAATAAAATGATGAAAAAAAGATGAGCGAGTTTGCAAAAAAAAAAAAAATAACGCGGAATCAATTTGAGGAAGCTCTTTGAGAAGATTATGGACTTCTTCTCGAGAGGAAAGAGAAATTCTGGTTTAGAAAATTAACCCTTAGTCCCGACGGTTTTTTTCGGCACCTTTAATCCCGACTCATGGGTCGTTTGCGTCTTTGCGTTATTTGGAGTAAAAACGCTTTAAAATGTCTGAAGAAATTTATGGAGCTTCTTGCAACCTTCAACTTGAAGTCCCAATCATAATATTTCGATAAAAATTATTTTTTTTATATAGTTTGTTATTAAGAAATGGAGGTACCTAAGGAAAAATCACTTGTTCGTTTGGGTCGCAAACCACCCATGAGTCGGGACTAAGGGTTAATGAACGCATAGCGATTATTTATTTAATATACAGCGGCACGACTCCACTTCTCTCAACGTTTTCCTAAGGAGAGATGAACGGAAGAGCTTGTAAGTTAAAAAAAAGAACAAGAAGGGTACAAAAGTTTGGATTCAATTAATCTCTCTAGCTGTCTTTCTAATAAAAAAAGACGAATCCAAATTGAAAGTATATATATTGTTAATTTTTTTTAAGTTATCTCGATCGCTGGCTACGTCATAAGCATGCTCGCCGCGGTACATGCCAAAGACAACGCTAATAATTCGTATTTGGCCATGGACCAAACCTCGAGTAGACCGTAGACCATGTGTGCCGTTGTTTGCAGAAGTGATGACGACGACGACGACGCGAATTAGGGTGAGAGAGAGCGCGCGCTCTCGCGCGTTAATGTTAAACAAATATACCGCGCCAAAATAAAGTGCAACAAGGCATATCGACAGATGTCCGGCACCTTCTGGATAAATATTTAATCGCCTCTTTATATACGGGAACTCTCTCTCTTTCTGTGTGGGAATTTTACCCTCCGCTCTTTTCCGATCATGCGTTTCAAAAGCCGTCGCGCGCGCGATACGTTTATATTTTTATCTCATTTTATTATTTTATTATTATTATTATTATATTTTTTATATTAAATGAAAGCGTTTTCAAGATTGCAAGATTTTTTTAAATCATATTTTTTTCTTTCATATATTAATTCTCTTTGTCATGAGAGTATTAAGTGTACGAAAAAACATGTGTTTTTTCACTTAAAAATACAAAGATGATTGAATTTTGAAATCTGAAAAGTAAAATTATGCCATATTTTTAAAAATAAAACTCATGCTTCTCAAGATTCATTGAAGATAATTTTAACTGACTTGTATAACTCATAGTGACTGTGTGAATAAAATAATATATGCATTGGTATGCACACTTTTCTACATTCGTAGATATTAAAACACTTGAAAGCGGTTTTCTAGCAATATAGTTATTTTTGTCCTCGATATTGTTTGGTTCCCCGACTAAATACTGTATTGATGCCGATCAAAGTAAATGTCGAAGCATTAGGAATTCTACAGAAGCACCGCACGATCGTGCAATTTGTGCTACGCTTATCCATCCGGTTCACCCTACGCGTTTAGGCGCCGTCGTGATTTTCCCTTCTCGAGCCAGTTAACCGCGGATTTCGCTCGGTTGCCTTCTGACCCCGGTTCGATCTAATTCGGCATCGACAAAATATATCCTGCAACATAATTATTCCGACGCAATCCGACTGAGCTCGAGCATGCGTATGCGAACTCTTTTATAAAGCGTATGTCGTCTTACCATTCTGTACTTTATTTTAAATCAACTCGGATTCTCTTTCAAATTTAATTATGAGAAAATTGAATAAAAGTTACACAGAAGATAACACGTAATGAAATCTTTGTTAAAAAGTACCGATTGTAAATTGGTTAAATTCTACAGATAAAAATTGAGATATAAGTCACATAAAATTATATACAACGAGTACTAAAGGCATTTTAAATAAATTTTATATTTATATAATATTACAACACACACAAAAGTATACATTTTAAGAAAATAATTAAATTTAAGCCACAACACTTTCTCGGTTTAAAAATATTATCTTTCAACGATTGAAAACAGTTTGTGTCAAAGTATGATAAATAATGATTTTATTTCCAATTTAAAAAAAATATTGATTTCGTATAGAATTAAGTTTTACGGTACGTATCTGTAATTAATTTGTAATGGAGTCATTTCGACGATCGTACCAATAAAAGCAAATGTCTCCGTGCTACGCAGAGCAAATCGTAATTAAGACTGAGATGGCAGCGTGATGCGCCTTCACCCTAAACTTATTTCCTTAATTGAATGTCTGGACTGCTGCAGTTTCCGCATACAATAGATACAGTAAAACGGAGTACAAGAAAAGTGATTATATTAAATCTGATTAATTTTGCACATAATTCGCTTTTATAAAATACATTAATTGGATTGTTCAAGATGCAACACTGAATATCTAATTGCAAAACTCTTTACTTATTTACACAAAAATTACTAACACAGGTTCTAAAATTAAAAAAGAATTTTAAATTAGCCGTAAAATGTATCTTCAAGATTAAATCAGTTTTTCTTGAAAGACATTTTTCTTCTTCATTCTCTTCTTCTCAAAATAATAATATTACACACGCACATATATATATATATATATATATATATATATATATATATATATATATACGTATATAAAATAATGTTGTAATTCTAATATTGCTGCAATAAGAATAATATATTAAATTAAAATTCATATATATATATTATTAGTAAAGTTTGTCCAAAAAAAGAAAAAAAACTAGTCTTCCCGCTTTTGAACAATTATTGAATAAATTGTATCGCAATAAGCACAAAATTTTCATTTTCTCGTAATCTGACAGGTGCGCTTAAATATATTGCATATATCGCAATTTGCTTTCTCAAAACATGGCGATCGGATTGGAAGAATCCGAGGGCAGATAGACGCGGAGATTGCTGAACAGAAGGCACGAAATGACGTGGCCGCGAAACGTGACGGAATGATTCTTGGCGGCGCGCATTCTGGTCGTTTCGCTCCTCTCATTCTTTCCCGGACGGACGTCCTTGATGCGTCGTTCCGCCGCGGATGATACCCAGCAGGACAGTTTTTAATCACTGTAAGTGGATCTACATAGAGCTCGCAATTACCGGCGCACACTCTGGCATGGGCCCCTTGTGTATCAGCCCAGCCCCGACACCAGCCGCCAGAGCCCGGGCGAATGTTTTCCCCATTTCATCCCTCGGTGCTGCTGCCGACTGCAGCAACCCCAGTTCCCAACCCTGCGTCTCTCCACCTTCCCCTTGTTCTTCCTTTCCATCCTGTTTTCTCC